CGAAAGGCCACGGTGCGGCAATTACGCGCATCAAAACTTCTTTTTCCTCTTCTTTTTTTTTTTTTTTTTTTATTTCTCTGGTGAAATGCTAGTAGAACAATATAAACTTTCGAGCGAGAGTTCAATCTATTTTTGAAGGAAGAAGATATTTTGTTATATTTAATAAAGTCTTTTTTTTTTTCGCTCGACATATTGTTTACAACGTCTCTGGTATTGAGAATTATATTGCGAGAAAAGATTGGACGCTCTTGTAATTCACATGGCCAAAAAGCCACCATCCACTGGCAAAGTGATTCCGTTGATCATCGAGCTACGATCGCTCAACAAATAGACCACCGCGTCAACCACCTCCGATACCTCTGTGAAACATAACGCGTGAAGCGAGATGTAATTAGTGGAAAATGTCATTTTCACGATACGCAACTTCAGAACGACCTACCTCCAAATCGACCCAGTGGTATTTTGCTTAACATGGTTCGCGCTTTATTCGGGTCGCTCCAGCCTATTTTCCCCATTTCTGTCATGATCACTGTAGGATTCACCGCGTTTACCCGTATATTGTGCGGACCAAGTTCGAGGGCCATTGTTCTGAAAAAAAAATGTCGATTGCATATTGAATGCCTGTTCGAGAAACAAACCAGAGAGGTGAAAATATCCACCTTCCATCACACCTACGAAATTGTATCGTGAATACAGATTTACAAATTCTGCCAGCGAAATGAAATACTCTTCGAATGACATGTGAAAGCTATGCTTAAAATTTACATCGAAATTGAGTCGGGACATAGTCTGGGAATACGTGCATGTAACGTTAATTAATCGTGTGAAAACGTTATTAATTAATTTTAATACGAAGCTGTTCGATCTGTTGGGTAGAATTTGCAAATCCTCGTCAATGCTATTCGTAGGTCAAGTGGAATATAGAAAGGTAATTTGAAAGACATTAAAATTGACAAATTTAATTATTTTTTTTTTGCAAATAAGAATTTGGTCCATCACCACCGTAGTGGAGAAAAGATGGAACTAATCGCTATTATCTTTGTCGTGCACTATTCTTCTCCTTGTCTTTCACACGGAGTCTCTCATGTCTGTCCTTGTCGCACATTATTTTGTTCCTTGTTTACGGAGGTGCTGCCGTCTATGTGTAGACCAGACCAGAATAACACACGTGCTGCCATCTATCCAATATCACCAAAATTTTTCGCTTTAGTGAATTTCCAACAGATGGCAGCACTCGTCTAAACAAGAAAAGATGCAGAGTACGACAAGGACAGTAACAGCGATTAATTCCACCATTCCACCGCTATGTGACGCTAGTTTCCAATGTCCATGGATCGGTCAAAGTTTTATTTGCAAAAGGAAATATTTAACCTATAAAATCCACCTGGAGACATAAAAATTCTAGTCAACAGACTATCGAAACTCTCGTTTGAATAATATTTTAATTTCTCGTTCAAGCATCGTTCAAAACTTGGGTCGAATTTGGGCCTGGACACGGGCACTTTCATTCGTAACAATTAATTTTCTTTTCGCCTCTGTCGCGAAGGGGCGTTGTTAATTGCGCCTAAACGCTACACACGACAACAAACGAAAGCTGAAAATCCTTCTTACTTGGATAGCATGTCTACAGCTCCTTTGGAAGCGCAATAGACGGTATGATCCATTAACGCTGCCTGGCTAGCTTGCGAGGAGAGATTAACGATACTGCCGCCCGCTTTCCTCTCGATCAGAGATCTAGCGACCACCTGGGAGACATTCAACATCGACTTTACGTTTACAGCGAAAGTCACGTCGAAGTCCTGTTCCGTGATGTCGAGGAAGGAGTTGAGGCGCGCGACAGCGGCGTTGTTCACCAGAAGATCAATCGGTAGCACGCTTTCAACCGCATTCCTCGTGGCGTCCCAGTCGTTTAGATCGACGCAGACAATCTGAATGCGAGGATCCACCGCGTGCAGTTCCTCGAGGTTTCGCTTCGTCTTCGATAACGCGACCACTTGACCTCCATAGTTGGAGAGACGAAGAGCCAACTCCTTGCCGATGCCTGCGATTTAACGTTTAACCCGTTAAACGGTTAATCTTCTCTATAAAGGAGAAGCAGAAACGGCGGTCACGCACGTGTGGTTGCCCCGTGCGACACGAACGTAAATGAACGTAATGGGGGAATAAATGTTTAGGGACCCCGTCGTCGTCACGACGTAATTGAAACGTGTTTTTTTTTTTTTTTTTTTTTAATTGTTGACTACGCGAGAAACGCATCAGGAAGTCGACGATAAGTCGAAGATAATTAAAGCTTTATGCTTGATTTTATAGAGTATTTGAAATTTAAATGACGGCGATTAAAAATAATTAAAATATCGATGCATTTCCTTGAACGGAGATAAGCATTATCGTAATTTATGCGTATGGAGTAAAAAAATTTACGGCTGTTTCTGATTGATTCAAGTAGTTTTCCATCAACATGCTACATATATGCAGATATTCAGAAAGAAATTTAAAATTCTTCAAATCGGGTTTATGATTGAAACTTAAAGCAAGTAATATCATATATTGTATTACGTGTGTTACGATAATTGTATAGCATACCTTGTCCAGCTCCAGTCACTAGAATACGTTTTCCTTCGAAGCTGATGTTCATGACTGCATGTGTTGCTAACTACTGAATGATAAACGTCCCTTGTTAAACACGTACATTCCGCGTGACCCCACCAATGATTGACTATATGTGTATTTATTTATATTACAGAGGGCAGGGTAAATCTTCGGCGCTTATTCAAATGAGTTTAAAACTTTATTGCATTATTAGAAATTTACATAATCTATATAACATTTTTATTTAATTCGTAATTCGTAGCTAAACGTTCCTCGAGTATACTCTGAATAAAGTTTTAAAAGATATATGTTTACTTATATGGTTACGTACGTTGGAATAATTATAGCCAAAGGAGCTATTTGCATAAGAAAAATTTTTCCGCTTTATGTATGTTTTAACCTCTTGCGCTGGAATGACGCACGTCGAGAATTTTTTGTCCCAAAATTGCAATATTTCCAGATTTTTAAGTATATTTAAGTATAACCTAGGCCTAAGTATAACCTAATAAATAATAAATTTATTACTTCTCAATAATTTCTATTCAGTGATACCGACGAATTCAAACAGAAAGCGATAAATTATTGTATATGGTTTGGTCACTCGTTATGGTCCGCAATCGGTTGCCAGCATAAGTGATTAAAATTCCTAGTGGATTGAGTCATTTCGAATTATCGATAATGTATCGATATTGACTGAATTAATTATCGATATTGTAACTGACACGCTGACAAGTAAATTTCTGTCAAATTTGTGTTCGCATAAAAGTTGCTTTGCGATTACACACGTTATTTTATCTTTGAAAGAATGCAGACAAGTGATAAGTGAAGTTTCAATAAGCACCTCAGTAATCAATAAATACCTTAAATGTATTGTTCGTTGAACACCAGTGTATCATAAGTTGTTAACCTCTACGGAATGACGTTTCTCGGCGAAACTTTCTAGAATAACGCGTGGCATCCGTTAGTAATTGCTATTTTTAAGCAACGAGCATGCAATTTAAATAACCACGCTGTTTTGAAGGTTAACTTTCCTTATGGTAATACATGTTTTGAGGTAATATATGTTTTGTAATATATTTTTTGTCAAGCTTTTTCAATAAAGCTAATTTAGAATTTACATTAATCTTCTTGCAACATAAAATGATTTTAATTGTATATAGTTTTGCATAGGAGTGGAGCATGAAAACACTTGTTTTGGAGCCATTATAATTTTCATCTTTGCTAGAGAAGAACCATTGAAGAAGAAGATCGACAACGAAAAGCGTGTTTGACTTTTGTATGATTACTAAAATTGTGGAAACAATGGCATCTGAGGTCTTTTTAGGAAGCGGTGGCACATTTCATCGTGCTATGATGTTCATGCTCAAACTTGGTTGGCAATCAAGGTTTCGTTTACCAATGCTTTTGATCATTGTGTTTGTTGCAATAGATTACAGACTTCAATTAGAAATTGAATTTGAAGTTAATCCTGAACAACATAATCATTTGTGATTAAGGATTTAAATTACTTATAGGTTATTTTTTAGATTGTATCATTAAAGGAACTTTTAAATTATCATGGAAGGTACAAGAGAGCTATTTTTCAATCTGTATGTAATAAGAATTTCAAGGGTAAAAGGGTATTGTTGATACTTTTACTTAATTCTATTGTAGTTCCCGATTATTGTAGATTAACATTGCGTTTGACTAAGAAAATCTTCAACTTTAATATCAATTAATATTTTGAAGTATTCATTGGAATAATTATAGGATCTATAGTATAATAATTTCTAAAGCATATCTGTTTTTCATGGTATGCCTTATTTTATATTCTTTTATATTATATAAAAATACATCACTTTTAATTTTGTAGCAAGTTACATGTGTGAGACTGACATTTAAACAAGTATATTTCAGTAAAATATGACAAAGTTAAGATGAATGTGATCAAATTGCTTAAGTATAGTATAGCCAATAAATAATTAAATTCCTTAGAATTTTAACTATCATCATATGTTTAATCATGAAAAATATCTATACAAATTATGTGAATACATGTATATTTTTGCTATTAAAATACTGCGAAATATATTTGAGAATATGTTAATAGTTTATTCAGGATATTGTTATAAAAGGCTGGTGATATACTGACATTTTATTCTCTCTCAATATATATAATTTCTTTTATACATGTTAATATATCTTTAACATAATTGTAAGATTTACAATATTAGATAAGCAATTTCATTTTAAATCTTAATAATTTATAAAGGAATAAAGAGTAACAAGTAATTAATTATTTTAAGTATAAAAGTGGATTAAGACTTTTTGAAAATGTATTAAAAAAATTATTTCACGTTGTATGCATTACTTCATAAAATTCCTTAGTTTATTTATATATATATATATGTATTATGTATGCAAGTGTAACATATTATTATTAGATATTATCAATTTATGCTAACAATTTTCCATTGTAACATCTAAACAATTATAGACGTTAAATGTTAAAATTACTTGTTAATGTTCTATTTGACATTATAAATGATTTGTAAACATCTGCCATAATTATAAATTGTAATTACACATTATTTATTAAATGTAAGCAGTTACACCCAATATCGCTAAACAAATAAACAGGTAAACAATTATTTTTATAAACCATCTTCTTATTGTTCAAAACACTTTTTCATAACAAGTGTGACGATTATCTTTTACGAATCTCTCTTTGTCGATTACAAATTTTTGTTTCCATTCCAAACTGTTGTTTCATTCGTCACTAGTAAATTACAGACGATAGTGTGTCGTAATGGTCGTCTGTTTTGAGAATTACAACCCTTCCAGCGATTGTCCAAGAGTTGAAACCTTTTCGCAATTGAAAAGAAATTTCGTTGGCTTCTCGGTGAATATAAAAGGTGCTTCTATCTAAGAAAGTAACAGTGCTTCTTCTTCTCTAAAGGAGAATTAGCAGATACATTTCTAAGATGTAAGTTTGACTTGCAGTCAAAGATTCTACTTTTTCTTTTTCTTTTTCATTTTCTCAACTATATTATAAAATTATTATATTATATTATTTTGTTAAATAAAGGATGTCGAGCTTCGGACATTTCTTCGTTTTAATTATCATTTCGGCTCTCGCGATGAGAACTTCTTCAAGGACAATAGATTCGGCTGAATTGGTAAACAGAATTGAAACACCCGCAATCGTGGCATACAATTATCCCAGTGTGGTAAGAAATTTCCTTATTCATTCAACTCACGCAGGTATAGTTTTCACTGTATCGTTTCTCGTGTTCTTTTCTCCTGCTTTTGTTGAAATTCAGATTGGACCGATGCAACGTGATTTGGACGATAGTAATGACGGTAGTAGAATTTGTCAAATAGAATATCAAGTTGTAAGTATATTAATATCAATGTTTTTACAAACGATAAAATAACATTGAATTGTAGACGAAGAAAATGCCAGGGAATTGTTTCAAACTGAGTCGTGGAGTAACCGGTTGTGTCTCCGGCGATTACATGAACCCTTTCCACCCTGATTGCTTCTAAACTCTTACGTAAACTTGTATCATCTAATTGAACTTGCCAAGTTCAGATTGAAATATATATCATTACTACAGTTCACGTAGGAAATCCTTATCTTACGCTGTAACATTGTATTTTTACCGATAAAAATAAATATTTCCTCGTAGCTCGCTGTCATTTTGTATTAATCAAGATCTACCGTTCTCTTTCATCTTCTTTCATCCTCTCCAGTATCAATCGAACACCCACAATTGGTTCTCGAAGCAGCTTTCACTCAGTCCTCCAGGATTCGACGCGTCGATCCTTATGAAGAAAAGTGGTCGCACTTTAATCTTAATTTCGTTCAAGTAAGCGTAAGCGTGTAGGGTGGAACCATTGGTATAAAGTCCTCGGAAAATCGAGATACAGCTTCTTCAGGATTGCAAGCTACATGGAAACACTTGGAAGGTTCGCCGGCGTTTGGGTGGTTCTGTTCTTCTGCGGCTTCCCAGCTTGCGGTTGTGGAACGTTTCCTTCGAAAGACTTTGGTGAGATTGAACGAAAAATTTTATGTTATAAATTATATAATAATATATGTAATATATGTTAATATATATTATATATATATTTTATTATAAATATTATATATTATATTATATTTTATTATAAATATATTATATTATATTTTATTATATATTTATTTTATTATAAATATTATATTATATTATATTTTATTATATATTTATTTTATTATAAATATTATATATTATATTATTTTTTATTATATATTTATTTTGTTATAAATATTATATATTATATTATATTTTATTATATATTTATTTTATTATAAATATTATATATTAAATTATATTTTATTCTCTTGTGATAATCATTAGTCCCTACTTTTCTCATCAGAATTGTAGTTCTTTTCCATAAGCGAAGAGACATCTGTTTCCACAGTGAATTAAAGTTTCATTTGTTATTTTATAGAAGGAAAATTAATCGTCCTATCTAAGACAGTCGATTATATCAATCAAAGACCAGGTCAAATGAACGCCGATGTCACGTTGTCTCTAACAATCGTCGAAGGTAAGAGATTCTTTACCATTTGAACGAATAGCGAAGCTTTAAACATTGTTGTGCCTTTGTACAGCCAACGTGATTGCTATCTTTTTGCATAAAAATGCACGACACCTTCTCGACGAACATCGAAATATTCTTATGACGATTTTAACGTTGTGCGACTCGACTCGACGAGATCTGTTGGACGCAATTGTCCCGGGAAACGAAGACGTTCAATTACGTAAGGATAATTATCTGCATCGTGTTTCGAGGAGCCCCGCTTCAAATGGAGAGATAAAATCGTTCGAATTGCAGTGCACGAAACGATAAATTATCCAATTTTATGGCTGAAGGAGATATCGTGGCGTCGCGGTGCCCTCAAAGAAGGGAAGGCCAATCTGAAATTAACTTATCGAGATGTACGAGAGTTGATAATGCAAGGAGCGCCCAAGGAGAAAGAAAGCGATCGATGTCTCGCCGATATCGTTCGAAACAAATTGAACTCGAACGACAGGATTCCTCGTTTGTGTGCCGAGATATTGACCAATCGAAAATCCACCAGAGGGTATCCTCTTACTCATCGATTGCTGATTGTTCTAATTGCCAAGATGGTCAGTGCCATCAACATATATTTTTTTTTTCTTTCTCAGTCTCTTCGTCCATCATTATTATCATTATTAATCAAATTTCTTTTTTAGTTGAAATGCGATCGAGATCTCCCATCTTCGGAATTAATACCATCTTACTGTTCCGCGGTCCTTCAAGATCTAATCGATATCAAGACAGCTGGATTTCCCGATCAAACACCAGATTTAATGATGGAGCAAGGTAAAGTGGGATATTTCGAATTTTTTCTCACGTTCACGTATTTTTAATAATCGTTTCACTTTTATCTTGGAAGTTGTTTTATGCGGTATGCAAGGCTTCCTCGAGTTCACAGACAAGTACCACGAACGATTAGTGTTGAGTTGGTCTCACCCCAGCGGCTGTTTCAGCTCCTTCGGGTACGTACCTGTTCATCCTGTTGTGGTTTTTGAATTTTAATGGAATATTTAAACACAAGTTTTAGTAGAATAGATTGAACAAAATCTTCAACATATAATGTTTATGTGTATTTACGTTATTATAGAGGCTAGGTTAATTCCATTTTGTAATTACAAAATCCATTCTCATCTGTTCCAAGTGTGTTCTATTATTTATAAACAATTTTTGAGAAAAATACTAAGAAAAATTCTCTCGCAATTTCTTTCAAATTTAGTACAGATAATTTTCAACAGAAGATAGAAAAAGAGAATGGAAATAGCTGAAAGAAGATATCGAGATTTTAGTGTATAGTAAATTTGTAACAAAATCTTGAACACATAATGTTTATGTATATTTACGTTATTATGAAGGCAGTTAATTCTATTTGGTAATTACAAAATCCATTCTCATCTGTTCCAAGTGTGTTCTATTATTTATAAAGAATTTTTGAAAAAAAAAATACTAACAAAGATTCTCTCGCAATTTCTTTCAAATTTAGTACAGATAATTTTCAACAGAAGATAGAAAAAGAGAATGGAAATAGCTGAAAGAAGATATCAAGATTTTAGTGTATAGTAGATTTGTAACAAAATCTTGAACACATAATATTTATGTATATTTACGTTATTATAAAGGCAGTTAATTCCATTTTGTAATTACAAAATCCATTCTCATCTGTTCCAAGTGTGTTCTATTATTTATAAAGAATTTTTGAGAAAAAATACTAGTAAAGATTCTCTCATAATTTCTTTCAAATGTAGTACAGATAATTTTCAACAAAAGATAGAAAAAGAGAATCGAAATAACTCTTATAAAAATATTTATCTCTTATTAGAATTGAAATAACTTTTATTAAAATATTTATAATATTATAACTCTTGTTAAAATATTATATTCTTATCTAAAAGAAGATATCAAGATTTTTGTCTTTAACGTATAATGTACATTTCTACTATCAGAGGCTAAGTTAATTTCATTTTATAATTACATTTAAAACTCTATTCTGTTCTATTATTTATGGACGGTACCATATATTTAAATGTCCTAACAAAAATACTGACGAGAAGTCTTCTTTAATTTCCTTCAAATTTGATCTTTTCTTTACCATAGAAAACAGAGTAGAAGAACAAGAATAACTTAAAGAAGATATAACTCAAAGTTAATTGAAATGTGCTGCATCCCCCTCCAATAAAATAAATTTCAAAATAAATAAATATACTCGACGTTTCTTTTCGCAGGCGCAGGTTCGCTGGGAACGAGACGCGCGTGTCGCGGAGGGCCTCGAAGCAAACGGATTTTGGTTGCGACAGTCACGCCACTGGTCTCGCTGCAGCGTCCCTCTCTTTATTTATTCGCGAGAACTTGGAAAACGCGCGCGATGACTAAACGCCAGAACTATCCGGCCGTTTGTTGCACAAGCGTTTGCAAATGCGCGTGCATAAAAACATGATCGTCGTGGAAAATCGAGCCGAGGAAAGGGCGAAGGACAAGGAAGAGCGAATTACAAACAAAGAATAATTTATTTCTCGTGGTCGCAAAGGTAACAATAGTTACAAAGTGATAAAATATCTTTACACAGAGACGGAAAGACGAGCAGAACAGAGGTAAAAGTGGGATCGGGGGTAGGGGAGGGGGGGAATAAATAAAATCAGTCGTTAACCTTGCGTAGGAGAGACTGGTTCTCGCGGTGTGGCAACACGCGTATATTTTTGCATACGCTTAACATTTTCGTTATCCTTGAAAAACCTGGATCTATTCTCGTCCACGAGACGGGGACCAGCCTCGCCATTTTGATATCGCGCTCTGGCGAACCGCGGCAGTGTCGGTTTTCCCCGGTACAAAACCGTGTTTCTCTTCTCTCTCTCTCTCTCTCTCTTTCTCCCGCGAAATTTCGCGCTTGTGCTTGCACCCTCGAACGACGTCCGATTTTTCCAATGGACTGCTGGAAAATTTCGTTCCCTTGACGGGCGATAGTAGTCGATGAAATTTTTATACTACAAGTAGTACTTGCAATATTTTGTATACATTTCATGAAAAGCAGAGCAAATATTAAAATGATTTCCCTTCTTAATTTATTAAATAAAAAATTTATTTTATAAAAGAAATTTTTTATTTTATTCAATAAATTTATTTAATTTAATAAAAAGAAGTTAATTTTATTAAATAAAAAATTTTTTTATAAAATAATAAATTTATTTAATTTAATAAAGAAAAATTAATTTTATTTAATAAAAAGTTTTGTAAAAAAAAGTTTTTATTTTATTCAATAAATTTGTTTAATCTAACAAAGAAAAATTAATTTTATTTAATAAAAAATTTTTTATTTTATTTAATAAATTTATTTAATTTAATAAAAAGAAAATTAATTTTATTCAATAAAAAGAAGAAAGAAATTTCAGCTATCCACGAAGAAGAAAGTGTTAGGAATACACGAGTTACAACCGTAGAAGAAGATATCGTTTGTCATTCGAGGGAGCATTTCTCGGTGTCATAAATATACATATATATATATATATTCTCTCGATTAGTATTAATTTATAAACACGATCGCATGGTTTTTCGATAAATCTCCTCTTCTGTCGGCGAAAAGGCGGTGCTTCGTGCTTTGGTGCGATTACGTTAATTGACCTTTAGGTTAATTCACCTCTCCCCGAAGCAATTGGATCGTTCTTTCGTGCGATGGGAGCTGATCGTTCCTTTCCTCGTGAAGAAGGAAAGAACAATCCAATTTCTTCGAGGCGAAGAGGGAGCCTTCGTTTCGTGAAATTCGCCGATTCGCTTCAAGGTCGTCGGTAATTGTACGGTCTTCCGTACGGGCCGATTCTGTTGTTCAATTTGTCGTACCTCAGATACTGGAAATAACTGTACACTACCAACCACAAGTACGTGTAGATCACTGAAACAATATTTTTTTTTTCTCTCTTTTCATCGAACGATGGTTTTTTTTTTTTTAAAGAATTGTCGCAATTGTTAAGGAAGAAAAAGAAGATCAAATGGATCGAAAGTGAGGATGATAAAAGTCAATAAATATTGGAGGATAGAAAGATATTTATAACTGATTAACTCACCAACAGCTATGAGGCCAATGACGAGCCACAGAATTCCATTTATTACCGCGTGATTCACGAAGAACATGATCGACGTGTACAGGACGCTCACCAACAGACCGACCACTAATATCAGGCCCAGAACTACCCACGGTAGCATCATAAACGTGTTTCTCTACAACAAGAAACGTTTTTCAACCTTCTCGGTTTGATTCGTATGACGTGATCAGTTTAGTCAAGTATAAAACAGTATCTCAGGAAAACAACGTTAATTGAATACGGTAATTGAATACGCGATGATCTACGTGATTTCAAGAAACAATTTCACCTTGATGGCGCCGATAATGAGCAGCGTGGAGATCAAGATCGTCATGCACAGGTTTATCGCGAAGATGATTTTGACGATACTCTGGTCCAGCACGTCGATCAGTATCGTTTTCCATTCGACGTTCAGAGTGAAGATCAGGATCAGCGAGATGATCGATAGGATCTAAACAAGCATCGAAAACAAATTGGTCCGTGTGGAAACTACGGTAGAGCTCCAAAAATTTGCTGAAAAAGACTCGTTTCTGATATGAAAGTAGTTAAAATAGTTATACATTAGTAGCTGAAAGTAATGGAAATGAATTGTTTAAAAAATAAATAAGTAAAATTTATTTTGTGCCTTTTGCATTCAGGGTCAAATTAATTTATTTGAATAATTTTAATTATCTCGAAAGTAAATGATCTAAATATAAATATATTATATATTATTATATATTGTTGAATAAAAAAAAATACATATTTAGAAATTAAATGTTTGTCGTATTTATTAATATTTAGTTTTTTTTAAAAAATGAATTTAATTTATTTAAATTAATTTAAGTAAATTAAATTTATTTTATTTAATTTTATATAAATTATTAATATTATTAATTTAAATAAATTTAATTTATTTAATTTTATATAACTCTCGTGCGATAAGGAGAGGTTGTTTAAAGTGTGTATTATGGAACAATTCAAATTCTATGTAAAATTTGTTGTGTTATTTCAAAAAAGGAATTCATTTCAATTACAAAGTAGATATCGATCGATTATACGGCAAGGCAATCTTTTTTCACTGTATTTAATGTCAGAAACAAGAAATAACATTTTCCAGCCATGATCTCCAAAGATCTCCAGAAAAGATGAGCTGAGTAGAAGATTTATATCGTTAGAAGGAAAATTAAAAATTCGAGTGACAAGTTAACATCTCTTTGCAAGGAATTTAACAGAAATGAATCGACAACTCGCACAATTAGGAAAAATGAAAGTAAAACGAGAGCTAGAGCTTCTGCTGCATCAGGTTTCAAGAAATCCTCCCCGTACGAAAGATCTTTCATTAACAAAAACAGAAAATTGCTTAATCATATGGATAGATTACAATAGGAAGAATATTCCTTTGAATATTTATTTAACAAGTCAGAAAGCACAAAATATTTTTTTGTGATGTTAAATCATTAGTTACAGTTATATTATATATAGTGATAAATTATTAGTTATATTATATATAGTGGTAAATTATTAATTATAGTTATATTATGTAAAATGGTAAATTATAGTTATATTATACATAGTGGTATATTATTAGTTATATAGTGGTAAATTATTAGTTATAATTATATTATATATAGTGGTAAATTATTAGTTATAGTTATGTTATATATAGTGATAAATTATTAGTTATAGTTATGTTATATGTAGTGGTATATTATTAGTCATATAGTGGTAAATTATTAGTTATAGTTATATTATATATAGCGATAAATTATTAGTTATATTATATATAGTAGTAAATTATTAGTTATAGTTATATTATATATAGTGGTATATTATTAGTTATATAGTGATAAATTAATAGTTACAGTTATGTTATATATAGTGGTAAATTATTAGTTATAGTTATATATAGTGATAAATTATTAGTTATAGTTATATTATATATAGTGGTAAATTATTAGTTATAGTTATATTATATATAGTGGTATATTATTAGTTACATAGTGGTAAATTATTAGTTATAACGATATAGAATACATCATTTATTATACCACTGATGGCGACAAATGTCAAAAAGAAATTTAATTTCAGTCGACTTCACTTACGATGCCCAATATTCCGGTAAACAATGTCCCCGCTTTCAGCGAGTAACACCCGCAACACGACGTTAGTTGCATTCTGAAAAAGAACAAGAGTGATACGAGTCATAAAATCAAAGGGCAAATGTAAAATTAAAAAAAGAAGAAAAAAGGAAAAAAAACAATAAAAAGACAGTCTGTCGTTTGCCGCAAACGTTCTATCGAGCAAGCACTCTCCGATAGAATTTAGATCACGGTTAGAATTAGAGTCTGACGACTCTGATGCTCGTGTATTTTTAAAGCTGATCGACAACCAATTCCTCGTTCTTGATCTGTCCGCCTCATTTCTCTATTTCGTTTCTCCTTCGCGAATTTTACGAATCTTCGCGCCGAGGATCCCAAGATGAAAGAGAGTTGTTTATTCAACGTTCGAAAAGGCGGGAATTTCGAATTTCCTTCGCGAAGAATCCAGAGGATCATGACGCAAACGTCCAAGAAGCTCGTCGTTCGAGTTAAACGGAACTAAAACGCGAATTAAACGAATTAAACGGAATAGAACGTGTCACGGATCGTTTCGTTTCGCTTTCGTTGCTTCTTCATTGGCAGACGCGTGTCAAAGTATCTCGTTTACATTTCATCTTACTCATTATTATTTCAAACGTGGAACGTCGCTTTGCAGTTTTCGTTACGTCATTATTATCACGCGTGATATTCCGTTTCACCAAAACAAGGAACAGCGGACGTGAATTCTTGTAAAAATTATAAATTCTAAAATAATAGATAAAGTAACTAGCTGTTGGCCTGATCGTGCGAGTTGTGAAAGATTGGGAAGTGAAGAAGAGAAACGACGACTCACCGATGGTCTGAAATTCGCGTGGAATTAAAACGACGACGTTTAATTTGCGGCGTGCCAAGAATAAAGGGAATATGGGTCATTGGCATAGGTGGCCGCAGCGTCTATTTTCGCTTGTTTCGTTGCTGACCTTTCTTCTCGCGTTTGTTATTCCCCCCAAACGGGAGCTGTCGCATCCGGTCTTCAAACCGCGGCGAAGAATCTTCGTCTTAGAACTACCCGGGTCACGAGCAAATTAACAGTATCTTCCAGTTAGCGATATTCGATGTGATTTTGTGATTGTTCGAAAAAAATAAAAAGTCGCTCTTTATGACCTTCCAACGAATGTTTATGAAAGTGATTTGCAAGTAACTTGTTTTGCTCTCGAAGAGACAAAAAATCCATGATGAAAAGAAAAAAAAAAAGAAAAGAAGAAGAAAGATGACAAATCTTTTATTAAGAAGACTGTGCTTTTGGCCACTCCGAAATGTCGAAACTGAAATATCTCGAGCGACTTTTAATTGTTTTTCAACATCTTTGAAATCCCCTTCTTTATGTTTTCATGATTCGCGCCCATTTCCAATTCATCATGGTGAACAATATCCATAATTGTATATATATAATTATGGATTCGACATACAATTCCATCATAATATAAAAATTCCACCACAATATAAAATAATTTCATCATAATATAAAAATTCCACTATAATATAAAATAATTCCATAATACAAAAATCCATATAATGTGAGAAATATCCATAATTATATATACAATTATGTAATTTGACATATAATTCCATTATAATATAAAAATCCATATATTGTGAAAAATATCCATAATTATATGTATAATTATGTAATTTGACATATGATTTCATCATAATATAAAAATTCCACCATAATATAAAATAATTCCACTATAATATAAAAATCCATATAATGTGAAAAATATCCATAATTTTATATATATAATTATGTAATTTGACATATGATTTCATCATAATATAAGAATTCCACCATAATACAAAAATTCATATAATGTGAAAAATATCCATAATTATATATATAATTATGTAATTTGACATATAATTCCATCATAATATAAAAATCTGTATAACGTGAAAAATATCCATAATTATATATATATAAAATTATGTAATTCCGTCATAATATAAAAATTCCACCACAATATAAAAGTCCATATAACGTGAAAAACATCCATAATTATATATGTATCCATAATTATGTAGTTCGACATACAATTCCATCATAATATAAAAATTCCATCCACCGAATATAAAATAATTCCACCATAATATAAAAATCCACATACAACAAGGTTAGAAAAGAAAAAAAAAAAAAAGTCGCAATTAAGAAAGGAAGCTTGGTGTCGTTTAAAAGGAGTACAACAAAAAGAATTCTCTCGGGGAGAGACAGGAAAAGGAGATCGCCGTGAACTCGGTCGATACGAAACGACCGTGGCGGTCACGGCGAGCACGAGGCGTCGTCGAGGTCTACCAGGGCCCCATAAGGAAACGCATCTCCGACCCCTCGTTGTTGTTCCCGCGATTTCTCTGGTTCACCTCGTGCAAAAAGGAAACTCGCGCCATGTCTATGAAAGAACCAGTCGGTTGACATTGGCCACCGCTCTCGGTCGCTCCACTTCTCCCTCGTTTTCACAACACGCGAATCCGTGATTTATTCGACACGGGGCCAATAGGAACAATAGAATGGGAAACGATCGATCGCGAATTCTTTTCAACGACGAAGATCAAAGTGGAAATTCTGATCGTCTAAATCAACCAATGGTTCCCAAACCATTTTTCTGGCCTTACCACTTACCAGCGTAATTCTTATTATTCAAAAAGTGAATTTTTGACCTTTGTGAAGGAAGCCTAAAACTGGCCACTTGGCTGGATCTAAACATTAAGCTTTTAAGAAAAGAAAAAAAAAAAAAAAAATTAGAAGGTTAAATTTTCGTTTAAAGAAACACAAGAAAGCTTCTTAAGCGTTTTGTTTTATTTCGAGAATGTGCACTGGTATGCTTAATTATTTCTAGACGATGGACGAGTATACTCGACGAAAACACAGTGAATGCACTTGCTGTACGATTTGAGTTAAATTATAACAAACTGATAAATGTTTTTGATGTTTCTTTTAATTTTATTGGTATTTAACTTAACATTTTATTTTTTGAAAATTATTCCACGAAAGGAAACCATTGAAAATTCAAAATGTGGAGGAAAGAGCTTGAATTTTCATCAACTCACAAAGAGAAGTAAAACATAAGTCAAATACTTGCCAGATTAAAATGATTATATATTTGAAATTTAATTCGATCGCGTCAGATTTCTTCGAACGATTCGAGTGCATATTTTCTTTATTTGTTTGTTTTGCTGCCCTGTAAATAAAATTTGCTAAAATTACAAATGTATATGTAATTTTGTTTTACCTAAATTTTACGATAAACAGCAAAAGTGAATTTTTTTTCTACACGAGTAGATTACTCGACGATAAACAAAAAGAAATTCCATTTTTTTTTCGTGACGAGTATATCTCTCAAATTGCCCCTCGCCCATCACGCTGGAAAATCAAATTGTTCCACAGATCGAAATAATTCAATAAAGAACGGACAAGAAAACAGAAATACGCGACTATTCGTTCGCAAAGCGAAGCGATAACCATGCGAAGCAATCTATAAACAGCGGTGACACGCGAAATAAGGTCGCGTTATAGGTGAACGAAACGAAACCGTGGAAAAATGGCGATTATGCTCGTGTATACTTCGCCGCGACCCGATACACCTCGACCTCGTTCATCGGTTTCAATTACGCTTGGGCGCGATAATGAGTTCACTCGGCGGGAGGGGAACGCAGGAGGAAACGATTGCAGGGAAGATTTCAATCATCGGATTACCCGATGCATGCGCCGACGAGTGACTTTGTCGGTTTTGCCACACTTCGCCGTATTCCTCGCAGAAGAAGAAGAGAAAAAAAAAAAAAAAAAGAAAAAACGCGGTTACGTCATCGAGACGAAAGATCACGCACGGCCTCGAGAGGTTGTTTTCCACGAGAGAGAAGGCGTTCGCGCTCGTGGATACGAAGGCGGATCACACACAGTGTTTCTATTCAAGTATACGATTTAGGGAATGTTAGTTGTGGCTTTGCCACTCTAAGTCGTCTCTGGTCTGTCTTTGATGTTTAATTAAAAAGTGGCTGTCAACGTGGTGTCGAAATGGCGACAGATTTATAATTCTGTAGAGGTTTCTAGTGGTTCGATTCACGACAAATTATTACTAGGCACCGCTAGAATCTTCTGGAAAATTATAAGAGAATAATAATAATAAATAATAATAATTTATTATTATATTATATATTTATATTTTTATATTATTATATGATTATATAATAATAATAAATAATAATAATTTATTATTATATTATATATTTATATTTATATTTTCATATTATTGTGTTATATATTTATATTTATAAGCAAGGTTTGGGTTAGGTTAACATAGGGACATGTCTTAGCAACGTTCCTTATAACTCGTTGACTCGCTATATACTTATATTTATATTTTTATATTATTATATTATATATTTACATTTATATTTTTATATTATTATATTATATCTTTATATTATTATTATTATTATTCTATCTATTATTATTTAATAATAATGATTAATAATAATTTTATCTAGAGAGTGGTCTAGTAATAATTTATTTGTGGTAAATCGACTGTTACAAACCACTGGTGAATTATAAATCTCCCTGAAAACAGACATTCTGTATATTTATAATAACAGTTTATTATTACAGTTATTTTTACAGATTTGAATGATATCCAGTGAAATATATATTTTTTACAAGATGCGTTAAAGGAGAGACAATATGTACAATGAAGCATCAACAATGGACAAAGCGAGCGTGTAGTGTAATTAGTGCATAATCAATTCAGAATGACTTGGAAATGGTTGATTCATTGCATTGCGCGTAAGTATAAGTATAAAATTGCGTAAGTGTTAATGGACACCACTTTTTTGAGGTCATATGTAGATAAGATAAGATCATTTACGCTCATAAATTATTGCAAACGATAATGGTCCTAAAATTCTCATTCTCGAGACAAATTATCTCCTTAACTATTAGGTTTAGAACCAATGTAGGTTGATACTTTTTTACTTGAAATTTAATATTCTCTCGATTTATGATGAAAAATATATATATAAGTTGATAGCTTTCATTTATAATGGGTGATTCACATAACTTGGAAATACCTGAAATAACTTTTTAATTATGTGTCTAATGAAAAATTGCTTGATACGAAAGTTGTATGGTTTTAAGGCGGGCAAAATATGGCGTGCTAATTTTCTTTGTGTGTGTTGAGTTTCGAAATTTTCAAGTATTTCACATATATATATATTTATTTATTTATATATATAATATTTTAGTTTAAAAAAATAGAGGTGACTTTGAAAATTTCGAAAATCTTCAACACACACAGAGAAAAAATATATATATATATTTTAGTTTAAAAAAATAGAGGTGACCTTGAAAATTTCGAAAATCCTCAACACACACACACACACACACACAGAGAAAATTGACACGCCATATTTTGCCTGCCTTAAAACCAAACAACTTTTGTATCAAGCAATTTTTCATTGGACGCACAATTAAAAAGTTATTTCAGGTATTTCCAAGTTATGTGAATCACCCACTATAAATAAAAGCTGTCAACTCTTTCTTTTTTTACTTCAATCGTCGATTAGTAGAAATATTTTGAGATTGCTAGGATCAGAAAGGTGGCTTTATTTGGACTCCAAAGTGCGAAAGTTGCGTAAAAATGTTTACGAACTTACAAAAAAAAAAAAAAAAAAAAAAAAAAAGAAAAATGTACGAGGCAAACTTGTTAGGCCAGTAGATCTAATCTGTTCGTTGAACAAGCAGAAGATAAATTGCGGTAACATGTTAAATTTAGGCAGAGAGCGCGTGGGGATCGACCGAAAAAAATAGAAAATCACTTGATGAACGCGTGTTTACGCGGCGCCCACTCAATTATTCTTGACCCAGATACGGACATTAAAAATCGTGAAAAGGGCACACCGATTACTTTAGCAAAGTTTTCTTCTTCTTCTTCGATCAAGGCGCTGTCCTTCCACGAAACAGAAGATCGATACCGCGCTAGCTTTTTATTTGCGATTACTTCGCGATGGAGAAAACTCGAACGTGTAAAAAACACTGGGAGCAAACACAGCAGTTTGGCAACGAATTTAATAAAATTTATCAAATCTATTCCTATATTCCAAATATTTTAAATCTATTCCTATTGTAATCGACAGGTTGTGGAATAAAAATATTTCAATTATAAAAACGTAATTATAATTATGAAAGGCGTACGAATAATCCAACGTAGAAAACAATGCACGAGGTAACTTTTAAACAAGAAGGAACAAAGTTGTATATTTCAATTCTTTTTTAAATGAATGACAATGAAAATGCAAAATTTTCATCAGTTTGCTCGAGCGTGATAATTGCATTATTCTCGACCAACGGAGAATTAATCCATGGGGTATACAGATGTCAATCAAAATCGATAGACAGCAGAGTATTAAGAAAATGTTAAAAAAGTAAAATACAGTGGTGCATTTTTGATTGAAGGGCCACGCGTTGGAAACGCTGCACAATTATATTTTATTTATTAATATTATTAATATTATTAATAATATTAATAGTATTAATATTATTAATTCATTTAAAATCAAAATTTAATATGCAATGTACATTAAATATAATTAATATTATAATAATTTAATTCATTTATGTTATTTGTATAATAAAATTTTATATAATTTATATATAATTAATATATATTTATACTTATAATAGGTAGTATTTTTATTTTTCTTTTTCTTTTAAATAAAAATTATAAATACTTATTATAAGTATATTAATTATATTTATATAAATTAATTATTATTATATTTATATAAATATTAATATAAATAAATATTAATTATATTTATATTAATATAAATATAATTGATATATAAATATATATATATATATATATTATTAAATAATTTACATATATATGTATATAACAATAGAGGTGGTTACCACGTTGATTCGCGTTTAAAAGTCGTCGAAAGGAATTTTCGATTCAGATGTTTATCGCGGTGCTTTATTTGCACAGCATCCACATCGTGGCTTCCAGGTCAGGTGCAACGTTGGTCGTGGAATACCGATATCGTGTCGCGTGTCGATCCTTTCGCAATCGTTTTCCGCGTTCACACACGGTGAAACGGGAGAAAACACTTCGAAATACCAGTCCCAGATCGTATAACCATCTTGTCCAGCCACGAATGAGAAAGAAATTTCATTTTCGCTAGTCTTAACTCCTTGAACGTTTATGTCGAGTATACTCGTCATGGAATTTTATTATTTAACGTCGAGTAATCTTCTCGTAATGTAGAAAAAAATTCGTTTCTGCTATTTATTGTAGTTTATTGTAGTTAATTTGTAGTAGTTAATTGCAGTTAATTTACGTCGTATTGTAATATTTAATTAAATTAATCGTCCACTAGTTCGATTATAAAATTAAATAATCCAGAAAAAATAAATCCATGTCTAATTATTATAAAATGTCATCCATGTAATCATAATTTTGTTATTAATATTATTCTTATTAATGTAATTCCTATATGAACAATTGAAGAAATAGCAACAATTAATTTTATATCTAATTGACACAAACATATAATTCTCGAGAATAATATTCCAAATAAATAAATTATTATTAAATATAAATAAAATTTATTAAATATAAATTTTTACTATATATATAATTCGTAATATTCCATATCTTCCTAATTTGAACTGAAGTTAAAATTATTGAACTAAAAAAAAAAAGAAGCTTCAACATGAGCTTTTAATAATCATCCATGAATCATATATATTGGAATTTTTACTAAAAAAAAGGTAAAACTATATAAATAAATTTAAAATTATTAATATTTCTAAAAATATAAAAATTTAATCGACAGAATGAATTTAATAAATTAAATAATAAATATAATAATGGTAAAGAAAATGCTAGACTACAAAATATTAAATAAAATGAAATTCACCATATCCTCAAAAAAATTCCTAATAAACTAGATTCAAATACAAAATAAAATAATATTAAATTTATGTGCCTCTGTTTTATTGCAGTTAATTCACGTCCTATGAAAAAGCTATGTGCTTCCATTCACGAAACTGTTGCAAAAATAAACGTGCAATCTTTCCTACATTTGCCAACCAGAAGATAAAATCCCAATTGTCATAAAACGGCGAAAAAAAATGAAATGGAACTGAATTAAATTTTTTTACAATATAATTGAAATTAAAAATTCGTCTCTGAAGAGGTCAAACAAAAAAAAAAAAAAAAAAAAATAAAAAAAATGGCGATATTCTCGGGATTGTCTCGTTCTCTTCAATCGACAGGTTAAGGATTAAGAGTTAAGGATTATTAAAACGTTATTAAGAGTTATTAAAACGTAGTCAACTACATTCTGTTCGTAATAAGCACGTCTATGCGCACGTGAGCACACGGAGATGTTTGCTGCGCAGTTCGCGCACGTATTTCCATGGTTCACAGTCGCGAACGCGACTGTGTTTGGCCTCCTTTTACTTTCCGCTCGCCGCCACGCGTCCGCGAGCATCCTTCTGTTTCTTGCCTACTATATTTCAGTGGACTTTCAGTGTCGGTCCATTCGTGAATCCGCTACTCGCTTTTCTCCGTTTGTTTCGAGCCCACGCGTCTTTATTTTCTCTCCCCGTTCTACCCCGCTGTGTTTATTTTTTCCAATCACCCTGACTCGCTCTCTCATTTCTTTTTTTCTTTGCTTCCTGGACCATCCAAGACCGAGAGATAGATCAGAAAATAGAAACGAGGGACGAATCTTTTTTTTGTAAAGGCGAAGCGGCCGATTTAACTACGTTGATCAACTGTTAATTAGTAACTTAAAGGGGGGACAAATTTGATGTTGTTCAAATATTGTAGAAATAAGAGATTACTCCCTTCGTTCTAAAATAAGTGTCCATGTTATGTACTTTTATTACATCGAGGTTAAAGGAAACTTCTTTATAATAATCTTTATTATTTTAAAATAATAAATTACGAAATTTTTTCTATTGTTAATTAATACTAAAATCATAATTTCAAAATTAAACTATAACATGATATAAATAAATTTATATAGTTTGTCCTATAAATTTTTTTCATATAATAAAATTAATTAAATATTATTATTTGATTATTGTTATTATATATAAATTAAATTTATTTAAAAAAGACTAGAGACTAAAGACTTTCTAAATATGTATATTTATTTTTTTATTCTACAAATTAAATATATATGTATTTGGATCATTTACTTTCGAGATAATTAAAATTATTGAAATTAATTAATTAACCCTGATTCCAAAGGTACAAAATATATTTTACTTATTTATTTTAAAAAAATTCATTTTCATTGCTTTTAACTATTAATAATATTATTAATTTTTAATTATTACTAAAATATATTATTATTATAAAATTTTATTTAATTACATTAATTTATAATTATATATACACATTTTATTTATTCATAAATTTATATTTTTAAATAAAATTTGTAATTAAATTTAATGTAAATAAATAGTTTTATATAAACTAAAATCTTTTACTTAAAAACACCTTCCAGTACTTTTACTATGTTACGACTTATTCCTATTAGAAATTGACAATTTATGGTTCCATAATGAAAGACTCTTGTACAAAATACAAACAGAAAGTTAGACTCTAACTTATAAATGTTTAATCCAGCTGAAGGTTAGCTCACGAGAAAAGTGTCAGAAAGGTTTCGAAAAGTGTGGTTTACAAGTATTGTTGTACCCTCAAAAATAATGGTAAACATAAAAAAACAGATCTAACTAAAAGAAGTCAAATCGTTGTTTTGCAACGTCTTATTAAAAATTTTAAAAGCCACGAACCACAGTATGGGTTTTATATTAAAAGTATCAGCAGGGAATTGGACGTATCTGCAAAAGCTATTAGCAGAATTTGAAGTCAAGGAAATGCTATAAATGTAAATCTAAAATAAAACAAAAGAGAAGATGATTATAAGCTTCTACCATTTTGCCAAATGATAGATTAGCTTTAATCAGCTATTATAACCAAGAAATGTCATATTTAAACGTGTAAAGTCATTGAAAGACAAGTTAATAGCAGATAAATCAAATTTACGTTCTGAAAAGTGGGTATTTACTCCGGAACAAGTATAACGTGTAAATTATGGACACTTATTTTGCAACGGGAGGGAGTATATCTTATTTAGCAGTCACTCAAAGAAGCAGGTAGTTGTTCGGAGGTCGAACGAACGTTGAGCTTTTTATCGAGAGCACAATTATTATACATATTTATATCCGTTACGTCACTTGTCATTAATATGTAGTTATGTAAGTGCAGCATTACTGCAACATTTTGCAAACATTATCGGCGTTTAATAAAGTGAAAAGTTCAATACAACAAAAGAGCGTGAAAAAAAAAAAAAAAACAGAAAGAATTGTGCGCGCGAATTGCGAATCGTGTTGCAAAATTCAGTTTCGAAAGAATGCAAAATAACGACGTTGGTATCTGCGTTGTTTCGATCAGCCCAGTTACCAGAGTTCACTAGTCCAGTAGTTTTTGCAACGTTTCTGTCGATAACGAGCAAAAATTTTAACCTTTGTTAGAAATCCTCGCGACCAGACACCGCCGCGGATAAACTATGATACAGATATGTACACTATGTTTGTCCGGTCGGTGATAACGCGGAGGAGCTCGTACGACAATGCGATAAATGTCTTTTGCGAAAGAAACAAGCGTTTCGTGAAAGTGGGGACACATCGTGACTCGGATGATTCCTCGTCTCGATTACGGTAATCCGAGCCCTTTGCAAACTTTTCCGTTTCATTTCCAAGAACTCGAATTCTTTGGCAATTTACGTTAGACGAAAGTAAGATCAAAATATGAGAAAAAAACATAAGATCGAAGTAAATTAAGAAAACGTACAGCAGAGACTAATAAACTGTTTATATATATATATATATATAATATATATAATTATATAATATAATAAAATATTTTATTTTTATTTATATAAAAATTATATAATTATATTATATATTTTATATATAATATACATATCTACCATATTATATATATATATATATATATATAATCTAACATATATATATTATATATAAAAAAATATATATAACCTAATATATTGTATATACATATGTTATAAGAGACCAATAAACTGTTTTTCTAATATATATGTGTATGTATATATAGAAAAACAGTTTATTAGTCTATATATATAATATTTAAATATTAACTAAAAATATATATAATACTTATATATATTATATATATATATATTTAAATATTAACTAAAAAGAGTTTATTACTCTATAGATATATATATATATATATATATATATATATATATATATATATGTATATATTTAAATATTAACTAAAAACAGTATTAGTCTCTCTCTCTCTCTCTCTCTCTCTCTCTGTATAATTTCATATAAGTACGTACAATAATTTTTCTAATAAACTGTCAATATGTCTCGAGTGTTGTGAAGATCATATAAATTTATGCGTTCGTTGCGTAGCAGTTGCTTTTATTAAGACAGAACCGACGGAGAAATATGGAAATATGAAAATTAAATATTCCCGAGTGTAATTACGCCTTACGATGTTTCGTCGCGCGGCGGAGATTTGTTATCTCGGCGAAAAGTTTTTTTAAGGAATTCCGAGAGGAATTTCGAACGTTATTTGCACATCTTGCAAACAGTTGGCGCTAAACAGAGGCCGGTGGCAATTTTTGTTGCGCCTTCGCTGCCGCGGCCACCAACTTGGCCGTGCACTTGCCAACGAATTGAAGGAATCGCTGACACCACTGATTATACGAATTATCGTCGCGGTTACACCATTGGGTAATGGATAGTTTTTGCGTAGCGACCAACGAAGTTCGTCCTTCCTCCCTCCCCCCTCCACCCACTCACTCGAGTTACACTATCTGACTAAATTACTTCTTAGTAAATAACGTTTGCGTAGATTTCGAAATGTAGGCTTCCCCACGACGACATGCATTGCCTTGCACTGCAAAACATTGCGAACTACTGTGTTTTAGGTTTGGCATTTCCTTTCTTATTTTTGAAACTTTCGATAAACGACCGATCTCAGTTTCAAGTCCCACTTATTAATAACGTTCGTTTAAACTATTGCCAACTATTTCGAATTTATACATCGACTGAAAGTAGCTCCCTTCTCTGCAAAACAAATTCCTCGTCTTCGCGAATCGAAGACACTTTGCAGAACCTTTTTCCAACTTTAAATCGAAGGCACATAGGAAAACGAATAACTTCCACCTTTTCCACCCACGACGTTGAATAATTTTTCCGTTTAATTCGAACTCGTTTCCCCAATTTACTCACTTTTGGAAGGTCGGCGGCCCCCCGCGAGTCGACGGTGCGCGCGAGTTTCCGCAAGGAGGACCGGAAGCGAGGCTCGGCGACGGAGAGCTCCGTTCAGTGAGAAAGAAAGTCGTCGGGTGTCACGAGGCGCGACGAAATTGCGCTTAGGGTCCAGCGCGATCCGCTCGCAATAGGAGATGGTCAGAAACTGTGCCAAGAACAGTACGCCGCCGCGGCAGACCGCGAAGCTCGTACACCTACGACGCGTATACCTACGCCGGTGTGCGGTGGCTAACCAACACAGCACCGATCCATCCGCTTCACTCCTCTTCACCCCTCTGTGTCGATCATTCCATCGTCCAGTTTTTCTTTCCGTGGAAAAGGAACGAATACCGCGGGAGGGGGGGAATTCCGAATTAATATTCGGACGCTTAACCTTTTGCCCTCGACAAACTTTCTTTGCATTGTCTGTTTCAGCGATTTGTTTATTCCAAGCATCGCTTCGAATAAAATAGCATTGGATAATAAAATAGTATTAAACGACTAATAATAATGGATATAATAAAATAATATATCAAATCATTGATAGTAATAGATAATAAAATATCATCAAATCACTAATAATAATGGATAATAAAATAGTATAAAATCATTGATAGTAATGGATAATAAAATAGTATCAGATCATTGTTAGTAAGGGATAATAAAATAGTATCAAATCATTGATAGTAATGGATAATAAAATAATATCATATCATTGATAGTAACGGATAATAAAATAGTATCAAATCATTGATAGTAATGGATAATAAAATAGTATCAGATCATTGATAGTAATGAATAATAAAATATCATTAAATCACTAATAATAATGGACAATAAAATAATATCAAATCATTGATAGTAATGGATAATAAAATAGTATCAAATCATTGATAGTAATGGATAATAAAGTAGTATCAAATCACTAATGATAATGGATAATAAAATAATATCAAATCATTGATAGTAATAGATAATAAAATATCATCAAATCACTAATAATAATGGATAATAAAATAATATAAAATCATTGATAGTAACGGATAATAAAATAGTATCAGATCATTGTTAGTAAGGGATAATAAAATAGTATCAGATCATTGATAGTAATGGATAATAAAATATCATTAAATCACTAATAATAATGGACAATGAAATAATATCAAATCATTGATAGTAATGGATAATAAAATAGTATCAAATCATTGATAGTAATGGATAATAAAGTAGTATCAAATCATTGATAGTAATGGATAATAAAATAATATCAAATCATTGATAGTAATATCATTAACAAATAGTTATAAGTGATTCATTAAAACATAATGTTAATAAGATTGAAAAAACATGTGCTTGAATAATTGATATAGAAATTTCTAAAGTTAATAACATATTTTAAATAATTATAGTAAATGGTAAAATAGAAATTCAGTTTATTACAAAATTTCTTAATAAAATTAAAATTAAATGTCCAGAAATTAAATTCGAGGATAAACGAATTGATAATGTTCAAGGTCGAATTATTATATAAAATGTATAAGAGGCTTAGGAGAATTTAATGGAACTGAATGTTTAAAAAAATTAATTGGGAAATTGATTGATAAATAAATAAAAAATCTTTATCATAATGATAATGATGTTGATAAATTAAATAAAAGATGTCTCGTTGAATGAAAAAATATAATCTAAAAAAATTTATAAATATATTAAAATAGTATTACAACAATCACATCGAGAAAATAGCAATGAAATCATTCGAATGGTATTCAACACGAAATTTTGCTGATTATGTCTTTCTTAATATCTCGTTTAAATTGAAAACAATAATCAAACAATAATCGTGCATTGATACACGGCTTGCTAGAACAAGTATAATATTAGGAAAAATAATATTCTCCATCATTTTTTAAACTTTCGTAAGAAGCAATGAGAAGTATAGTTTATGTGAATTATTCAGTGTCAATTGACTCAGGACTTGGATCTTCAGAAATTTCTTCTTCTGAAATTCTTTTGTTCTTCTTACGTCGTTGTTATAGCTTTCACTCTAGGCAAATGTACACGTTCGTTACAATTATCAGTCAATTATAGAAAGTGTAATAAAACTAAATTTAGAACGGAACATTGGAACTATATTAGTTATAATTTTGCAAAAAGAAATTTTACAATAATAATGTACTGAAATTAGCAAGAATCTGTGTTCTATTAATTAGCTTCATCAAAAGTTGAACGGCAGGCTATTGATAATAATAATAATTGACTAATCGACAGTTGCCACTTCATTTTTGCTTGCATCAAAATATATTTTGCAGAAAGATATTGCTCGCATATCTGACAATCTCGTGAATCAATTAAAATCATTCTCATTCAGAGTTAATATTCTCTCTTATGAAAGACAACTGCATGTGAAGAGTTTTAGCAGTTTTCAGGTAACAAAGATTTATTTTTTTTCTTTCAATGTACACGCGATAACGTTAAATGTTGAAATTTTGTAAAAAGAAATTATACAATAAAAGAATTCGAGCTTATTTTAAAGCTCGATGTCTCTACTTTTAAAATATATCGTTCATTTTATTCTAAAATGATTTGGGGCTACATAGTAGATGACAAAATGAAAACACTTTTGTTCTTGAAAGTGCTTGAAATTTGTTATGGTGTGTAAAAATGTTGAACAGTTTTTTTCACGATTGAAAATATACTATCGTTTACAACGACATCTCAGAATTTGCTATGCTATTTTTTTTTCGCCAATTTATTGAACTTTAAATACCAGGCGAAAACGAACACAACGACAAAAATTTCTTAAATTTTCGTCATCTAATAAGTTCAATAAAATGGCGAGAAAGAAATCGTACGTCAAGTTTCTCAAGGTCATCGTAAAAGGGGAGGCTTTAATTTTCAGATCCATCATTCAGATTCCGTCATGGAGAAAATTTTTCAATGTTTTTACACACCATGATATTTTACAGGATATTTGAAAAGAGAATTGTTATTTTCACTTAATCACTCGCTACGTAACGTAAAAATACATTAGAACAAATTAAACGACGCATCTTAGAAATAGAGTCTTCAAGCTTTAAAATGAAGGCTTATTGTCGTACGATTTTTTTCTTTTTAAATAAAACTATTTTTAAATAAATTATTTTGAATGAAACTATTTTCAAATAAATTGTTTTGAATAAAATTATTTTCAAATAAATTGTTTTAAATAAAATTATTTTCAAATGAATTATTTTAAATAAAATTATTTTTAGATAAATTATTTTGAATAAAATTATTTTTAAATAAATTAACCTCAATATCTAGTGTCCGAATATCAATGAGAGTTATTCGAATTTTGGGAATTAGAGGTTATTTGAATTTTACTTTCACGCTTCGTTTTCATTTCACGTACATATGCCCGTCATCAACTTGCCTCGTTGCTAATTATTAATCAAACTCTTAGGTAAACAGAGCGTTTAATATTAATGAGTGTCATCTGACTGTCTGAATATTAATGACAGCGTGAGTATGTACTTGGCGCAACTCACTGATCAAACAATCGCGGATCGAAGATGCAACTGCGCAATATCTACACCTTGGATAATTATTAGCGAACGAAGTAAGACGATTGATTGTTCAAAGATGTGGGTAAAGCGAAGAGCGAATATTTTGACAAGTTTGTTTCTAGTTAAAAATCTAAATAATTAATAGAAATTAATTGGAAATTTAAAGATTCATTTAATGGATAGATAGAAAATCGGTAAAAGTTCTTTGAACGAGTAAGCGATCGTTAAAAAGATGTCGAGGGCAAACAGGAACTGTATTTAATTAAGTATATTAAGCTCGTTGAGCGATACAATAAGAGAGCGGGATAAGAGGTCGGCCGAATTGAGCGAATCTCGCTTGAAAACGCTGTCCAAATTAAATACACAGACTGGTAAAACGAAATTGACAAATGGACAGAAGAAAAAAAGAAAAAAAGTATCATTTATATTATTCGTATGAAGGAGAATTATCACTTTAAAATACTATCGTTTATTTATCTATACGTTAGAAACAAACAACACTTTCGAGGTCCTCGAAAATTTCCTGGTTACAAAATCATTTAAAAAAAAAAAAAAAAAAAACGCAAATGTGGGCTGATCAGCACGAATATCAAATAAAATCGAAGCCTCCTAAAAAAGGGGCCCTCTGTGTCTTCCGAGTGATGAACGAAAACTTAAAAAAGAAGAAAGAATGAAAAGTCTCGCGTCTTCCATCTTTCTCCAAAGAAAAAGGAAAGAGAGAAAAAATAAATCTCAACGATTTCTTATTTAAAAGATGCAAAATTCTCAGAAAGAGAAGCTTCTGTTTTCTCAAAACTAGGGAGGGGGAAGGAAATTAAAATTCATCGATTCGCCGCGCGATAAAGAAAATACAAAAAAGAACGAACCTGAGAATAGCAAAAGAAAAAGGCAAAGAAAAGAGAGATTCGTGGCGGATTTCGTTCAACTGCCTTCGTTCGACGCGACCGATTCGTTCGAGGCGATCGCGAATTCTTCCATCGACGAGTCGTTGAGATCGATCGCGGAAGCTGCGTTCCTCGACACCAGCGAAACCGCCGTGCACGTGGAATCGAAACTGTCATTCGTTCGCAAATTCATCTCCGTGAAATTTCCCCCTGAATTTCGAGGCGAAGAACTCGAGCGCTCGTCTCCTTTCGCGAATGTCCTAGCTCTCTCGACGTTTTCTCCTTTTCTCTCCTCTTCATCCTCGTCTTTGCTCGATCGTTCATCAACCGCGACAAACATTGTCCCACAGCTGTCAGCTTGGACTTCTTCAACTCTGTCTGTCCTCACTTTTGCCTCGCGCAGATCGTCGCGCGTTAAACGAGATTCCGACGAGCTCGAGTCGTCGTCTGCCCTGTATCTGAACGTCTCGATTTCTTCAGCAGCTAAACGCAGTTCCAACGAGTCTCCTTCAAGTTCCTTCGGTTTCTCGACGACACTCGACTCGTTGCTAGACGTTAGAGAAACCGACTGGATTTTCGAACTTGACTCCACCGAGGTTTCCATTTCTTCTTCCGGCGACTCGTTTGGACAGATCTCGATGTCTCCTAAAATTCGTCTCTTCAAACGCAACGCGGACTTCTCTTCTTCAATCTCTTCGCTCAACCGTCCGACTCTCGAACTGTTCGAGTACAGAGTCCAGTCGACAATATTCATCACCGAGTCGTACTCGTCGAATCGGGAAACGTCTATCGTCTCGAGGTCGACGATCCTGTCGAACGAATCGTCGTCTTCCTCCAGTTCCTCCGTATCTTCTTCGTGCTCTTCCCCCTCTGTTTGGTCCGTCGATCGCGAATTATCGAGGAACGTGGCCGTCGACGTCGGCGCGTGAATCTCGAACGGTTTCAAGGTCGACGTGGACGTCGACGCCTGCTTGAACAGGAAGATCTTTTGGTAGAAGTGTCGCGCGTAAAAGCAGAACACCAGCATCCAGAAAATGATGATCGTGTACAGGGACACGATCCTTTGCTCGCCGACCACGAAATCCGACGTCTCGCTCGAGTTTGTTCCCTCGAGAGAATCTTCTTGGTCATCCTCGCCCTCCAACTCCACATTCTCGGTTTCCTTCTCCTCTTCAACATCCTCGTGCTTGTATATCTTCTCGATTTCCTCGCGCTCCTCCGTCTCTTTCGTTAATTTCCTAATAATCTCCTCGACATCTTCCGTCAGAGTGACCATTTCATCCAGCTGCGCGCTGTCGATGCTTTCCTCCACGTTCACCAGCTCTTCCTCAGCGTCGACATCCTCCAGTATCTCGTACGTACGATTCAAGCTCTCCCTGCGAGCCTGCACCGGCTCCGAACGTACCAGCATGTACCTTTTCTTCAACTTGTCACTCGCGATCGGAGTGTGATCGTTCGAGGACACTTTCGAGTAAGACGTTCCGCTCTCTTCGTGTAGTACTCTCCCGAAAGCGTCGTAGCTGTCAACGATCGATATCGGGGAAAACGTCTGCAGCGTCTCGAGGTACTCGTTTCTCGTTGTTTCTTCGTCCTCGTCATCAACTTCTTCTTCTTCTTCTTCGTGTCTGTCGTCCATCAGAGAGAGCAAGTTCGTTTTACTCGATACGTCAAGGTCGAGCTCCGTGTCCTCTGGATCCTCCACGTTATCTATCGCGTCGGCCAAGTTGATCACAACGGGGAACTTGATGTTCGTGAAGATGTCTTCCTTGACGAATCTCAGGCAATCATCCTCGAAGAATTTCAACGCTCTCTGCTCCTCCAGCGAGCGTTCCTCCTGCGTTTCTTCAGTTTCCTCTATTTCCTCGCGAGGTACCAACCGAGACGTCTCAGTTCTATCGTCGTGAACAGTCTCGAGCACTCCGGCGAGCAATCCGCGCAGGTTCAAGCTCCTCCAGATGCGTGCCAGCTGGGTCAGAAAGTCGTTCAATCCGAGCTCGCTGACGATCCGGTGCTCATCGTTGTCCTCGAGATCGTCGATCTCGAGCAGATCCTCGTGATCGATGGCGGTGATGCAGAAGTCGCAGAGTGAATTCTCACCGTCGTCTTCTCCCTCTTCCACGCCTCTTCGATGCGGACGAATCACGCGGAGAGCGGTGTGCTCGTACATGGGAAGGCTCCACGAGTTTCTGCTCGGTTGGAAGATAAATTCGTCCGACGACGACGACGACGACACCGTCTGCCTGCCGTTCAAAATCTCCTCCATCGTGTAAAACTCACTCGACAAGTCGAAACTGGCGTCCAACGACCGATAGGCGAACATGTTGTGCAGGGTTCTCACGGTGTCTTCGTCCACGATGTCCCACACCGGGGTGTCGTTCTCTCTCGAAGCCTCGGAACTGTTTAAAATCACGTAGTTGATGTCGAACCCACCGAGATCCGACAGATTCGAGATTACTCTCCGCGTGATCGTTTCGGGTTCGTTCAGCAATACCTCGACAATATCTTCTTCTGCTTCGTTCCGTGCAACATCTGTTTCACCTTTTACGGGCTGTGAGAAAACTTTCGGTTCTTTCGTTTCTTCCTTTTCATCACCTTCCACTTGTTTTTGACAATATTTGTCTCTGATATTTGAAGTCTCCTGTCGATGTTCCTCCTCTGTGTTCGATGTTGGATCAATTCCCTCTGTTTGGTCTTCTGATTCAAATTTTTTTAGCTGATCCTCCGTTTTTAATACGGAATCAGATTCTTTCTGGTGGGTTTCAAATGTTGCTTGAAACTCTGTACTCGGCTGGTCTTTGATCTCTAGTATTGGTGCAAGTCCTTCCTTGACGTCTTCGCAAGTTTTTGATACTAATTCATTTTCCTTTTTGTGATCCTCGGTTTGATGTTCCTCCTCGAGTTCGAGTGGTCTTCTTGCTCCATGTTCGATCGTCTGTGTGTTGGCATCGTCTGGAAAAAAGACAAAAACAAAGACTTTGAATCCGTCTAAAGCTAATAAAACCTAAAGCGTTGTACGAGTTGTTCACACCCAAAATATCAATATGCCACTCGCTACAATATCAAAATTTTTAACCTACTTTAAACCTAACCTGAACCAAACCTTTTTTTTTTAACCCGAATCTAACTCAAACTTAACCTAAATATAATTTAAACCTCACCATCCGCTATAATATCAAAGTTATTAACCTAACCCAACTGAATCTAACCTAAACTGAATCTAAACCTAACTTAGGACATCATCACCCGCTACAATATCAAAGTTACTAACCTAAGCCTAAACCTAACCCAGAACATCACCACCCGCTACAATATCACAGTTCATTTTAAAATAATTTTGCTACCGGTACCAAATCTAACCTAAACCTAATCTAACTCAGAACCCGCTACAATATCAAAGTTACTAACATAAGCCTAACTTAGGTAAGTTACTAACCTAACTCAGAACATTACCACCCGCTACAATATCAAAATTCATTCTAAAATTCTAACCTAACTTAGAACATCATCATCCGCTACAATATCAAAGTTACTAACTTAAATCTAAACCTAACCCAGAACATCACCACCCGCTACAATATCAAAGTTCATTTTAAAATAATTTTGCTACCGGAACCAAATCTAACCTAAACCTAATCTAACTCAGAACCCGCTGCAATATCAAAGTTATTAACATAAGCCTAACTTAGGTAAGTTACTAACCTAATTCAGAATATTACCACCCGCTACAATATCAAAATTCATTCTAAAATTCTAACCTAAACCTAAATTAGAACATCATCATCCGCTACAATATCAAAGTTACTAACTTAAATCTAAACCTAACCCAGAACATCATTACTCGCTACAATATCAAAGTTACTAACCTAAGCCTAAACCTAACCCAGAACATCACCACCCGCTACAATATCACAGTTCATTTTAAAATAATTTTGCTACCGGAACCAAATCTAACCTAAACCCGCTACAATATTAAAATTACTAACATAAGCCTAACTTAGGTAAGTTACTAACCTAACTCAGAACATTATCACCCGCTACAGTATCAAAATTCATTCTAAAATTCTAACCTAAACCTAACTTAGAACATCATCCGCTACAATATCAAAGTTACTAACTTAAATCTAAACCTAACCCAGAACATCATTACTCGCTACAATATCAAAGTTACTAACCTAAGCCTAAACCTAACCCAGAACCTCACCATCTGCTACAATATCAAAGTTATTAGCCTAAACCAACCACCTAACCTAAATTAAATCTAAACCTAACCTAAACCTAACTTAGAACATCATCACCCGCTACAATATCAAAGTTACTAACCTAAGCCTAAACCTAACCCAGAACATCACCACCCGCTACAATATCACAGTTCATTTTAAAATAATTTTGCTACCGGAACCAAATCTAACCTAAACCCGCTACAATATTAAAATTACTAACATAAGCCTAACTTAGGTAAGTTACTAACCTAACTCAGAACATTATCACCCGCTACAGTATCAAAATTCATTCTAAAATTCTAACCTAAACCTAACTTAGAACATCATCCGCTACAATATCAAAGTTACTAACTTAAATCTAAACCTAACCCAGAACATCACCACCCGCTACAATATCAAAGTTCATTTTAAAATAATTTTGCTACCGGAACCAAAACTAACCTAAACCTAATCTAACTCAGAACCCGCTACAATATCAAAATTACTAACATAAGCCTAACTTAGATAAGTTATTAACCTAACTCAGAACATTACCACCCGCTACAATATCAAAATTCATTCTAAAATTCCAAAATAATTTTGCCACCAACTTAACCTAAACCCAATCTAAATCTAATCGAAACCTAACCTAGAACATCATCACCCGCAACAATATCAAAGTTACTTAACCTAAACCTAACCTAAACCAAACCTAACTCCCAGAATATCACCAGCTACGACATCAAAGTTCATTCTAAAATTCTAAAAATAGTTTTGCCACCTTGTTCCGGGAAGTATGGTTCATCCTCCTGATCAATGGTGCTGGAAGAGCACGAGAAGGCAACGTCTTGAGTCGTCGTAGGCTTCATCACCGTCAGCAAGGATCCAGCTTGGCCGCCAAAGTCTACGGAGAGGTTCGCAGAGGTCGAAGTCTCCTTGTCTCGTTCGTTCACAACGAGAATACGACAAAAGGAGTTTACGTCAGAAGACATTGCAGGGATCTCCGGAGGATCTCTGACGTCCTTCTTGGCGGGTATCCTCTCCAATTCTCGACCTTTCTGCGTGCCTTCCAACTTCCTCATCGAAACCATGGAGCCATCGTTGCTCTCCCCCTCCTCCTTTGTCAATTTCTTCGGTCTGCTGTACTTGGTGTGCTGGTTCTTCGTCTCCACTTCGTCCCCAATCCTCTTGCTCTTCACACTCTGCTTCGCCTGTGCACCGCGCAACCGATCGAAATTGTCCAACAGCAGTTTGTCGGCGATTTTTCTCACCTTGGACAGCTTGCTGGAGCAAGAGTACTTTTCGGAGAGCAACGCTTTCCTCGTCGTGACGAACGTTTTACTATCCACGTTCAGCAACGGCTCGGTCTCCGTGGTCGCGTCCACGAACAAGTTCTCCTTGTCGTAATAGTCGTCCACGTTCCGGGGGACGTTCCTCTTCCTGCTACGATCCGAGTGAGTTCTCGAGCTTTCAGGACTCGCGGCTGCAGCCGACTGCCTTCCCGCGTTGGGTCTCTTCCTAGCTTCCAGCTCCTTCTTGTCCTTCAGCAGCGTCACCTCGTTGTACGCCTTCAGGGCTCTCATCTCCCGAGCTTCCCTCTCCCCCTCATTCCCCACTCTCGGGCTCTTCCACTTGAATTTCTTCGAGCTGTGCACCGCCGTCTTCGACGTCTCCGAATGTTTCTTCAAAGTGGTCGGCGTCCTTTTCGAATTCGCAGCGGTGGAAACGTTCCCGGCCTCGTTCTTCGTCCTCCGCGTGCACGACGGCGGTTGTTTCCTGCGATAGATCACCGAGTCGAATATCGCCGGCCGGACCACCTGCGAGAACGGTATCGTCCCGAACGTCTCCACCTTGCATCTCGTCAAGCATTTCTTGTTTATCTCGCATCTTTTGTCGCTGCTGTCTCTCCGCGACTGAGCTCTGCACTCGCAGACACTCTCGTCGGACTGTTTCCTCGGGTTCTCGGCTCCCGGCTTCGTCGACTTTTCACCCTTCTGCGCAACTGGCAACCTCTTCGAGCCTCGCGTACGCGAGTCGCTCTTGCGTTCGCGGTGATTCGCGATCGGCGACACGCGTCTTTCTTCAGACGGTTCTTTCGTACGTTTGGACTTGAAGAACGTCTTTCTGTGCTTCTTCTGTGCTTCGACGAGGTTGCTGGTGGAACTTCTCTGATCGAGGTCGTTCTCGGTCTGCGTGTGGGCGTCCTTCGCGAAGCTCGCGGCACTTGGCTTTAGAGCGTTGCTCAATACGACGGAGAAATCGTCGCGGGATTGCTCGTTTGTTTGTACGATTTCAGGGGCAAGCTGCGTTTCGTCGTTGGTTGCCTCCGAGATTTCGTATCTGAGGAAAATGACAGAGAATAAGTCTCCATCTTGAAGACGATCGGTATGAAAATTTTCGAGTCCCCGCGTAACTGTCCAACAGTTCGAAGAATTGACGTCGAAAGGAGAAGAATATCGATACTAGCCACAAGTGTGGCGAATTCTACATTATATCGATTGTAAAGAAATTTAACAATTTAACATTTCTTTTTTTTTTTTTTTTAATTTTCGAAGTTGAACTACTTTGAGCTACGTAAAGTAAATAAAATTATTCATTGTCTCGTAACGTGCGAGTTCGTACGAATTATCTTCGAATCTCACGTACCTCTTCATCGTACTGAAATTATGATCGTTAGGCAGCCCAACGATTCTCAAGTCTCGCACAGTCGACGACGAATTGTCTTGATCGTTTTGCTCCTTCAAGACGTTCGAGGGTATCAACGCGTCTTGGCCAAGCTGTGCTGGAAATATGCTCCACTTCTTCTTCTCCAACTGTCGGAGCAAACACTGGAGTTCGGTGTTATTGGCGAAGTCCTTCTCGTAACAACCGTCGAAAACTTTCATCGAATCTTTGAAGAACCTTGGGATATTCGTGTCGCTGAAAGAGTTCACTTTTACTACGTTCTTCTCGGTATTTCGTTCGCCCCTCTGCACGGTATTCACAACTGAAAAGGAAATGTAAGTGACGTGACTCTTTACTATTAAAAGTGAAACAATAGAAATAGAAATTCCAAGTAACACTTTACTATTAAAAGTAAAGAAATAGAAACAAAAATTGCAAGTGGCTCTTTACTTTTAAAAGTAAAAAAGTAGAAATAAAAATTAAAAAATTAAAAGTAAAAAAATAGAAATAAAAATTATTCAAAAATTACTAAAAATCTCAAGTAACTCTTTACTATTAAATAGAAATAAAGAAAAAATAGAAATAAAAATTCCAAGTAACTTTTTACTATTAAATAGAAATAAAAATTCCAAGTAACTCTTTACTATTAAATAGAAATAAAAATTCCAAGTAATTCTTTACTATTAAATAGAAATAAAAAAAAAAGCAAATAGAAATAAAAATTCCAAGTAACACTTTACTATTAAAAGTAAAGAAATAGAAACAAAAATTGCAAGTAACTTTTTACTTTTAAAAGTAAAAAAGTAGAAATAACAATTAAAAAATTAAAAGTAAAAAAATAGAAATAAAAATTACTCAAAAATTGCTAAAAATCCCAAGTAACTCTTTACTATTAAATAGAAATAAAAATTCTAAGTAACTCTTTACTATTAAATAGAAATAAAAAAAAAAAATAGAAATAAAAATTCCAAGTAACTCTTTACTATTAAATGTAAAAAAAAAATAGGAATAAAAATTACTAAAAATACCAAGTAACTCCTCCCTATTGAAAGTAAAAAAATCGAAATAAAGATTCCAAGTAACTCTTAACATAAGAAAATAGAAATAAATAACTCTTAAACATAAAAAAATAGAAATAAGAATTCCAAGTAACTCTTCACTACCAAAAGCAAAGAAACAGAAATAAAAATTCCAAAGTTTAAAAGTTACAAAGGCACGTACTACCGTCGGCAACGGGCATAGAAACCACAGCCCTTTTTATTTCACCGTCAGCCTTCAACTCGCTTTCGTCAGATTCGGCAACCTTCAAGATCCCAAAGTTCGTCACCACGTTCCTCGTCACGTTCAGATCCTTCAAAATGTCCGAGATGTTGAGAACCTCGTGCATCGGTTTATCGTTCGGTTTACTGTTCTCCAACTTTGGCAACTGATTGCCCCTTCGGACACTTTTCAATATGTTCAAATCATTTTGCAACAGTTTCTCTATCAAAGGTAAACTGTTGTCCATGGTAAACTCTGCTCTTTGATTCTCGGTATTATTTCGATCGATATTGTCCAAGCACGAGTGATAGGTTGTGCTTTTCGAATTTTTGCAATCGTCCTCCACATCTCTCGTCATCTTGTCTTCGTCGATGCTCTCGTTAGGCGTGGAGTTCCTCATTACGGAGCCGTTCGAGAGGCAATACTCCTCCAGTGTCTTGTTGTACAGATAATCGTCGACGATACAATTGCAGCCGAACAGCGATCGCAGTTTCACGGAGCTGCTACTTTTCTCTACGCTTTGTTCCGTGTGCTTCGAAAGATTCACGGGTGACCAGTCTCGCTCGGTTGAAGAAGGGCAGCCATGTTGATCGAAGTTCTCCGCGTGATCGGATGGATGCAGCTCCGTTTGCTTCGTGCCATTCGTCTCTGGAAAGTCTGTTCCTCCTTTTTCCTTCGTCGATGAATGTTGGAAGGATGGATTCCGTAGGTCCACGAGGTTTATCGAGGACGTGGATGGATTTTTCTGAATTAATATGCAAAAGTCTAGTCAGACAGGATGTTTTCTTTGTCACGAATCGAAATATCCAAAATAATTAAGATATTGGACCTATTAAAAAAATATTTTTGTGTAATAGTATTAGAAAATAGTAATATAAAAATATTATTATATTTAATATTTAATATAAAAATATTAATATTATTATATAATAATATTAGAAAATATAATATAATGTTAGCATATTAGGAAAGTTATTATATTTTTTTTTTGCACGTCGAATAGCAGAGCAGATTTCAAGGCCAGTTTCAGAATCATATATTTTTTATTTTATGCATTGATCGATACAGTTCTGTATTCTCTATAAAAAAAAAGTATCAACATTGTTATATATGTACATACTCATATACGTAACGAAGTACTAAAATTATTAGTTGAAGAGATATTTTCACTTTAATTTTATAAAATTTATAGGACCTTGTTCTTCCTCCTCTTTCGTAAATTAAAGTTCAGATATTTCCTAAATTAATAATTTTTCGATAGACATAGCTCCATTTAAAAATTAAAAGATAATTTGCACCATTTCTTGATAGGTTCAATATTTTACAAGATATTTCAATTCTGCAAGATAAAGGAAACGCCCTGCATATAGTATATACAATATATTAGTATAATATAGAGAATAATATAAAGTATAATATAGAGTATAATATAGAGAATAATATAGAGTATAATATAGAGAATAATATAGAGTATAATATAGAGAATAATATAGAGTATAATATAAAGTATAATATAGAGTATAATATAAAGTATAATATAGAATATAATATAGAATACAATAAAAAGTATAATATAGAATATAATATAGAGTATAATATAAAGAATAATATCGAATATAATATAAAGTATAATATAGAGTATAATATAAAATATAATATAGATTATAGAATATAATATAAAGTATAATATAGAGTATAGAGTATAATATAAAGTATAATATAGAGTACAGAGTATAATATAAAGTATAATATAGAGTACAGAGTATAGAGCATAAGTACAAAAAACAAATTAGTAGAGAAGATACTCGAGGGCACAAGGATACAATTAGTTTGGCAATTCGACAGAAAGCAGTATTTAATTGAAACTAACAAACAAGTCATTAACGCAATATAATGTAACATAACGTAACATAATACTTACCAATGTATGATAATTCTTATCGGCCGTTTCGTTCGTAATTTCATCCATCGTAACTCGATCCGCCGCCGTTTCATTTTCATTTTTATCACTCGTCGTTTCGTCCGTCGCGACTCGATCCTCCGCTTTTCTTTCGCTTTCGTTAATTTTATCGCTGGTGATCGAGATTTCATTTTCCTCACGATCATCTTCATCAGCGATTTCATCCATCTTATCCTCCTCCATCGTTTCATCCACGATCGCGACTTTATCCACGTTTCTTTTCGCGCGTTTGTCCTCCATCACGTTCCAGTCGTACTCGTCGAAAAAGTATCGGGACACGTTCCGTTTCGCGGTTCTTTCCAGCGAGTCGTCGTCCTCCTCCGACAATTTTTGGCGAACAGCCCTCTCCTTGATCCTGATGCGCGCCTCGGCGATGTCCTGGTCGGTCAGTCCAAGGATCCTCGCCGCTTTCTGGCCCGGTGTTAGACTCGGGTCGTCGATGATCCGCGAGATAGTGTCGCTGCTGTCGTACGTCTCATAGCTCTCGCAGGATATCAATGTGGTCAGCGACCGGGTTCTGTACTTGGAGTCAACCAACTTCGAGCACAGCCGACTGACAATCAGATTCGGGTCGCTCCTCATTCTTTTCAACATTCGCATCTTCTCCAGGTGACGTTGCTCCAGGAACAGGCAGGAGTTGGAGTACCAGATGTAGCTGAAAACGACTGAAACAAACGAAATGACGACGATTTGCGAAAGAATGAAAAGTTTATCACAATATCAGTAATAAAAATAAAGTAAAATTTATCGCAATATGAAAATTCATTATTATTTATTATAGATAAATTTGTAAATATACAAATTTATTATATTTTAATTTTATACTGTAATGGAAATTTATAAGTTCATTGTTATTATAAATATAATTTATAAAATTCATAAATCTAGTATTATTAGTATATATTTAATATTATAAATTTATTGTAGATGACTTTCGAATACAGAATATATATAATAATAATACTAAATTTATAAATTTTATAAATTATATTTAAAATATAATTCAGTATTATTATTATACATTTAATATTATAAATTTATTATAGATGATTTTCGAATACAGGGTATATATAATATAATTTATAAATTTTATAAATTATATTTAAAATATAATTCAGTATTATCATTATATATTTAATATTATAAATTTATTATAGATGATTTTCGAATACAGGGTATATATAATAATAATACTAAATTTATAAATTTTATAAACTATATTTAAAATATAATTCAGTATTATCATTATATATTTAATATTATAAATTTATTATAGATGATTTTCGAATACACGGTATGTATAATAATAATACGAAATTTATAAATTTTATAAATTATATTTAAAATATAATTCAGTATTATTATTATATATTTAATATTGTAAATTTATTATAGATGACTTTCGAATACAGGGTATAAATAATAATACTACTAAATTTATAAATTTTCTAAATTATATTTTAAATATAGTATTATTATTATATATTTAATATTATAAATTTATTATAGATGACTTTCGAATACAGGGTGAGGTCTCGTAACGTGACGAGTGTTTTCAGGAAAAAAGTGGTGGAAAATTTCTTCGAAAGCATGATCTTCGAGAAGTAAGAAAGTATTTAGCGGAAGATGTACTTACTCAAAGGGATCACCTTCACGAGGACGAATTCGACGAAAATTGTCAACGAAAATCTCTTGTCGTACCAAAGCAGAAGACCAACGGCGATTACGATTACCTCCAACACGACGTTTTTGAAAAAGCTGAGGATCAGCCAGGGCAGCAGCAAGTTCGGTCGTCTCGACGTTAATATCGGATAAAGATTGATCATGTAGGAGAATGTGTACAGGTGGGCGATGACGATTCGCGTGATTACGATCCATGATAGAACTATATATAATATATAAAGTATATTTAATATATTTGTAGTAAATATATAAAGTATATTTAACATATATTTGTATATAATATATAAAGTATATATATATATATATATATATGAAGTATATTTGTTCAAAGAAAACAAAAATATGGAAATACAGTGACCTAGTCGTTAAAATATTAACTTTATCGGTGCTCTAACCAGTTTTAATAGTATCCTCGCCGATAGTGTCGAAAATAAGCGTCCCCTGCGACAGGGACAAGTTCCAAATTTGTTCGAGCTTGTTGCTCCATTTAATGGCACTCCAATCTAGCGTGCTATTGACCTTCGAGGGAAGAGAAAAGAAGAGAAACTGATTTTCCCGATGACGTTGGAAGTCAGTTCGTATTCTATTTTAAAAATCATGGCCAATATCAGTGCCAGGTTTCAAACGGATAAACGAGTCGTTTTTAGTTTCAAAAGTGAAGATTCCATTGTCATTCGAAAAAATCAAGCTGGCTGTTTTAATATTTACATTTCTACGTTATCCTTCCGTTCTTCAACAAATCGTAACTGATATATTTCCGATCACTAAGGGAATTAGCTGGTTAATAGAATGATAAAAACTTTTATTTTGAAAGCGGCTCAAGTCCATTTATAGTCGTCAAAAACGTGTTATTTTCTAAACATTTCTCGTCACACTAATTAGGTTGGTAAATTGTTAGTTAATTATTATTATTTAATTATTATATTTATTATTATATTTATTTAATTACTATTATTATTAGTTAATTATCACATTTATTTAATTATTTTTGGTTAATTAGTTAATTATTATAATTATTTAATTATTATTAGTTAATTAGTTAATTATTATATTTATTTAATTATTATTATTAGTTAATTAGTTAATTGTTATTATTTAATTATTATATTTATTAGTTATAAATTATAATATAGTTAATTAGTTGATTATTACTTACCTAGGAACAAAAAAACATTAAATTATCAATATACCATATTTTCGTATAATGTATTTTACCGTATTATCAATAAATTATATCACCATATTATCAATTACCAATATGTATTAAAGATAAATGTATAATAATTAATATACTTATAATAATCAATATACATTTAAAGATAAATCGACTTGAAAATCCCTCCTCCCCAGAGAAATGGAATCGAAGGTTATAGAGGTTAAGTTCTGTGACACGAGTCATTGTTCAATAAAAGGAACGATGAAAGAAACGTTGAAACGACCGAATTCTTACCAGGCCCAGGATGTTCATTATCAATCGTTCGGTTTGACTGGAAATACCAAGGTAACGTCCGAGGAAGCTAGGCATTAGGAACGCGAAATTGCCGAAGGAGCCGGTGGACCAGCGTGTCGTCGATTGCGCGAGGGCCGATCATCGTCGATCGTTTAGTCCTTTGATTGAAGCGCTCACGATCACCGAAAACAATCCGCTCTCGAGGGGAATCACCCAAGGGAATTTCAAGGAGTTTCAGGATTTTCGTTCGTTCACGTTAATTTTGTTCGCACCCGGGCTTCTCCGTTTGAGAAGGGACTTCGTTTGCCGAACGATTTTCGAGATAACAATTGACGACAGCGAGGGTACGTGCATGCTCGATGACAAATGAGCAAGAGCGCGAGATGGAGGATTCACGATCACTTGGTCGATCTCTATTCGCGTCAAGTTTCGTTTCTTTTTCTTGAAAATTGAAACAGAAGATCCCTATAACTCATTCATAACTATTATATTATACTCATTCATAAATATTCATAAATATTATATTATGTTATATTATATTATATAATAATATTGTATAATATATGTAATATTAATATATTATATATATACATATAATATTTATGTGATATAATAAGTAATAATATAATATTTATATATATATATATATATATATAAATTATATTATAAATCTGTTGTTTATTTCATACTGCAAAAATGTTCTATTATTTAATAGAATGAATATTTGAATGTTTCAATTGCCCTCTGATCGTCCCGTATTATATTATATTACAATATCTATATCACATATATGTAATATTAATATTATGATATATGTAATATATTATAATATAAATTATATGTAATATTAATATCATGATGTACGTAGTATATTGTAATATAAATTATCTGTAATATTAACATTATAATATACGTAATATATTATAATATAAATTATATGTAATATTAATATCATGATGTACGTAATATATTATAATATAAATTATATGTAATATTAGCATTATAATGTACGTAATATATTATAATATAAATTATATGTAATATTAATATCATGATGTACGTAATATATTGTAATATAAATTATATGTAATATCAATATTAATATACGCAATATATTATAATATAAATTATATGTAATATTAACATTATAATGTACGTAGTATGTTATAATATAAATTATATGTAATATTAACATTATAATGTACATAATATATTATAATATAAATTATATGCAATATTAACATTATAGTGTACGTAATATATTATAATATAAATTATATGTAATATTAACATTATAATGTACGTAATATATTATAATATAAATTATATGTAATATTAACAATATAATGTACGTAATATATTATAATATAAGTTATATGTAATATTAATATTGTAATGTACGTAATATATCATAATATAAATTATATGTAATATTAACATTAACATTAATATACTATTATATAATAATATTATTGTTACTATCATTATTATTATTATCTTATGCTTCTTGTGTCCTCACTTTTACTCGAAAATAGTAAAATAGTATTTAAAAACTTGCACTTTGCCAGAATTATTGGCAATTTCTACGATAGTAGAAATAAATTTTCCATTCCATGATATATGCATGTACGTAGCATTTGTAGATTTCATAAGATTGCTACAAATACTGTAGTACAGTTTTTTACTAGATTCTGATCAAGATTAACAGGAAGAGAGAACAGATGTGGTGTATCGCGTCCTCGATTCGCGCTACTTGAAACCATACGCGCGTGACCTACACAAGATCATTTATCTTCTAATCTAACAGACTGTTCCGACAAACGTAGTATATGCATTATACATAGTTCCTTGCGTGAATACTTCTCTTCGCATCGACGCGCTTCGTTGGCGCCATTTTTACGCCTCCTTTCGTTTACGTTAAGATTTTATTAATTATTTATTAATTTTTTTTTTTTTGGAAAGTGTTAGCGAGAAAATTTTAACAGATCTCTGATCAGTAAAATTGATTAATTTCACGCAAGCGTTTTGCAAATATTTGATTTTTTTACTTCTTTCTGTGAGTTGATGAAAATCTCAAGCTCTTTTCTCCACGTTTTAAATTTTTAATAGTTCTCTTTCGTGGAATAGTTTTCAAAAAATAAAATGTTAAGTCAAATACCAATAAAATTAAAAATTTTTCAAAGAAACATCAAAAAAATTTATCAGTTTGTTTTCAAAGAAACACCAAAAAAATTTATCACTGTGTCTTCGAGTATACTCGTCATCGTCTAGAAATAATTAAGCGTACCAGTGCACATTCTCGAAATAAAACAAAACGCTTAAGAAGCTTTCTTGCGTTTCTTTAAACGAAAATTTAACCTTCTAATTTTTTTTCTTTTCTTAAAAGCTTAATGTTTAGATCAAGCCAATGGCCAATTTTAGGCTTCCTCCACAATAAAATTCACTTTTTGAATAATAAGAATTACGCGTGACAGAGGTAAGGCTAGAAAATATTTTGGGAACCTATATTCAGACGATTTAGACGATCAAAATTTCCACTTTGATCATCGCGAGGTAAGTTTGCTGTTGAAAAGATGAAATGAATTCGTGATCGGTTGAAGGAAACTTTGAACGTCGAGAGGAGGCGGGTTGCATAACGCCAGGAGCCAGAGAAACTGATCGTGCGATTAATTAGCCAAGTGAGTTTTATTGCTTAACTAGATTAATAAATTAAGGTAAGCGTGGCGTATAATGAGTAAAAGTTCACAATGTCTTTGGGAAATTATCATCCACGCTGAATAACGACTTTCCCCGTTAACTGATAATGTATTTTTATATAGTTTATATTTTATCTGACGAGGAAACATGGGAGACTCTTGCCTTCCCATAAGAATAAGTAATTTGTTTTAAAATAATATACGTTTATTCAACGATATACTTTCTCTAGGTCGCACGATCGTTCCTTGCGCCTATATGTATACTTGCACGGCTTCAATACTGCGTGAAGATCGCATGATCAATGCATTTCTGTTAAATATCTGATTCTAGCCTGTTATGTAAATATTCCAGATTTCCTGATTTAAAAAAATTAATCCCCAACATTCTAAGAAAATTAAGGAACAATTAGGACAATCCTGATAGACATGATACCTTGAAGAAGTAACAAATCAATAAATGATATTGATGGAATTATTGTATTCAAAAGATTGGAGAATTAATTCGTCTTTGCCGGTGAATGTTGTTTTACGATGAAACGTATAAAGAAAATACTAATATGACGTAATTGAAAATGAAAGTGACCCGTCAGGTTTAAAGATAAGATCGGTTTTTAAAAATAAAATTGACAAATTGACGAGTAATTATGAAATTTAGAAATCTAATTATTAGTAATATATTTAAATATTTTTAGTTCTACATTTAGGTAAAATTATTAATTTAATTATTAAGTAAAATTTTGACAAAAAGAAGACTAAACTTTATTAAGTAAAATTTTTACAAAAAGAAGACTAAATTTTATTAGTATTAAAGTAGTAAATTATTAAGTAAAATTATTAATCTAATTATTAAGTAAAATTTTTACAGAAAGAAGGCTAAACTTTATTAGTATTAAAGTAGTAAATTATTAAGTAAAATTACTAATTTAATTATTAAGTAAAATTTTTACAGAAAAAGGACTAAATTTTATTAGTATTAAAGTAGTAAATTATTAAGTAAAATTACTAATCTAATTATTAAGTAAAATTTTTACAAAAAGAAGACTAAACTTTATTAGTATTAAAGTAGTAAATAGTAAAATTATTAACTAAATAGTAAAATTATTAACTAAATAGTAAAATTATTAACTAAATAGTAAAATTATTAACTAAATTATTAATTAAAATTTTTACAAAAAGAAGACTAAACTTTATTAGTATTAAAGTAGTAAATAGTAAAATTATTAACTAAATTATTAATTAAAATTTTTACAAAAAAAGAGACTAAACTTTATAAACATTAGTAATATGGACTTTGTAAAAAATAGGAAATATGAGTTCGTGTAGTCATCATGTTCAATGGAACTAAACTTTCGATCATATTGATCAATGATGTAAAGAAATCCGTCGCGGCTTGATTAAATCTATTTCAGGAATATTTTTCAGTTGTACCATTTGCGTAATAAAATTAATAAAATTAAAAGTACACGAAAACAGCACTAAAAGGCACTATTAGTTAGGACAAGTATTTGTATTTCCCTTTTCGCCATTTTCTTTCCTTTTTGCTTAGCAGTTCTTCGTACGATACGTGGCGAGAGAGAAATTTTTATTTATATTATATTATAAACTGATTTTTGTTTTCTCAAATGAAGAATTTAAAAACTAACTGACTCTAGATGGAGCCCTTTCAAAATAATTGCTTACTCAGGGTGGAAAGATGAGGCTCATAAAGACATTTCACTCGCGTCTCTTCCTTAATCAAATAAATAAGAAAAAAAAAAAAAAAAACGTCTCAAAGAAAAGAAGACCAGTTAATCATTGATTTTCTCGCACGTTCAGTTACAAAGTTTCTAGGCATTAGCCGAAATGAAATCTTCAATCAACAATTGTGCGTCTTCCGTGGGACTCAACAGCAACAATTGGCTCTTTGTGCGCAAAAGGTTTCACTCAACCATTGAGTTACGTAATTCCCAAAGCAGAATTTGCTACACTTAGAGTATTTAAAAGTATATTTACGAAGCTTCTCCGTTATTTCCAGAGAAGACGAATTCGAGGTAGTTGTTCTCTCAACGTTTATTCACATTCATCTTCCCGAGACAACGGAACAATCGCTTTATCCCATTTCCTGAAATATTTTAACAAATATTTCCATTTACAACGCACTCTCAACCTGTCGATACATTCATTGTGATTGTTGCTAAAATATTTTTTCGTCGGAGAAGGATAATGGGTAAAAGTTGGCCAATTTTGGGCCTGTTTCTGGCGTGTGTCTCTAAATATTTTAAGGAATTTTGTAGAAAGCATTGCAAGTGCTAAAATTGGAATATTTCTTTATTGAAAAATTATTGAAAGATGTTCTATGTATTAATGAGAACACTGCAATGTGTGTCATATGGAATTTGAGTGAAAGTTTTTTCTTTTGTCCAATCAATAATGCTATAATGATAAAAAGAATCTGAAAAATTTTATGTTTGACACTTACAAATACTTTTAACTATACACTCTGGTTTCTCTTTAATATACTAAAGATGAGACGATGGGAAAGTTGTAAAATCCCACTTAACAATAATTTTGTGATTTTTTTTGGGCATGATTAGCAATTTCTTAAATATGCTTATTTTCTGAATCATTACTTTACTGATACCTCGTCATCGGGAGAAGATTGAAAAGTTATACTAATAACGATATCCTCGTTCATTTCTTACAAATCTCCCATCATCTCGAGGGTGTGTCCATAAAGTTTCTTCACAATTTCAAAAATTTACTACAAAGGCAAATGAAAAGACAACTAAGTGGAAATTATTACAAAATGAAACACATATATTTAAGTTTCCTCTGCCTCATTTAATACACCTCTGGTGTATGGAACTAATAGTGACCATATAGAGGTGTATTAAATGCAAAAAAAAGATTTAAATATATACGTCTCATTTTGTAATAATCTCCACTTATCTGTCCTTTCTATTTGCCTTTGTAATAAATCTTTGAAATTATAAAGAGACTTTATGGAAAAGTAAACACTATAAATTCCTTCAAGTCAGTCAACTCCAAGATTGGTCAATTTCCTACCATCCTCCGTCGACACGCATAAATATAAAAGTAACAATCGTCCCGATCAGCGGTATCATTCACGATCAGATAATTACGTATACGCGTCGATAGTATCGCCCATAGACAATTGCATGGAAACTATCTCTTGGCGTGAGTCAGTAGCATTACTCAGATGATTGCAATGTAGCGAACGGGCGAATGATCCTTAGCAGATCTCGTCGTAGCCGTGTTCGGAGCCAGGCACGACGTAATTGGGATCGCAGACCGTGTCCTTGACAGCCTCACGAGCATTAGCCTTGAACACCCTGTAGTTAACCTTGCTGCTATCGATACTGCCGTAAAGATACATGGCCAGCCTGTTGGAAATTGTCCAAACGTTCTGCTCGTGATCGTGATCGACCTTGATGTCGTTCGGGAAGACCAGGGACAAGTTGCTGGTGCCTATGACGCCGAGATTCTGCGGGATGTACTCCTTCCTGGTGTCCCAACACCAAACCGAGTCCCTGGTCACCATGTTGAAGAACATCACGCCGTTTCGATCGATCACGGAGCCGGACGAGTGGCCGTAGTCCTTCGCTCTGGGCCTGCCGATCGGCATGAAGTACTCCGTGTTCTCCTCGGCGGTCCTCTTGTCGCGGAGGATCGACGTCGAGACGGCGAACTCGCGGAAGCTCGACATCGGATGGAAGAACAGGGTTCTGTCGTCGTGGATGTCCACCGGGCTCAACGCTATGCCGAAAATCCCGTCGGTCCATTGGAACTTGAGGCCGTGGAGCTCGTACTTGGAGGCCAACGGGTCAGGGTAGAAGAGATGGTGCTGGATCCTGAAGGACGAGTCGTTGAGGAAGTCGTACACCAGCAATCCGTAACGGAACACGTCGGAGGCGTAGGCTACCGCCGTGTCGCAGTCCTCGTTCCTGATGTCCACCACGATGTTCGTGTACAAGGAGTCCTCTTTCACCTGGTCGCTCGGTATCGTGTACTTTCTCACGAGTGTGTCGGTTGCCAGGTCGAAGATGAAAATCGCCGGGGGGCAGGCTGGCTTCGCTCCCCTCGCCACGTCCACTTTCCCGGAGTCCAGCACCCAAAGACGATCGCACTCGTCCACATGGATTCTAAAGACCGAAGTCAGACCGTCGCAGTTCCCTGAAAGTACGGATTGAGAAAGTCGAGAGGGAACAATCAAGAAGTTGCATTGGACGCTGAGGGGCTGTGGGGAAAAAGGAATCGCGAAAAAGGTGCAGTCGACTCGAATGCAGAAAAGTGAAATAGTTCAAAGTGGCTTTGAGAAATCTTGCATCGTGAAATATTAGTAGCACAAAGTTTTATAAAATATGAATGCATAAATTTTGTGAAATATGAATAAGTTTGTTATTGACCTCATGCGCTGGAATGACGTGCCACGCACGTCGAGAATTTTTTGTATCAAAATTAGCAACATTTTCTCAGTTCTAAGTATATGTATAACTCAAGCAAAACAAATAATAAATTTATTACTTCTCAATAATTAAATTTTTATCGAGCGATATACCGACGAGTTCAAAAAGAAAGCGACGAATTATCGTATACGGTTTGGTCACTCGTTATGGTCCGCAATCAATTGCCAGCGCAAATAGTTAAAGCTACTGTTAAATTGTATATATTAAAGTCACTATATTAAATATCATAGCTACTCTTTCTATCAATATCTGTTAATTAACTGTAATTGTACATGTATATTAATCTCTTGCGCTGGAAAGATGTGTCACGTGCGTCGAGAATTTTTTGTATCAAAATTAGCAACATTTTCACAGTTCTAAGTATATGTAACTCAAGCAAAACAAATAATAAATTTATTACTTCTCAATAATTAAATTTCTATCGAGCGATATACCGACGAGTTGAAAAAGAAATCGACGAATTATCGTATACGGTTTGGTCACTCGTTATGGTCCGCAATCAGTTGCCAGCGCAGTTGGTTAAACTTGAAGTGGAATATGAAATTAAATTGATGCATTTTTGTCGAACCAGGAATAATATTTCTTTCTTTAGTTTTGTTTGCGCAAGACGAGTTTTGTTTGCGCAAGACGAGTTTAGTATTGTAATATCTTCAAAATTTTAACAGAATAATGGTAATTTTTCATCACTTCGTAATGAGTTTTAAAAAAAAGTACCATCCAGCGATTCTTTTGTATACTAGTTTTGGCTATTTGGACATAATTTCATTTTAAAAAAAAGACAAAGGAACTTGCGCGAATATTTGCGAGTATCGAAAGAATGTTCCCCTCGAAAATTTATTTTTCCTATAACCAATAGAGAACGGAATAAACGGAAATAATATTGGTAATGGTGGAAAACACACAAAAAACAGAGTTGAAATAAAAACACAAAGTTACAGAGTTTTGATTTGAAATGCCATTAAGTTAATTCGAACCGTTTGATTATTTAGTTAACCTAAGAAAATTAAAAAAAAAGATCTTTTTTGAGAGTGATGGGTGGGGATTTGTGAGAGAAGAAGGTTATAAATGAAAAGTCTAATTAAAGAGTATAAGAGAGAGAAAAGGTTGGAAATCGCTGGTTTAGAAGATGACTATGTAGGATGTTTTAAAAAGGACACCCTGTATATATATATATTTTTTAATATTTAATATATATTACATGGTGTCCATAAAGTCACTTTACAATTTCAAAAATTTATTACAAAGGCAAATGAAAAGACAGATAAGTGAAAATTATTACAAAATGAGACGTATACATTTAAGTTTTTTCACTTCATTTAACACACCTCTATGTGAGCATCATTAGTTGCACGAAGCACATCAAGCGTGCTTCTGTAACTGTAATAATTTCCACTTATCTGTCTTTTCATTCGCCTTTGTAATAAATGTTTGAAATTGTAAAGAGACTCTATGGACACCCTGTATACAAAAGATGCAATTACGATAAATATTCCAATATATATATATATATATTAAAGATGCAATGGCGATGAATATTCGAAAATTATCGTGAATCGAAATAGTGTATATTTCACTATATTTACCTGGTTGGTGCCACCTCCAGTCCGGATAAGGTCTCAGTTTGGGGCTTTTCGTCTTCGATGGTTTGGGCACGGTAGCCAACGTGACCGGAATGCCCTCCTTCCACTTTGGGAGGGTGATGAAAACCCTGTCCCTCCAGATTTCCAGCCCCAACGGCAGATTATTCTCCGCGACGAAGTCTCCGTCGTAGATGGCCGAATCGCGAGCCTCGATGCTGTCGTACGTGTAGTCGATCGTCGACCACGCGTACACCTATCGAGATTCTCTTCACATTCTAACCAGCTGTTATAATAATCTCTGTTCAAGGATTTCATTGAAAAGCTTACCAATTCCATAGCGGGTCCAACGTAATCGTCCTCGATGTGACCGCGGCCAGGGTCGTAATTAAATCCGTGAGACTCCAGCTGATTCACCGAATGCGCATCAGTTCGGAGCAGATTTCGTGCTGGTGGTCTCGAGCGGAGCCTCTTCTCCAAGTGTCTCGAGAAATATTCGCTCGAGTCCGGCGTCGAGCCGTACGGATGTGTGCTGTACACCGGCGTCGTTGGTAACCTTTCCAGCAGGTTCTCCTCGAGTTTCGGCGAGTCGCAGTTTATGTGACCGGGAAGCTCCTCGTGGCCCGATATCAGGATCTTGTAATTCCTTAAAGACTAAGGGCTCTCGATGTTAGGTATATATCACGATTTCAGTTTCAATTATTGCAATTGTTGTCTCAAAATCGAGGCTTCTAGATTATGATTAACTTTAGATTACGGTCAACGCGTTCTTTACCAATGATGCAGCGTATGCGTCATAGGAGATCGTTATTGCAAACATTGATTATTTAGCTAATACCTAAGAGAATTGAGAAAAAAAACTTTCTTTGAGAGCGATGGGTGGTTTACGAGAGGAGGAGATTATAAATGAAAAGCCTAATTAAAGAGTATGAGAGAGAGAAAAAGGTTGGAAATCGCTGGTTTAGAAGATGACTATGTAGGATGTTTTAAAAAGGACACCCTGTATATATATGTTTTTTAATATTTAATATATATTACATGGTGTTCATAAAGTCACTATACAATTTCAAAAATTTATTACGAAGGCAAATGAAAAGATAGATAAGTGGAAATTATTACAAAATGAGATGTATGTAATTAAGTTTTTTTCTATCTCATTTAATATACCTCTATATAGGCACCATTAGTTACACGAAGCACATCAAGTGTGCTTTTCTAACTGTAATAATTTCCATTTATATTTCAATATATATACATATACATCCAACCAACGTTGGAACTAAATTTTTGGATTCCAATTGTAAAAGTCGTTTTATGAATGAAGATAACTGTAGAACGTGGTCCCCAAAAAATTGTAGAACGTTTGGTTTGAACCAAATGAGAAATGAGTATGTTTCATGTGCGATTGTTAATGTATAAAACGGTTGATAAGCTAAGGAATGTGTTAAAACTATCAAGAATCCATGTTTTGTTAAATAGCTGCATCAAAGATCGAATGACATACATTGCAATTGATAAATCAATTGAAACTTTACTTCTTCTTACTTGAAACTAATATTCTTTATAAAAGATAATTGTGTGTGAAGAGTCCATAGGAAAAAGGGAGAATGTCAAAGTTTGGCATTTCTCTTCAGAAAATTTATATAATTAATATAATTAATATAATTAAAAAAATATAATTATATATATAAATATACTAAAATATAATTAATATAATTAATAAAATTACTACATATATAATTAATATAATTAAATATGTATTATAAATAAATATTTATATAATAAATTAATACATATATAATTAATATAATTAATAAAATTAATACACATATAATTAATATATATTTAAATTGTAAGAAAATTTGGACACTGATATTTGGATATCAAATATTGAAACTGTTGCAATTTTGTAAAAAGAAATTGTGTAATAATAAACTAAAGATAAACGTTTCAAAGTTTTAATGCATAGTTTATTTTATTCTAAGATGCTTTTAAATTATGCAGCAGATGGCAAAGTGGAGACACTGTTTTTCTCCAAAATGCTATAAATTGTCATGTATATGAAAACATTGAAAAATTGTTTTCACAATTGAAGTTGATATTCGACGTTTTATTTACAATGATACCTCAAAAATTTGTCCAATGTCGAACTCAGAATTTGTTAAACATTCCCTCTTTTCCCCGTGTTGACCTCTTCGTGTCATTAGATTACACTTGAAAAGAAAGTGTTCGTACCGAGCGAAAGGCTGGGGGCACGTTTTTCTGGCCAGTGGTCTCAAGACCGCGTGAAAGCGCGTTACTTCCTGATTGGATCGCGATCTCCTGGAGGCCAAGCAGGCACATCGACAACAGCCACGGTACCACGTTCGCCATACCTGAAACGAAAGGAGATTCCGACACATATGAGGGAGCCACGACCTTCGTTAGCCGATTTCCCAACCGAAGTTCACGTTGGCCTGGTTATCGCAAGCCGAGCGTAACCGTTTTGCTCCGAGCGATACGAATTTGATAATCGAGTTATGCAAGCGCTATTGGATAACAGTCGTTTAATTTTTTCGCTGTTGAATACGTTATTTGCGTCGTACTAATTAGCCTGAACCCTGACACGATGCAAATTTCAGAAATGAATTATTTAATAATAATATATATATATAATTATTTAATAATAATAGTAATATATAAATTATTAATTATAATATATATATTATTATTTATATATAATAATAGTAATATATATTTTACTATATATATACAATAGTAATATGTATATTACTATATATATATTATATATATAAATTATTTAATAATAATAATAATAATAGTAAAATAGTAAAATACGTATTATTTAATAATATATATAAAAATTATTTAACAATAATAATATATATATAAATTATTTAATAATAATAGTAATATATATATTACTATATATATATTATATATATAAATTATTTAATAATAATAATAATAGTAAAATAGTAAAATACGTATTATTTAATAATATATATAAAAATTATTTAACAATAATAATAATATATATAAATTATTTAATAATATATATATTAGGAGGAAAAATACTAAAGTCGTCTCAAGTTCGAGTTACATCATTTTCACAGCAAACTTGTTTCGCAGCAAAATTGCTTCTTGGAAAATTCTGTTGACCAGAGAATTTCTAAAATGAGAAGATATTCTTAAAGGAACGGAGGAAACTGTGTGTGTTGGAAAATTAGAAATTTTGTTGTCAGGGAATATTTTAACTCCGAGGAGACCTTCTCCTCGAGAAAATTTCGAAACGAACGAGAGATCAATTTCTTTCTCTTAATATCGTAGACACTTGTTTGATATTTAACGAGGTGGAGAGGCAAGAAGGAGGGAAAAGTTCGATTCGCGATAAGAGATTTACAACCGCGGTTGTCTCTAATTAAATCGGATCTATGAAAGTTGGGCGCGAGTTACAACTGCAACGGTGCCCCATACTTGGCGATATCGTGACAGGGTACCATAGTTACTTTCCTATCGATATCTCTCCGTAATCTGTTTCTTGTCCGAGTTCGCGATCCAAATGGCGGGTCTTTGAGCCGATGTTCCGATCAAACAAACTATGGCTCATGTTCTAATCAATGAAAGTACTTCTTTGCAAATCTGTCTCTGAAATTACAAGTTAAAATTGAAATTGACGGCTTTGTACGAAATTTAAAATATATGAACATAAAATATTCACGTCACTTATTGTGACGAGATAAAATAAGCAGATTGTAACGCAAACTTTTAAATGCTGTTTGTATCGAGAAAATCGATAATAATTAGTCAAAGTAATATAATAGAAAAAATAAAAAAAATTTGTCGAAAGCCACGAATGAAAATCGTACTTTGTATACTGTATCAAAATACACAAGTCGCGTCATTTCATCAGTAACGTGTAATTAACGCGAGCACCAGTTATAATGATAACGGATTCAAAATGAAAGCGAATCGCGCTGGTAGAAGCAAGATAACTTCGCGGTTAAATAACTTTCAAGGTGACGAGTGTCGCCTGATCGCGCTTTCCCCGTAGGGAAATTACGAGAAAAACAATCTCCGCTGAGAATTATTATTTCCACCTGTTCCAATCGTTTCTAAATAATCTCCACCTGTCAAGAAATGGAATTTCATTTGCGAAAGAGCATTACCCCCCTCCCTCCCATTGTTTCTTGCGAAAATTTCTCTATTATATAGAAATATATTATGAATATATTTCTATATAATATATTCATAATATATTTCTATAATATATTATGGATATATTATATTTCTATGATATATTATGGATATGTTATATTTCTATAAAATATTATGGATATATTATACTTTTATGATATATTATGAATATATTATATTTCTATAATATATTACGGATATATCATATTTCTATGATATATTATGGATATATTATATTTCTATAAAATATTATGGATATATTATATTTCTACAATATATTATGGATATATCACATGTCTATGATATATTATGGATATATTATATTTCTATAATATATTATGGATATATCATACTTCTATGATATATTGTGGATATATTATATTTCTACAATATATTACGGATATATCATATTTCTATGATATATTATGGATACATTATATTTCTACAATATATTATGGATATATCATATTTCTATGATATATTATGGATATATTATATTTCTATAAAATATTATGAATATATTATATTTTTATGATATATTATGAATATATTATAAATTTGTAAATATGATATATTACATATATATTATATTTCTATATATATCATATTTCTATGATATATTATGAATATTTATATATATATTTCTATAATATATTATGAATATATTATATTTCTATGATATAAAATATTATATATATTTCTATAATATATTATGAATATTTTATAAATATGTAAATATGATATATTATGAATATGTCATATTTCTATGATATATGACGAATGTATTATATTTCTAAAATATATTATGCATATATTACACTTCTATTCTATATATTAGAAATAAAGCGAATAGTAAATGATAAAAGAAAATTAATATATAATAAAATGACATTAGAAATAAAATTCTCTATTATAGAGAAAATTTCTAAGAAAACGGAGAAGTTCGACAAGATTCTTTTCTCGAACAGAGAATTGACATTTATTGGAATCATCGACAACTTGGTTCGTCGATCGATGACACGTACACTCGTCGCTCATCGTTCGTGAAAGCGAAACGCTATAGAACGTTAGCCGACAAGCTTCAGAGTCAGTCGGTGACATTTGACGTTTTTCGAATAGTGAACTGATGAGAGTTTGAGAAATTCGCTTGAATCCTCTGTCCTTTGGACAGAGAAAGTATGTACCTGCGAGATTCCTTGGAAGAGCGTTCCCTCAACGTGACCCACTGATTCTCGGATTCTCTTTCCGCCGATATAATCGAAAAAAAAAAAAAAAAAGAAGAAGAAGAAACGAAGGGAAAAAACTCGCGTTCGAGATGAAAAGAACTACTCGCTGAATTTCTGAACGGACGGAGAATGGAGACGAGCGCGCGACAGATAACAGCGAAATGAAGATGTTCGCGGCTCGGGATGAGAGCGTGGATGTTACCCGACTGCCATATTCACTATCCGGGTCATAAGTGTGTCTAGGTGTACTACGAAAGGAGAGAATGGCGAATCCCTTCTCTCGGAGAAGATTTTCCCTCTCGTCCGCGTGTTACAAGGCACCGGCTGTATAGGTCATTGGCGGCGAGTTCATGGGAGCCTTGTTTCGCGATTCCCTGCGAAACGAAGGGAAACGGGAGCCGCCTACTATGCCAAACAGCGAGAAATCTGTTTCCATCGATTGGCAATAGGAGCAACGCTCAATGCGGAACTCGCTACCTTGTTATAACAGCTGTGCTCATCCTGATTTATCGTCGCCAATATGAAATTTCTCGAGTATTAATATCAAGAGGGTATTTTAAAAAAGAATCGATTTTTTTTTTTTTGTTTTGCATATTCTTAAAGGATATAGTCTGTGGAATCTTACATGTGAAACTTCTAAAATTAACGAAGTTACGGGTGTTTGAAGAACGCGACGATCAGTGTCTTGTTACCGCAATACTAAACTTTAAAGGCATATTTTCTGGAAACTATGTTTTTCAGAACGGCGTTCATGATATCTTAATATCTACTTGACCGATTGAATTGAAATTTTCAATACGCATTTAGTACAGCCCGAACTAGAATCAACCAAAAATTTTTATTTTTTTATATTTTTTCAGGCCTGCGAAGTATGAGAAAAACACGCAAAAATCGATAATCGAATTTCAAAGTATTGCCAGTTTTTTAATTACCGACATTTTTCTTTTGCTCTAGTTTCGGCTATAGCCAAATCCATACTAATTGAGGAACTATCACGTTTTTTTATTTTAGACAAGCAGAACGGCCGGAATCGTGGACACCGTGAGACGACCGTTTTTAAAAGCTATGTTTGAGCGACTATGTTTGAGAGTATGCAGTACCACTAAGTTTAACGTTTTTTGTTCCAAAAAATTTTTGAAACGTCGTTGAAATACGTGCAAATAATCCTTGTCAATTTGACTGCAAAAGGTATGATAGTTTCTTTGCAAAAAATTTCCAAACGAAGTTAAAAGACACGCACTTCACACTAGAATACCCCCTTAATAAAATTTATTAAATTTTTCGAATATTAATATTAATAAAATTTTTTGTACATACAACAACGAAAGCTTAATAATTTAAAACGAGTGATTGAACAAAGTTGTAAAACTTTTAAGCAGGTTCTGTTTGGAACGTTGATCGTAGAAAATCTTCTGAAATGTTTTTAAAATAAAAATAAAAGTTTCAGACAGAATGGAACTTAAAAAAATAAATAAATAAAAAAATATATTAAATAAAAGAATAATAAATGAAAAACATATGGAAATAAAGATTTTTCCGTCGGAGGGTATGTTTTTACACGTACGTTGGAATTTTTCACGATTTTCGGGCGAAAGAAAGTATCCTCGCTTGATATAAAATCATTTTAAAATCTACAAACTCATATTTGTCAATGTAGAAAGCTTCACGCTTTGAAACGAGGTCAAGTGGATCGTAATACCATTTTTTTTTTCTTGACAAGGTTACGTCAGTTTAAATTATCGACAATTTCTCATTGTCACTGGTACAATTATGCTCTCGACTACAATATAAAAGCGTTGTATCTGTTATAGTTGAGAAGAGGAATATCTGCTTGAAAGATACTTGTAATTAACGATCGAGATAGACAAGTACTAGACGGAGAAACTAAAGGAAGACGATCCTTGCGATAGGCGACATTTCAGTTTACTCGAGTGTGCTTGTAATCGCTGACATTCCACCATGATATAAATCATTACTGCAAGTAAATGGCTACTTTCGTCGTTGAGTAATATCTTTTAAAAGCTACGTTTTTTTTTTTTCAAAAATATCTATCGTAAAAGACATTTTCTATAGAAGAAATTGGTATTATTATTGATAATTAAAACAGTTAAAATACAAACAGTTGCAGTTAATAATATAAATAGGTGTTTATATTATAATATAAACAGTTGCAATTAATAATATAAATAAAAATATAATAATATAAAGAGCTGCAATTAATAATATAAATAACTGTTTATATAATAATATAAACAGTTGCAATTAGTAATATAAATAATCATATAATAATATAAACAGTTGCAATTAATAATATAAATAACTGTTTGTATAATAATATAAACAGTTACAATTAATAATATAAATAACTGTTTGTATAATAATATAAACAGTTGCAATTAATAATATAAATAATAATATAAACAGTTGCAATTAATAAGTATACTAAACTGGTTCAATGAGTTCGACTGGTGAAATCTTCCAATCTTTGCATCGTAAAGTGCGAAACGATCGATTTCGGCAACGGGTCTGACAATCCTGCGCGGCAAAGAATTCGCCGGTTGCGCCGATGCACCGATATTTAGAGCGAGTTTTGAAGCAATCGTTCGACGTTGCGAAACGTTCGGGGGAATCCGTTTGCCCGAATGCATCGGAGGATCGTTACGCCAGCATTAATCTCGTGAGAACTCACTCAGTTCCTTCGATCAGAGTAGATACGAAACACGTGAACCAAGGAACAAGAGGAAGAAGAAGAAGAAGAAGAAGAAGAAGAAGAAGAAGAAGAAGAAGAAGAAGAAGAAGAAGAAGAAGGAGGAGGAGGAGGAGGAGTAAAAGAGAAAAAGAGAGATGGCAGGTGAAAGAGTCACAGGGAAGAGAGGAGATTGAAATTCCACGGAGATTGTCGACCATTCAAGGCAAAAGTATTTCACATTTGCTTAATGATCACTTGGACGAAGTATCTGCTCGGCAGATCCTTCTCCCCAGCGTTCTCTGTTGCTTTTGTACAATTGCACAATTTGTAAATTCTAACGACACTGAATTCTAATGTAAATTCTAATTAAATTTGGAATTTCGGCTACGCGGATTGAAATTCCTTTAGATGAGAAATTTTAACGAACATAATACCTGGACAGCGGACAGATTCGAGCAAATTTGACAGTCAGTTGACATCAATCGAAAGCAAGGCTTGAATAAAACTGTAAATTTTGAAGTTAATTTTAAAATTTTATTTTTTAGTACTTTTATTATTGAAAGGTATAGGAAGATCTATATTACATTCTATATTCTATTATTTATATTATTATATATTATATTATTATATTATTTATATTATGTTATTATATTATTTATATTATTTATATTATATATTATATTATTATATTATTTATATTATTATATATTATATTATTATATTATATTATACTATTATATTATTTATATTATTATATTATTATTATATTATGTTATTATATTATTTATATATATATATATAATATTATATATTATATATTATATCTAGCTGTAAGCCTAATTAACTTATCTCGAGTTACTCCTTCAAAAATTTCTAATTAAACAAATAAAAGATTTTATCTCGTTGCATTGAGCATTAATACTATTTTACTGGTCGCTGGCAGTACAAGGACTTCATCGTCTTCTTATACATCATTTCAAGATGTTCTATGCATAGAAAACGAAGTTGTAATTTCACTACAAAAAAATTTCGACAGTTAATCGTTAATGAAATATCAAACTGATTAAGATTGAAAGGTATTTAATAACAATTAATTAACGAAATGAGAATTTAATCCTTAATTGCGATTTAAAGTTACTTAACGAGCGAACTAGGAACTTAATCGTTATTTATGATTAACAAACATTCTATTACAGTGTAATCATTAATTGGATCAATTACATTTTTTGCCTACTTGCAGTCTACTTCGACTTTAGACGAGCCTCGAATAGCTTCAGACTTGATTACTCTTTAAATAATAAATTTATTACGTGCTTGGACTTACCGCAGTTAACTTTGGGTAACTTTTGACCGAAGCAGCCATGGTGATACTTGACGTCTGGATTATCCCAGTTGTAAGCGACAGAATGAACCGGCGAGACGTAGACATAGTTGTTCGATCGTTGGACGAAATTCGCCCATGAATTCCTCGAATTCGTCGACGTTTTAACTTCCGATCTGATGCTTCGCCTTTGCCTCGTCTTTGGCATAGTCTGCAATAGAAAGACGAAACATCACTTACAATCTCTCAGTTAATCCCTTAAGTGAAAATGCATGTTGTATAATGTTTAAAAATCATATAAATTTATTTTAATTTGTAAAAAAAAAAATGTGATGTCCACAAATTTTTCCTTCCTTTTTTTCTCTCTAAAATTTTCTCATTGAAGAGAACTGGTGCTAGGCGTTTCGTGTTCTAAAATTGTTCTAATTCTGTGAGTTTAGAGCACTGAAGTTCTTGAGCGATAAAATAATTATTGTGTTTAAATAATTAAAAATAACTAAAGCATAATAATTATTACTTTTAGCTCCTTTAGCTTCCTTGCGTTGCAAAATAATCCTAAAAATGTTTTGTTAATTCTAATTTCATAATAATTTCCATTCTTTTTTTAATTTCATTGTTAGTTGGAAGAGGATAGTTTTCAATTTTTTTTCTCCCATTATTATCATTACTTTGTAAATCTTTTTAAATATAAATTATTATAAATTAAATATAAATGTTTATATATCTTCAAATATAAATTATATATATATCTTATATCTTTAAATATAAATTTTTATAAATTAAATATAAACCTTTATATATCTTAAAATATAAATTTTTATAAATTAAATGAAAACCTTTATATATCTTCAAATATAAATTTTTATAAATTAAATATAAACTTTCATATATCTTTAAATATAAATTTTTATAAATTAAATATAAACCTTTATATATCTTTAAATATAAATTCTTATAAATTAAATATAAACCATTATATATCTTTAAATATAAATTATACATATATGTCTTATATTTCTAAATAAAAATTTTCATAAATTAAATCTGAATCTTTATAAATTTTTTTAAATATATTCAATAAAAACTGAAATGTTCAGTTTTATCTTGTGATAACTTCGCGCGCAGAGTTGCTTTAAAATTAAATTTTACAATTTTACACGCACGATTTCTTTAGAAAGAAATCGTAAGGCAAGGGATTAAGTCGTGTAATTGAGTTCGTGGAAGAATGTGGACAGCAACTTAATAGTGTCATTATCATTAACACTATCCCATAGTGGAATGACGTAATAACAGCTGCGGTCATTCGACTACGTCATTCTTACGTTTTTATTTCACACAGCTGTTGTATGTTAATAAACCTACTGCGAGGCTTCTGCTTTCTAATTACAGCAATATGCATTTAGCTTTCGAGAGTCTTCGTTTTGACAACGAAAGAAGTATTTGTTTACCCAGCAGTTTCCCAATGTGGCCCGAAGAAAGCGAGTTATTTAAACGCGAGAAGAAAGTGCACGTTTCCTCACAGCTCACGCTAAAAACCATTTACTTTAAACTCGAATACTGTCGCAAGAATCACAGCACGCTGTCTACTTGAAATGAAAAATTGACAATGGCTGCGAGAAATATTTGCACGTCGTTGTATCCATTAGGGCATTTTTGTATGTATGTACGTACACGTGGCATTATTACATAGGCACGTGCTATATTTCGCAATGTTTGGTGACAATGTGAATTGGTAAGGCTCTCCGTAACGCAAGAACTTTTTCACAGACGCACAGCAAGTTTTGAAATTTATTATCATTATTATTATCATATTAATGAAACTTATTATCATTATTATTATATTAATTTTATTATTATATAATTGTTATTATCATATTAATGAAATTTATTATTATACAATTGTTATTATCATATTAACGAAATTTACTATCATTATTGTTATATAATTGTTACTATCATATTAATGAAAATTATCATTATTATTATCATATTAATAAAATTTATTATCATTATTATTATATTAATTTTCTTATTATATAATTGTTATTATCATATTAACGAAATTTACTATCATTATTGTTATATAATTGTTATTATTATATTAATGAAATTTATTGTCATTATTATTATATAATTGTCATTATCATATTAATGAAATTTACTATCATTATTGTTGTATAATTGTTACTATCATATTAATGAAAATTATCATTATTATTATCATATTAATAAAATTTATTATCATTATTATTATATTAATTTTCTTATTATATAATTGTTATTATCATATTAACGAAATTTACTATCATTATTGTTATATAATTGTTATTATTATTATATTAATGAAATTTATTATCATTATTATTATATTAATTTTATTATTATATAATTGTTATTATCATATTAATGAAATTTACTATCATTATTGTTATACAGTTGTTTTTATCATATTAATGAAATTTACTATCATTATTGTTATACAGTTGTTTTTATCATATTAATGAGATTTATTATCATTATTATTATATTAATTTTATTACTGTAATAATTGTTCTTATCCTATTAATGAAAATTATTGTCACAATTATTATCATATTAATAAAATTTATTATCATTATTATCGTTATTATCATATTAGTGAAATTTATTATCATTATTATTATCACATCTTATCATTATTTCGCTTGTTCCGAAAGCAAGTACGCACGAAGCATGTAAAATCACAATACCTAAACTGAGGAATGTTGACCAATATCGCTCAGTTACAGTTTTCGCGAATTAACATTCAACAACGGGTCGTTAATCAGCGAGCATCCGATCAAATCGAAAGACAACGCATCAGAATGGAACGGAAGTGCATCGAGGGAAAGATACGCTCGCGCATACAAATCAGACGCGATTAATTATCAAAATACGCTTTCCCTTTACTTCTCATACGGATCCTCCTCTTTTCCATCTTATCAGATCTTTCGCCACGCTTGTTCCCTGAAGATATCACTTGAAATTGTTTATGCGTTATGAGTTGGAGGAAACTCTTTTTCGTTTCTTTCGACGAAATGCATTTCGTCTCGGCAATCGGCTCGGGAAGTCAAGCTCATGGTCGTCGAGACTGGCTGGAAATGTCGGAGAAACACGAACGATCCCCGTTAATCGAAGAAACCTAATCTAAACCTATCCATCTCGTTCCGATGGCTCGTTCGTCAAATGGCGCGAGACCGTTCGAATTAAGGAGTAAACTGCTGCTTTTTACCGTGGCAACACTTTCGGTTTCGCGAGACATTTCCTCTTCGAATGCAACGTGATGCAAAATTCGAATGCAATTAGAGAATATTTACTGATTATGTATTATTGAAGAATCAAATAGTTAAAGCTAAGTATGTTAAGTGGATACGTGTCACAGCCAGACGAGTGTGTGAAGATAAGAGTAACGTTTACTTCACATGTTTCCTTTTGTCAGAATAAATATTCACTGTGACTACAGTTCAAAATTGAGCGGTGATCAATTGCTTTGTAAATAATTTGCAAAGTTATTATTATTACTAGATGGTAATAATAATAATTTAGTATTACTAAATAGTAATATTGTTACTAAATTGTAACAATATTAATAAGTAAATTATAGTTAAATTGTAACTGAATATAATACTAAATATTATAAATATTATAACTAATATTATAAGTAAATTATAATTTTTCAAACATTTCTGTAATCAACTTGCAAAGTTATTATTATTACTAGATAGTATTACTAAATAGTAGTAGTAATAATTTAGTATTACTAAATAGTGATATTATTACTAAATTATAACTAATAAATAAATTATAGTTAAATTGTAACTGAATGTTATACTAAATATTATAAAATATAAATATTATACTAAATATTATAAGTATTATAACTAATATTATAATTATAACTTTTAAACGTTTTTGTAATCAACTTGCAAAGTTATTATTATTACTAGATACTAATAATAATAATTTAGCATTATTAAATAGTAGTAGTAATAATTTAGTATTACTAAATACTGATATTACTAGATTATAACTAATAAATAAGTTATAGTTAAATTATAACTGAATATTATATTAAATATTATAAATATTATAACTAATGTTATAAATAAATTATAATTTTTAAACATTTTTGTAATCAACTTGCAAAGTTATTATTATTACTAGATACTAATAATAGCAATTTAGCATTATTAAATAGTAGTAGTAATTATTTAGTATTACTAAATACTGATATTATTACTAGATTATAACTAATAAATAAATTATAGTTAAATTATAACTGAATATTATATTAAATATTATAAATATTATAACCAATATTATAAATAAATTATAATTTTTAAACATTTTTGTAATCAACTTGCAAAGTTATTATTATTACTAGATACTAATAATAGCAATTTAGCATTATTGAATAGTAGTAATAATAATTTAGTATTAAACTGAATTATAACTGAACTAAATTATAACTGAATATTATATTGAATATTATAAATATTATATAACTAATGTTATAAGTAAATTATAATTGAATATTACTAAAAATTACTAAAAATTATTTTTATTACGAAACAGTAATCATAATAATGTAACGTATAATAAATGTTATTATTGGAAATTGCTTGCAGTTAATAAATCAAGACTAGACAGAATATTCACGCGTATCCTTTACTATATTATAATAGTAACCGTATCGTTGAATTTAGAGTAATTTGTTTACAATTCTCTGACATGTCTTTTGATATAAGAATCATAATGAAAAATCTCAAAGACAATATAAATGTGACTTTCAATTGGTGGAAATTGTTTTGAATGTATCCTAAATAGATTGTTAAATAAATTGTAAAAATTTTTATTTCTAAAATGCAGTACAGTATCGTCGACATAATCAAAAAGTATGATCATTCGTTATTTGACAATCAGTAATTATAATTCACATTCCACATTAAATCCAGCTCTAATTTATTGACTTACCTGAATTTCTTCTTCCTATCTCTTTATGGTTGCAAGAACGCGAAAAGAGAATCGTCACTTCTTCAAACAAAGTTTTTCCTTTCTCCCTTTGTTTATTATTATAATCTGTAATTACTCACTTTAATTCACAAATCATTGATTTATAAGAAGACGACGTTGCTCGTTTGTCAGCAAGAAATTTTCGAAACGTTTATTTTTATTCTTTCAAGTCGGTTTGAGAAAATATTCATCGAACAAGGTCTGTTCTCTTCGAGATCAATTTTTTCCCGACTGTTTGAGCTTCCTTGAGGTCTGCAGTCGACAGGCAGAACCGTTTGAAATTATGTACTTAATCGCGCGGACAGACTCTCTAGACTGAAATTGAATCGCTATAGTTCAGGCCGAATCGAGAAAGCAGAAAGCAATGTTTTTCCACAGCCGGCGCGTTTTTACATAAACTGGTTATCAACGCATCTAACAAAAATTTCAAATTGCAAATAATCGCGAATAACGATCCAGGAGGTATTGCCGCAACGAAATAACAATCCACGACATCCTTATACACCCTGCATTCATATTTCACTTTTTATCTGATTATAATTATTAAACGAATAACATCGACATTCTTGCCGTTAGAGTGGATTTCACTTTTCACCGATAATACTTAACAAATGTCGGTGGAACTTTCCAAGGTGCGTAAGAGTTTATTGAACCGTCGCTAACGAAAATTCGGGAAGCCAGGCTGCTTCGATTTTACAGCTCTGTCACTTGCATAAATTATTATTAAATCACCGGAGCTGAGTGTAATGAAACAAAGTTACACACAGTGGACGAATATCACGAAGTGGATCAGTGTGGGCACAATCAGCTGTTGGTCGAAGAAAGCAGAATCTAAGAACATCTGACTCTTATACAGGGTGTTTCGTAACTTGTGGGACCCATTTCGGGAGCAGATTGTACGTCTAAAAATAATGGAAAAAAGTCATATGAATATATGTCCTATCTGTCTTCGTTTATGAGATATAATGAATTTTCTGTTTTAATTACTTTTACAAAAAATGCTCGAAATGACCACCTTGCATTTGAAGACAAGCCTGCACGCGTCCTGTCATTCATCTAGTGACTCTCTCTATCGTTCCTGGTGTTTCTCGAATTTGTCGGAAGCCTTGCTCTATTCTATTTCGTNAGTATTTCAGCATGTTCAATCGATGTTGCGTATACAATAGATTTTAAATGTCCCCACAAATGAAAATCTAATGGATTCAAATCCGGAGAACGAGCAGGCCATGCAATAGGACCTCCACGACCAATCCATTTATTTGCAAAGTGTCGATTTAAAAATTGCCTAGCCACTCGGCTAAAATGCGGCGGAGCTCCATCGTGCATAAACCGCATACAAAGTCTAATATCGACTGGAACTTTCTCTAATATTTCGTGTAAACGTGTGCTCAAAAAATCAACGTGCTTTGTGCCTGTTAGTTTCCCATCAAGAAAAAAAAGGTCCAATTAAAAATTTATCAATTACTCCTGCCCGTACGTTTAAACTAAACTGGTGTTGATGTCTTGAATGCACAATAACATGTGGGTATTCTTCATCCCAATTATGATTATTATGAAAATTGAATGTATCATCCCTGGTAAAACTAGCTTGCTAGAGTTTGCTCTGTTTATAAAATTCATTATAAAATTCTTATAAACGAAGACAGATAGGACATATATTTATGACTTTTTTTTCATTATTTTTAGGCGTACAGTCAGCTCCCGAAGTGGGTCCCACAAGTTATGAAATATCCTAGTATAGATCTCGTCGAGAACGATGACATTCCATACATACATACATATATATATATATATATATATATATATATATATATATATATATATATATATATATATATATATATATATATATATATATATATATATTCTCTATTACAATTTACAGTCTTATATAACACTCGCAGTATTATACATTCCCAGTGTCGTGGCTCGAAATTTCTAAATTTCGTGTCCGTGTTCTTTGATCGTAAGATCGAGTTTAATCGAAGGATCGAAAGTTGCGACAAGATACGATTTCTCAAAAGGCCCCTACGGCCAGCTCGAGGGTGATTACTCAACCAACGACAAGTTTTATCGAACTGGGAAGAAGAATTTTCGTTTGTTTACGTAAGCGCGAATTGGTGTCTTGCAAGAAAAATGGATCAAGAACAAGTTCTGAAAGAATAGGTCATTCTGCTTGAACGAACTTCAAGTTTCTTCTTCCTTCTCTTCTGTTCTCCCCCCCCCCCCCCCCCCCCTTCGTTGCATTTATGCTGGCGGCAGTGTGTAAGAGCAAAACCAGTGACAATGAAAAATTATTCGATAATATTTCATATTGATATATACGTAATTTTGTGAAAAACAGATCGTACAATGATTCACTCTTCGTTTTAAAGCGTGTTTTCTATTTTGACAAACGCGAGTTCGTAGGGTGATCTCGCACATCTGAAATAACTTTTTAATTATGCGTCTGATGAAAAATCGTTTGATACGAAAGTCTTTAAGGAAGATTTTAAGGGAAGCGAAACACGGTGTATTGGTTTTTTGTGTTCCGAAATTTTCAAGATCACCTTTTATTTTTCTAAACCAAACTACACATTTTTCCTTCATCATAAATCGAGAGAATATTCAATTCCAAGTAAAAAGGTATCAACCCACATTCTGATGGGTTCTAAACCTAATAATTATGGAGATATTTTACGATAATTTATCTCTGAACTGCGACTTTTCTCACTCGAAAATTGTAAACGTTCAGGCGTGTGCAAAAATATTCACACATTTTTCTCGTAACAACGTTCATCATCATTTTGTAGATCGAAGTCTTCCCTTTACAACAATTCCTAATCATGTCAGGCAATTTTTTGTTTCCTAATCATTTTGTCGACTGTCAAATATTACAGTCAAACGACACTAAAATTCCAGATACATTTAGTTATTCGTTTTTACAAAGTTGTATCAGTTTATCGGCCAGTCATCGACAATTTTTCATTGTCATTGGTTTTGCTCTTTCACTATACACTGCATATACGCGACTGGCAAAAACCAAATTTTAGAAGCCGGGGCAATAAAATTGCTAAATGTCGTGCGAATTCAGAATATGTATATTATTTCACCACGTTATGTGCGTGAACAAAAAACAACTTTTATCTGATATTTAATGTAAATATAAAGATTGAGAACAGCTTTAGGTCAAAAGTTTAGGTCTCTATCACTAAAGAGGAGGTAGGCAGCGAGTGCCGGTTATCAGTTTAAACACATTGCCTCTCAAAATTCGGAAGTTCACGTCGCTGGTGTTATAAGTGCCAGTTGCTGCTATTTGATACTTGTTAGTGACTGCCAATAATTCTTCTCTTCTGTGAGAATCCTTCACTTTGAGGCCGCTGGTGAACTGAAGCGTTTGCCTGTTCTTGGCTATCACCTCCTATAGTTGTAAAGTTGTTAATTGTCATTTGGTTCACTAGAGAACACAATCAAGAAAGAAAATTCGAATAACGCATGCGGATACTAACGATATTGCGTCTCTCAAGCGAACGATGTTCACTGATGCAGGCAATCGAGGTGTCGCTCACGAGTCCAAAGAAAATTGCCCCAGTCCTCGAAGCTGCTTTGGCACTCGCTTGAGTCCATAAAACATCCTCACCCCTTGGAATTAATTTTAGAAAAGTATAATGTAAGAAATATTAAAGAAAATATAATATAGTAAAGTGTGAGACTGTAATATAGTAAATATGATATAATATAGTAAAATGTAAGAATATAATATAGTAAATATGATATAATATAGTAAAATGTAAGAAATATTAAAGAAAATATAATATAGTGAAATGTAAGAAATATTAAAGAAAATATAATATAGTGAAATGTAAGAATATGATAGAGTGATGAAAATATGACATAACATAGTAAAAGAATATAATATAGTAAAATGTAAGAAATATTAAAGGAAATATAATATAGTAAAATGTAAGAAATATTAAAGAAAATATAATATAGTGAAATGTAAGAATATGATATAGTAAATATGATATAATATAGAAAAAGGATAAAATATAGTAAAATGTAAGAAATATTAAAGAAAATAATATAAGAATATAATATAGTAAAATGTCAGAAATATTAAAGAAACTATAATATAGTAAAATGTAAGAAATATTAAAGAAAATATAATATAGTAAAATGTAAGAATATAATATGCAACTCGACATTCTCCATGAAAAAATATTAACCTACATGTGCCGAAAAATGATTTGTTTAGAATAGCATTTTAACTTCTTGAGAGAGATAATGTTTAAAAGATCATTAAAAGAAAAAAAAAAATTAAGTGTGACCTTGAGATCTCAGAAACATCTTTACCTGGACCATTTCAAATTTTAATTTCGAACGATTGAATAATTGAAATGAGACAACCTGTATATATAAAAAAAAAAATATAATATAACATAATCGTAAAAAACGCATTAAAACGAAGTTTCTCGTTCGACACTTTAATTCGTTGACTTTAATAATAATTTATAATAATTTTTTGATATACTTACACGATATACTCCGGTTCATCGCCTCGAAGCAGCGGCTTCGTTCTAAGAGCGTTCAAATTATGAGAGGTCATGGAATTGAAATGAAGAAGACCCGTCATTTGGGATAGAGCCATCCCAACGACTCCGTCGGTCAACTGGAACGTTTGGCCCTCGATCGTGTAATTTTCATATCTAAGGTCCGCGTCGAACGCGCTCGAAGTCAGTCGTCGAAATGAACTGCCATTGTAAACGATTAAACCGTAACCATCCACGTCTGCTATATATACCTGTGTTCCAACAATGTTGTTTTATCACCCTTTCCCTTTTGATCTTGACAGGTGAACCGTTTATTTTGAAAGTGGCCTAAGTCCATTTTCCAAAGAGATCAACCAAGCTGTTTCAATATTTACGTTATGTTTTCATTTTTTAAATCAACATGTTTAGAATCGCCAAGATTTTGTATACAGAAAATTAGCTGGATAAAAGTTTTTATTTTGAAAGTGGCTTAAGTCCATTTATAGCCACCGAAAACGTGTTATTTTTCAAATAATGCTTGTTGTACTAATTGAGTTGGTACATTAAAAATTGCAATTATATTAGATTAACTAGTACTACTTATTGTCAGTTACCAATAGTATTAAATTTATTAGATAAATTATATACATTAAAAATTGCAATTATATTAGATTAACTAGTACTATCTTATTGTCAGTTACTAATAGTTTTAAATTTATTAGGTAAATTATGTACATTAAAAATTGCAATTATATTAGATTAACTAGTACTATCTTATTATCAGTTACCAATAGTATTAAATTTATTAGGTAAATTATATACATTAAAAATTGCAATTATATTAGATTAACTAGTACTACCTTATTGTCAGTTACCAATAGTTTTAAATTTATTAGAACGGAAATCGTTAAATATCCTCTGATTCAGAGGTAAATGAACTTTGGCCATTTTCGAAATAAAGGGCTCACCTGTCTCAGATGAGACTCACGATAGTCTTCTCGCAATTGTGTCCAAAAGTTTGAACAACCGGGGTGATGAGCAGTCCCTGATCGGTAGTCGAGTTGGTCGCGACGTCTTTCGGTATTTCGATTCGTCTTAGCAATCGGGATGTGCGCAGATCGAACACGACGAGTTTTGCAGGGCAGACGTGATTCGTGATGCCGATAACACCAGTGTCTAACACCCACAATCTATCGCACTTGTCGATCTGAACGATACGTTCAATTGAATTTACAATGAACAGCGTAGCTTCTCATCATCGATGAGAATGAAAAAATTGTCGACGATTTAAACCGACGTAACTTTGTGGAAAAGGATCGTTTCAAAGAAAATAGATCCAGCTGGTCTTATTTCAAAGTGTGAAACTTCTATTTTGTGCAATTGTAAGTTTGTTCTTCTCGAGGATTATTCTACATAATCCGTTGAGTCGGTATCTCGAAAATTGTCAAAGTTCGAACGCGTGTAAAAATAATAAAAGATCTTCTTCGCAACTGGATTCATTTTGAAAATTTTGAAAAAGTTTTCCCTTTACATTTGTTGCACGATTGTTTCTCATCATTTTACTGAACGCTGAATCCTAAAATTTCATCGTTTATCCCTAATATTTCAAAATGAAATTTTTAACGTTTCTACGTGCGTTTGAATCCTTTGCAATTCTTGAGAAAAAGGTATCACTTTTTCGCATGTTGATTAGAAAAATTGGTTAAAGATTCAAAGTAGAAGCTTCATGTTTTGAAACAGGATCGAATTATATCTTCTTTCCTATAAATATCACGTAAAAAAAAAAAATCGACAAACGTAAGATGTAATTTTAAATATCCTACAAAAAAAAATTGTAGTTATCTCTGTATACTCTAAAACCATCAAATAAATTCCTATTTGTTGATTTCATTTACTTGAAAATTATTGCATGATATTTAGCACGAATTGTCTGAATTTTTATCACAATAACAGAGAAATTTCTAATTACCGCAACTCGATAAACGCTTATAATGGCGGAACAATTGTTGACGTCGGCCCAGCTCCAATCGGGATACGGTGCCAGAAGAGGGCCACCAGGACCATTTCTGTCAGTTATGACGTTCAAGGACGAAGGAACATCTTTTTCTTGTCTTATCACGGTGACAAAAGTGTAATCTTGAATAAAAAATGTACAAAATATATGATAAATATATAAATATATAATAAAATAAAAATAAAAAAAGAAATAAAATAAATATATAATTAAATATAAATAAAAAATATATAAAATAAATATATAATTGAATAAAAATAAAAAAATATATAAAATAAATATATAAATAAATATAAATAAAAAATATATATATAAATTAAATATGTAAATAAAATATGAAAAAAAAATTACTTCAGCAAAGAAATATAATATAATAACTTATAACAACACTGTACTTCGCCATCGATCCACATCTATGGGTACAAATTTCGTATAGTTTCCAGAGGATTCTTCTCCGTTATTGGGAACAAAATTAATATATTTCCACTCGTAAATCACCTCCATCGCATTCTTCAAATCCTTTGCTACATGATGACTTGTCCCTTGGCTAATTACACCAAGGAATACAACCACCATCCACGACATTGACAACATCGTTCTGAAAAAATAATTTGTCCCGTCAGGGACAAGTTAAGTAAAAATTACGAAGAGAAACGGAGTGAGTAGGAGTTTGTTGGATCTTTTTCCAACAGCAGGAACTACTTTGCAGTTGTGCGACAAGTTTCCAAGCGCGTATTCGCGAAAATGGGATTGGGACGAAGATGTCGGGTAATAAGTACAATGCAGTAATGAGCTGGTGTAATTTGAACAGATAAGATAAACCGTATTTTTTCATGTTTAATGATACACTTGTGGAAAGCAATAAATTGCAGTTAATATCGTCGGTTGTTAGCTAAAAGTTTGGTACTATTGTTTCAATTCTGATAAAAAAAATTGAATATTCTGTAGTTCTTTTAATTAAATTAGAACCTTGCGTGTAAGTAATTTTCTAACAAGCCAAGAATCCTTAATCAGAGAAAAGATTAAGTGAAGACAGATAAAATGGAAATGTAACATTTTGATTAAAATTTTATATATTTTAATATTTACAATTTTATAATTTTAATATTTACTATTTACTATTTTAATATTTACTAATATTTTATAATTTTGATATTTACTATTTAATATTCAATATTTTACAATTTTAATATTTAATATTTACTATTTAATATTCAATATTTTACAATTTTAATATTTAATATTTGCTATTTAATATTTAATATTTTATAATTTTAATATTTAATATTTAATATTTTAATATTTAATATTTAATATTTTAATATTTTAAAATTTTAATATTTAATATTTTATAATTTTAATATCTACTATTTAATATATAATATTTTACAATTTTAATATTTACTTACGTGTAAGTATTTTTCCAACGGCAAATTGCAGGCTGTAGTGCCGCAGTATCTACGATTTATCAATAATGTTTCTTTCCAAATTGGATATACGCTTTGTAAAATTTTCCCCATTAACTCAGTGTGACTCAGTGTTACGAAACGCTTAGTTTACGTTCTCGTTGCAATGCAATGTAATGCAATAAAGCGCAATAAATCATACATGAAAATTGAAAGTATTTTTATTTCGGGCGTAGCGTATTACTTGCGTTGCGTATGGCTATTGTGTAACAATTTCTAATTAATGTAAATGGATACTATCCGGACGCACGTGTTATTTGTTACGTATCACGTTATTAATCTCCCTTGTCTTTGTCTTATGAAAATTCCATTTTGAAATAAATACACTCGGTAAACAATATTCACATTTTTTTTTTTATTATTTACAGTGAACCGAAAATACAGTCTATTTCACACCTGCGTGATTAAATAAATCATGTATCGATAAACAATACAATCTAATAAATCAAATTAATAAATAAAGTAAAATTATAATTTTCTCTTATGTGTGTATCGTCCATCTTAAAATAAATTTACGAACATTTTCAGAAACATCACGAGCAGTGACGTGAAAATTCTGAAATAATTTAACTGAAATCATTTCTTCGCTGAAATATTTCTCCAAGCAATTTCACTCGTTATTTAACTCGATTTGAACGCGAACCTCTTCTATTTCTAGTCCACGAAGAGTACGTGTTCGCGGACCTAATGTCAAAGTGGCGCCTCACGTAACGAGAGCGATAATAATCTTCGAACTGGCTTCGAAAATAGCGAGACTCGAAAGGAAGATCGTTCATAAAAAATGGCCAGAGTTTTGGCGAAAAGTTTTGATAGTAGTCGGAGAACTGCTCGCGATGCCACGACCATCATTTCGAATGGAGGTACGTTTCCAACGAAGAGACGTCGCATTTTGTACCGCGAATCAACTCGTCCACGAAGCCAGCTTGGATTCTGAAGTTGGTCTCGTTCGAGCGCAACGTGCCGGTCATGTATTTCTGGAAAGACGCCGTGAGGACCCATAGTTCTTGTCTGCCTTTCTTCGACGTTATAATCTGAAAAAGAAAGATCAATCTAAGGATTCTATAGTCATTCTCTGACTCAGACTTGTCGGCACTTTTTTCTCTTTGCGAGAATTTAGCGAGTTTAGCACTCCTCATCTTCTTTTCCTTCAAACTTCAATTTTTTTGATTTAATTTTGTTTAATTTTTTGATTTAATTTTGTTTAAGTTTTTAATTTAATTTTGTTTAAGTTTTTAATTTAATTTTATCTAACTTTTTTATTTAATTTTATTTAATTTTTTAATTTGATTTTATTTAACTTTTTGATTTAATCTTATTTAATTTTCTTATTTAATTTTATTTAATTTCTGGACCTAATTTTATTTAATTTTTTGATTTGATTTTATTTAACTTTTTGATTTAATCTTATTTAATTTTCTTATTTAATTTTATTTAATTTTTTGATCTATTTTATTTAATTTTCTTATTTAATTTTATTTAATTTTTGGATCTAATTCTATTTAATTTTTTGATTTGATTTTATTTAACTTTTTGACTTAATCTTATTTAATTTTATTCTTATTTAATTTTATTTAATCTTATTTAATTTTGTTCTTTTTTAATTTTATTTAATTTTTTGACCCAATTTTATTTAATTTCTTAATCTAATTTTATTCAATTTCTTGACTTTGTTCGTCAAATTTTCTCACATATATGTTAGCGACGATTCAGTTTTATAATCCACAATTTACGACTGGACGGAAATCCCAACGATTAATTATTTAATTATACACTCTTATACTATAATTTTGTCATTTTGCTTCTTATCTACGAAAAGTTAATACGAAGGTATCTTTAATTTTGGTTACATGGTGGGGCACGTTACATCGTGCAGCGTTTGGAGAAAGAAACAACAGGGTGAAGTAGATATGAAAGGTGGCCAAAGATACTCTTTCCCTTATGGCACGCAAGCCACGTCAGTTAGACAGGTCTGATCTATAATAACTCTTGAATGGAAATTTTCTTTCCAGTTATTCCATATTCAGTTTTCTGCAGAGCACGATCGACAAGATACTGTCTATTTAAATTCCATGTTCTATATGAACTTTGAACAATGGAAATCGAACGGGAAAAGATAACTCGGATTAAGAAAACTCGGAATTTTTACATCACACGTACCTTTAAGCCAGAGGGGAACTGCAACGTCTCCGAATTCCTAACGATCATCTCGATATTTTTCTTTCCGTACTGTGGATAGTGCTTGCTGTTCCAGCAAGCGATCGCTAGATCAGATATCAAGCCAAAGAAGAGTACCCCATCGCGATCCATGGCCTCGGCTACGGACTGCGAGGATCTCTCTTCTTCGAACGCTACGAACGACCTTGCCGCGGCCTCGGAGTTCTCGTGGAAAAGAGTGTAATTCCTAGATTAGGGAACGAACGATCGTTTTCTCTTTAAATGATTAATAACAATAGGATTTCTCGAAACGTCGAAACCTCGGGAATCTAAGAAAGCTTCGAATTTTAAGCTCTTGTGCTGGAATGATGTGCCACGCACGTCGAGAATGTTTTGTTCCAAATTGCAACGCTTGGTACATTTATTTTTGTAAGTAAATGTGCAAAGAAAAAAAAAAAAAAAAGATAAAAGAATGTTTGATTTATGTGTCTGTCAAATATACTTCGTAAAGATGATGGTCTTTTGTTTTTAATTCCGAAACGATAATGTGAACTAGCTTGTTTATTTATTAAATATCTTAATATAATAATATCTTGTTGAATTATTGAAATTATTACTAATATATACATAATAATTATTATATATATATATATAAATTATGTTTATTACTATAAGTTATATGTATAATATATATAAATTTATGTTTACTATAAGTTTATTATTATAATAATTATTATATATATTATATTATAATATATATTTAATATTATATTATATTTATATAATATTATAATATTATATATTTATTATATATATATTATAATTATTATATATATACATTATACTATAATGATTATTATAATTATACATAAATTGAATTATATTATATATATAATAATTATTGTTATAAATATCTTATTATCATAAACAAAACTCTGAACCATCATATCTTCATACGTAAAGACGTTCGTTTACATTTTGTTTAACAGCGACCAGTAAAAATTCACGTGAAAGTGTTACACTTCACTAACTTTCTCGAAGCAAGAAATTACAAAGAAAAAAAAAAAAAAGAAAAATCAAAATGAAATCAGCACACACTTCTTCGAAGTCAGTCAAAGTTTCGAAAAAATCGAGTTCCGAGAATTCAAACTTCGATTAGCTTCGAACCCGATAATAATCGTTATCAATGTACACGTGAAAACCTGAATGACCGTTAATGATCGATGACACGATCGTCTCAGAAACTGACCTGATCACAGATGTAGGCACCCACGATTCGACTCTGCTGGCCAACGAGTGGAAATAAAGGATCCTGTCGCCGTTGTGAACGGGGCCTAAGGCAAGACCGAGGACCCCGTCCATCAGGTCAAACGTGCCGCCGTTGATGTCGAACGTGCCGTACGGTGGATAAGGGTAGAACAGGTTGTTGCTGATCCTCCAGGATCTTGAATTGGAGAAGTCGTAGACGATCAACGCGAAGCCCGTCACGTCGGCGACGTAGGCGAACGTGTTTTTGCATTTGTCGTCTCCGTTCCGAACGTCCACGACCACCGTGACGAACAGAGAGTCTTCCTTGTACTGATCACGAGGAAATCGGTGGCTGGTGATCAGCCGAGTCTCGCGGAGAGAGAACACGAGAAGCTTCGGCGAGCATACTTGTTTCTCTTCAAGCTTCCCGGTGTCAAGGACCCACAGTCGGTCGCATTCGTCTATCTAAGGGAAGGATGATGTGACAGGAAATTTCGCAACTCGAAGGACTCGCAGTAACAGCCTCGTTAATGCTCGGGCATTAATTATCGAAGCTGTCGCGATTTTGTTTAAAAAAAAGAAATTGTACGATAATAAATTAATTTAGACTTTCGAACGCCTGAATCCCTTTGCTTTCAAGGTGCACTGTACGATGCACATTTTAATTCGATTCGAATTGAATCAAAAATTGAAAGTAGAGGCTTCAACCTGTAAAACGAGCGCGAATTTATTAACTATACGATTTCGGTTCTTTTACAAAATTGTGATATTAAATATTTGAATAATAGTATCTATATTATATATAATAATTGAATATTTATTATTATATATTATATAATAAAAAATGTATAAATATGTATATTATATATTATATACATAATAATTATTATAATATTATAATAATATTATATATATAATAATAAATAATAAATATATTATATTATATAATTATATAAATATTAATATTAATAATATTAATGTAATTATTAATAATAATATTAATATAAATAATAATATTATTAATATTAGTAATATTAATATTATTATTAATAATATTATTAATACAAATACTAATATTATTAATATTATTAATATTATTAATATTATTATTAATAATACAAATATTAATATTATTAATATTATTAATATTATTATTAATAATATAAATACTAATATTATTAATATCTATAATATTAATATAATTATTAATAATAATATTAATATAAATACTAGTATCATTAATATTAATAATATTAATATTATTATTAATAATAATATTTATATTAATAATTATACTAATAATATTAATATTTATATTAATAACTATATTAATATTTATTACAAGGTAATTAATAAAAATCATTGTATATGGGGTAATTTTAACAATTCTTGTAGATGCAACGACGTATCTAAAAAATGCAGATGCAACTTTTTTAAAAAATTATTAATCCTTTTCACACATTGATCAATATGAAGAAGTACCAATCTGTGTGTGTCGAGATATATTTTCACTTCGTTTTTATCATCGTAATCTATCGTACGAGAGAATAAGGTCAGTGTTCTTGCCTTCCATGCGTAAATTTTGAAAATATCTCCAGAACTAATAATTTTTTCGACGTGCTCGACGTTCCATGTTCTCTTTTTATTAAATATTGAGTTTTTTTTTTCGTCCGAGGTCGAATGCAATGACATAGTAATTTGTTTAGGTGTGCGTCAACGGACATAATTGGTGCAATTTGCACCAGTTAAAAAAAAAAAGAAATACGAAGATATGAAACAGTATATTACACTCCATTATTCTTTGAGGTAAGTATCGAAAGCGTTTGTTGATAAATTATCACTCACCTGTACGAATAAAAGCTCGGTAATTAACATGACTATTAATAATTTATCTATAATTACAACATTTTTTTTCTTCAGTTGGTGACAAATAAATACGATTAATAATGTATGAGGTTATTCACGATAATATTCATCCACTGTTCGTTGAAACAAGTGACACCATTGTTAATATTACTGAAAGTTTGTCACTTGGAAGCTACGTGTAAAATAATAAAAATGGAGCAGTGTTCTTCAGAACAGAACACAATAATATTCTTCAGGAACCAATGTTACCTGTATTCTGTAAACGCTGATGATAGAAGCACAGTTATTTGCGTCGTTGTAAGTCCAACTTGGATACGGCGTGATCAGGGGGTTTCCATCAAGTGACGTCTGATTGGTGACATAGCCCAAGGTCACGGGTACGCCGTCCTGAAATCTTGGAATGGCCATAAACACCGTCGATTTGTGCTCTTGAAACGACAACAAAGATCTTTCCTCATTCTTAAGATCATCTGACAAATTTCCTTACACGTACGACTCTGATTCTCTCTTTTTTCTCTAAATTTTGAAAAAATTTTGAACTAGAAGAACACCACTATATGTTCATTTTATTATTACCTTCGTTGTAAACGTCAACGTCGATAGGTAGTGGCGAGCCAGGTATGAAAACCCTGTTGTTAATGGCCGTCATTCTAGCATACTCGTTTGGAAATGCAAAGTCCAACGCTTTCCACGAGTAGATGCCCTTCAGTTTCTCGTAAGCTTGTAAATTGACGATCGTCGAGAGCAACAGGACCGACGTGCAAAGCAGTTTCATCTTCTGAATCTTCATAATATGATTATTATATATTGATTAGTTTAGAAGATTATTTTATGCTGGAAACATTATTATATACTGGTCAGTATACCACTGTGGCTTTTTCAACACCAGAAACATGATTGAAGCGATGGGACCTAAATGTTGTTATAAATGTTTGATTCTTTTACTAAATTATAAAATAAATTATAATAAATTATAATGAATATAAATGTTTGATTCTTTTACTAAATTATAATAAATTATAATAAATTATAATGATAATAAATTATAAAGATAATAAATAGTAATAAATTATAACAAATTATAATGATAATAAATTATAATAAATGATAATAAATTATAATAAATTGTAATAAATTATAATAAATATTCTACTTTGGATATTTTATATATTTCCATATGCATGTTATGTATATGCATATTTGCACTTTCGAATTTCCCATAAATGCATAAAAATCCACACACGGTGAATTAAAAAACTATTGGCGATTTTATGGAAACAAATGATGTACTAACAAAATCTGTTTTCATAAATTGTTCACTATATAATAATTATTCACTAAGTAAAGTAAATTGAACAATAGCAATTGCCAATAATAAGTTATGCGAAAAAAAAAGTTAAGAGTTACGCTTGTAATTTCAGTGCTTAATATGCATTTAATGGAAAAATTACAAAATATCCTGTTGTAATATACTTTTATATGTAAACTATTTATAATAGCACATTTCGTTTGTTTACAAAAATATTGCAAGAAAACTAAATTTTATCAAGACATTTTTCTCATTCACTGTAGTTTCCAACTACAAGCTTTTCTTGCTGCATTATCGAGGAAATCAATTGCTCAGTTTCAAGAAAACAATCCGAAACAAGTTATGTTTTTCTTCAACACTGGAACTATCAAATTAATTAGAATGGTGAATTTATAATTTTTCATGGAAATTTTGCATATTTATAACAGTGTATTTTATGAGAATGATTATTAGTAAGATATATAAATAGAGGCTTATGCTTTTTATTATGTTACAAAAGTAGAAATTTTGTATATTTGCAACAGTGTATTTTTAGACTCGAGTGATTTTTAGTAAAATATATAAATAAAAGCTTGTGATTTCTTATTATGTTACAAAAGTAAAAATTTTGTATATTTGTAACAGTGTATTTTCAAACAAATGATTTTATTAGTAAAATATATAAATAGAATATTGTGTTTTCTCTGTTCCTTGCACTTTAATTTTTCTGCCACAAATTTTCAGTTGTCGATAGTGTCAAGTGACACGATTGTTCAAAAGTTATACTACGAAATTTGTTTTATGGCGATAACCGAAGAAATATATTCAGGCGTAAAAAAAATATTTAAGAGAGATTCTATGAATAACTCGTCGAGTGTGTACATTCCATTATGACATTGAAGAATTAATGACACTCATTTTATCACAGAAGATTTATTATATCATCAAGATTGTCATTTGAATACACATGAATCGATACGTGAGAAATGAACAACAACAATAAAGATAACGAAAAAAATAAAAAAAATGTGCAAGTCTTTCTAATTTAATTTACGAAGTCCAGGGCTGGGGAAAATTTGAGCTTGAAGTGTGACACAAAATATTGATAATTGAAGTATTTCCATGAGCAAATATTATTTGTTTCATTTGGTACTTAAATCAAAATACTAATAACAAAATCAAATACTGTTTGAAAATACTACTTCGTTTAATATTTAAACCATGAGCAAATACCATTTACAAATGTAGGAGAACAAGAGTTTCGAAATAAAATAATATTTCTTGCAAGTTGTGTTTCAAAGATTTAAAAGATAATATGTGTAAAAAATGTGTTTTATTTGAAGCAAATAAAACGAGTTAATAATACGTAAAAATTACTTTCTTTAAGAATATTTGTCTGTTTATAAATAAAATGAAAGTCTTATGTTTCGATAAAAATCTCGGAACTGCTTACTTGCAACATTATTATTTGAAATATTATTTAAAAACACTATCACCTTAAATTTCAATGCAATACTTATTTGACAATAGTACGAGTTAGTATTAAAATATATCTTTGAAACACTATTTCTAGACTATACTGAGACTATACTTGAGAAGATAAAAATACTTAAGTATTAAAAGTATAAAATATTTAAGTAAAAATATATAAGTAGTGAAATATGTCTTTGAAACACTATTTCTAGACTATACTGAGACTCTGCTTGAGAAGACAAAAATATTTAAGTATTAAAAGTATTAAATATTTAAGTAAAAATATATAAGTAGTGAAATATATCTTTGAAACACTATTTCTAGACTACTTGAGAAGATAAAAATATTTAAGATAAAAATATTTATAGTAAAGAGACTATACTTGAGAAGATAAAAATATTGAAGTACTAAAAATATTCAATATTTAAATAAAAATATATAAGTGTTAAAATAGATCTTTGAAACATTATTTCTAGACTATACTGAGACTATACTTGAGAAGATAAAAATATTTAAGTATTAAAACTATGAAATAGAAAAGAGACTATACTTGAGAAGATAAAAATATTTATAGAAAAGAGACTATACTTGAGAAGATAAAAATATTGAAGTACTAAAAATATTAAATATTTAAGTAAAAATATATAAAGTATTAAGATATATCTTTGAAACACTATTTCTAGACTATACTGAGACTCTGCTTGAGAAGATAAAAATATTTGTTTCTATTTTAAAAATCTGCTTCTCCTCAGCCTTGATGGAGTCTAAACTCTTCAAAAAAAAAATGCAAAACCACAGCACACATGCTTAAATTTGACTCACCACTTTAATATCGTTGGAGGATAGTTGTAACTTGAAATTCGTAACGAGACTGCGGCAATTGTATCTCGACCCAAACTTCCAGCTGTGCCGAATTGTTCAAGGGAACTCTCCTGTCCCTGTCGCTCGTTCTTTCGTAAAGTCAATCACTTTTTACGTGTCACCCGCGTAACTTTCACCGTTAGAGTGGAAAAAACATCGACTCACAGCGATTGCTAAGAGAATAATCGATCTCGATTCGTAAAGTGATTCGCGATCGATTGAACTCGCCAATGTTTCCTTAAAATTTTCTTCCTCTTATTCAAGAAATTTCAACGTCCATCATTTTGCGATTTAAAGAAATATGTGTCAGAAGCACACTCTAATATCGTTTCAAATCAAAAGTGTTTGCATCAATTATACTGTCTATCAACGCACTGTTATAATTCCTCTTTACGATCTACGGTTGTGTAAATTGAACGAATTCAAATTAAATTGCCACGGATATTGACTAGCTTCTCGCAGAGATCAGACTATGCGCGATCAGCTCATTGATGACGAGAAGACAGAGAATGGAACGTAGCTCGCGTTGCCGCGTTCGACTACAGACTGAGCGGACAGATGCTTCTGGAACAACGAATCTCGTTGTGAAAGAAGTACGTACCTCCGAGACGTCTTCGAGATCGGGTAGATCAAGTTTCGTCTTTTTCGATTTATCAGCTGCTTGGAAACAAATCCGCGTATGCTGGACATCGAAGGAGGTCGACGACGCTGGGGATTTCCCAAGATCTTTAATTAAAGAACTTACTCACGAGTCTTTCACGTTCACGTCGTCACTCGATGAAGACTATCTCGAGGAAATTTCAAATTTCATCCAAAGTCGACATTCTTCGCATTAACGTGTAATACATCTATCATGACGTCACGAATTGAAAGCACTCTTTTTTTACGAACTGATTCTACTTTCTGTAATTTCGCGAAATTTTTGCAAGTTTCTTCGACTGATTTGAAGTAAAAAATTAATTTTAACTATAGCTTATTTGATTAATTTTTTTCTCCTTCCCTTTGTGATCTATGTAACATAGTGATCTATGTAACATTGAACATGATCAAGCGTATATTCGTAACATTGATGTTATGTTTATAGATTTCATTCTTTCCTGTTTGACCACGGGACAGCGAGTTTGTTACACTTTTCTCGATGTCAATAAACTGTGAACAATGCCCAGTAACATATCCAAGTTTTTCCTGTTCTCGTTTGAAGTCGATAGCGCAATGCAATACATTTCTACGGTTGGAGATAATTTATGAACTACGTAGCAAGTATGGGAACTTTTATCTCGATAATTATATAATAGAATTTTTACTTCTCTTCGAGACATCCAAACGATGTAAATAACAATTACGATCGATGCTAATTGTGCAATTGCAAAGTCTTACTTGACAGATTAATCATGATATATTGCGATTTTATTGCGAATTTTCAGTTCTATCGATTTTCAGTTAATAATAAAAATACCATCCGGTCGGGAAGTTCTTCGTCAAACGTTTTACGACGTATGAATACACGCAGATTGAATTTTTGCGTCTGAAGTTCACAGTCTCTTTAACTTCTTGCGCTGGAATGACGTGCCACGCACATCGAGAATTTCTGTTATATTAATTTGTAATATTTTCTCAGTTTTAAGTATATTTAAGTAAAACGAAATAGGCAAAACAAATAATAAATTTATTGCTTCTCAATAATTTTTATCCACTGATACTGACGAGTTTAAAAAGAAAGAGACGAATTATCGTATACGGTTTGGTCACTCGTTATGGTCCGCAATCAGTTGCCAGCGCAAGTGGTTAACCTCTTGCCACGCACGTCGAGAATTTTTTGTCCCAAAATTGCAATATTTTCTCAGTTTTAAGTGTATTTAAGTATAATTCAGACAAAACAAATGATAAATTTATTACTAATCAATAATTTCTATTGAGTGATATCATACCGGCGAGTTTAAAAAGAAAACGACGAAATTTCTGTATACAGTTTGGTCACTCGTTATGGTCCGCAATCAGTTGCCAGCGCAAGTGGTTAACCTCTTGCGCTGGAATGACGTGCCACGCACATCGAGAATTTTTTGTAATATTAAATTGTAATATTTTTTCAGTTTTAAGTATATTTAAGTATATTAAGTAAATTTTAAGCATATTAAGTAAATTGTTAAGTAAGTTTTTAAGAATATTAAATGAAACAAAATAGGCAAAACAAATAATAAATTTATTACTTCTCAATAATTGTTATCCAGTGATATACATATGAGTTCAAAAAGAAAGCGACGAATTATTGTATACGGTTTGGCCACTCGTTATGGTCCGCAATCAGTTACCAGCGCAAGTGGCTAATAATTTACAGCTTACATGAAACTTTGATATTTAACAGATGAGTTTTTTGAAAACTGTGTAAATACGTGGGAACGTATGAACGAAAGGAATTGTACGTAAAATTTGAGATAAACAATTCTTTTTCTGGGATTTCTGTGCGTTCGTATATTGGAACGTGATGTCATCTACAGTACAAACAGGTGTGACCGACGTGCGAGCGAACAACGCTATTTTTCAGGGAAGAGATATCAAATAAACATTACATCGATAGAAAATACAAAATATTTCTATTTTTTCACCATACAATGCTGCGCTTTACAAATGATTCACTACGATCTCCTACTACTTTCTAACGTGCATCTATCTCGAAATTTTTTAACAGCGTCCTATCTATTTTCTTTCGTCGAATGTGATTTGTAAAATTGCCATTTTATTCCACGCAAGCGACGTCATTTTCTTCTTCTCTTTTTTTTAGTTCGATAAAAATTTATGACGCTTCATCGATTTCTTGAGTCTCGTGGAAAATCTCCTGTCGACGTGTGTACGTATGTAAATGACACGATTCTCCGGTTATTACTTAGTTTTCTATCTAGAATCCTATCGTGTTGTTGTAGAACTGTGGCGGGAAGTAAGGCTGACTGAACGAATTGAGAATGTTTGTCGGATGTTTCGGATACTGCATTGGTACCAGCCTCATTAATCGAATGTTGATGTCGCGCGCGTTCACCTCCTGTCTGAAGAACTTTTGAAACCTGGTGCTCAGCAGCCAATAGTTGCCGTCATCACGTTCTGTGCATCGTATCTCAGCAACGAACTGAAGCTTCTCCGGGTTGTAAGCTAAAATCCTGGCGAAAGGAGAAAAAAGTTTCTTTTATTCTTTCAAAACTTATTAAACACAATTTCGTATCCTAAAGTTTCTATCTACGTTTCAAAGATTGACTGAAGAATAATCTACGAGAAGAACTCTCGTCTTCTAGTACTCAAGAAATTATACATATATCAATTCTACGATTTTTGCCTTGTTTTAACATTGTTCGAACATTTTCTAAACGTTTGAATTTTTTTACTATCTTCTCTTACTGATGTAAGTCTCGTTCTCAGAAACTGACATTCTATGAAATAGAAAAACGTAGTAACGATAGCAACAATCATAAAGCAATAATAATAATAACTGTACGATACAATAAAACGTAGTATGATATAATAAAATAATACAGATAATGTATGATAAGACAATATAATATAATAATAATAATATAGCAAATATAATAAAATAATATAGACAATAATATTAACTAATATAGATGCTAAATGTATGATAAGACAATATAATATAGCGTAATATAATAATAATAGTATAGCAAATATAATAAAATAATATAGACAATAATATTAACTAGTATAGATAATAAATAATAAAAATAATATTATAATAAACGTAATATAATAAAATAATGTAAATACAATAATAAATGCAATAATAATAATAGTGACAGATGATATGTAGAAAAATTATAGGCTGCCAAGAGAGAATCGAAGAAATTTATCGTTCAAGATTATTTTCACAATTCATTTTCATCGATATCGTGCGTATTGAATGATAGTAATACCTCTGTCTATTGGTCTGCGGTTGCCAGGCGGCGATGGCTGTTTCAGTAAGCGGGGAAAACAGAATCGTATCGTCTCGAGGGTCGACGGCCAGAGCGAGACCTTGACTGGATTTTTTACCCACTAGGGTCACAGGCAGTTGCTCGCCAAACGATGGAGGACCCGCTTGAAGCGCAGTTGTTGGCACGCTGAACAGACGATCGGTCGCCAACGGTTGATAGTAAACGGTCCCGAGTCTGGCGGAGAACCCCAGGCCAACGACCCCGTCCAACAATTCGAACGTGTCGCTACCAATCTGTAAAATATTCACGTCCATCCGATCTGATTTGATTCGATGGAAAAAATAAAATTTATCTACCTTGCGTTTGGAAGCAACAGAAACAGTGAGATCCAGGAAAAATCAAATAATTTCAAATATATAGGAATATATGAATTTATGAATATATAGGAATATATGAATATATGAATATATGAATATATGAAAATATGAATATATGAATATATGAAAATATGAATATATGAATATATGAATATATGAATATATGAAATATAGGAATATATGAATATATGAAATATAGGAATATATGAATATATGAAATATAGGAATATATGAATATATGAAATATAGGAATATATGAATATATATGAATATATATGAATATATATGAATATATATGAATATATGAATATATGAATATATAAATATGTAAATATATAAATATATAAATCAAATATTTTTATACAAAGTTCCGAATAAATCGGAATTTCCGTCAGACTTCTCTTTATTGTTAAATTATCACATATTACGTACAGCTTGGTTCAATAAAAATTAGTTCAGTAATAATTATATTTTTGAAAATATGAAAAAGCTTTGTATCGCAGCTTTGCGAAGCATTGTACGGTAATAATAATTTTTTTATAGCTCACGCGGGCTTTCGAAGATTTCGAGGACACCTCTACTTTTTTCAAAAATGAAATTACATATTTTTTTTTATGTATTAATTCGACATTATCTATCGAAAGTATGTACGTATTACGATTATTAGTTTTGGAGATGTTTTAATTTTCATTTTATTGTATTCTACCAAAAATTTTATACACTTCAATTTTATTGAGAACAATATAAACTCTCATATTCTCTCGTTTCCTCGTGTGATAAATTTTTCAAAATTCCTCCGAATTAATATTCAGATTCCAATTGGAAAAGTGGAGGTATCTTGGGATCTTTGAAACACTATTATAGCTCTTCCCATACTAAACAATTTTCGTCGACAAAATTGTTTCGCATCTCCAAAAAACAGTGGAAATACTCAAGTGTTGATTCTCACTGGACTAATCTGCATATTATACATTTTTATTTACTGTTTGTGCAGTGGTAGTCGATAATGATATTCCTATGATACTTGCAGAGCATTTTTACGGTGAAACGGTTACCTCGCCGTGTAAATTCCTAGTATTAAAAAAATTGAAATCGCTGACCCGAAAGCGTAAATATTTATCGGAAAACAAGAAACCGCGCAACCGCAGAATTCAACCGCAGAAGAATTTCAATGTGCTCGCCTCTGTCTTTCGTTGTTTGCAAGTCAAAGAAAGGTGCGTAACTCGTTCGTTCGTAACATACTGCGAGTAGTGTCTCGTAATTGTTATCGATCCATCATAGTTCAGGAAATGTGGAAAGAAACGTTTCACATAAAATTCACGTAATCGTACCCGATAAGTCGAGAAATCCGGATGGGGATACATGGTCGCGTGCACCACTCGCCAACTTCTCTCCGTCGCGCCGTCGAACACCAGCATACCTTGAAAGAGAGATAGTGACAATCATGAAATAATAATAATAATAATAACTGTATGCTACAATAAAATGTAGTATGATATAATAAAGTACTATAATGTATGATAAGACAATATAAAACAGTGTAACATAATAATAACAATATAGTAAAGTAACAAATATAGTATAAATATAATTATAAATATATTATATAATTTATATTTTAAATTATAATTATTTTATATTATAATATGATATATTATATTATATTATAATTATATATATTACAAATTATAATTATATTATATTATAAATATTATATTATATTATAATAGCATAGTAATTAATATAGTAAAATAATAATAAAATATAATATAATAAAATAGACAATAATATTAACTAGTACAGATAATAAATAATAACAATAATGTTATAATGAATGTAACAATAAAATGTCATATAATGAAATAATGTTAATAATAATAATAAATAATAATAAATGTAATAATAATAATAGTGATAATGGCAATAATGAAATATAAATAAGAATAATAAAATTACAACATTCGAAGAAGATAATAATAAATGATTAGAGAGAATATTTAATTACCAGGTCCAGTGGTGTCAGATATATAAAGGAATACATCGTCGCAAGTAGTTGCAGCGGTGTCGTCGATGATCATGTTTGTCAGCAGCGTGTTCGGTCTCAGAACCTGAAGAAGACAAACTGTATTTTACGAATTCGTTTTAAATGTCACGAACGTAGCACAATTGGAATTTAACGAATCACGATCAATCAGGTAGCAAATAGGTCATTGAACAGTCGTAAACAAACATAATCATAAATTGATCTGACTATTGAATCCAATTGAAATAAATAAACAAAGAGGAAGAGGGAAGGAAGAAAGAAAGAAGCTCACCTCTCGCGGGAACGTGAACTGTCGCGTCAGTTGATTGGTTTTCGAGTCGAAGACCATTATCTTCGGTGGGCAAACTGGCCTGAAGTCTTCGATCGACGTCATCACGCCGCTGTCGACGACCCACAGCCGATCACACTTGTCCAGCTTCGTCCTGTACACGGAGATCAACGTGGAGCAGTTCAGGTCGCCTCGTCCGGCGGCGTGCCAGTCCCAGGATGGGTAAGCATGGAGTTGCGGGCTGCTCTCCAACGGAAGATTCCTCGGGATGTAGTTCAATGTCGCCGGGATGCCGGCTCGCAATCTCGGTACGCTGACGAAGATCCTGTCCCAGCCAATCTCGATCCCGGTGGGCACCACGTTCTCTGGACGATACTGATTGAGGAATTCTCGTTCGTACGGGAGGGCGAAGTCCAACAACGGCCATTGGGCTATGGTTTCTAGGATCTCCGCGGTCGCTGAAGCGCAGAGCAGCTCCACTAGGAGGATGATCAGCTGCATCCTACGATGCACGAGTGATTTCGAGTCAAGGCTATATTTATAATATCAAATATATTGTTATCAATATAATATAACAATTCATCAGTGTATACAAGTTTCATGTTATAATTTTCTGTTTCCATTTCATAATTATATAAAAAATGATTAATAATATATAATAATAATATAATTATACAATAATATATAATTATAGTACAATTATAAAATGATATATAATTATAGTACAATTATAAAGTAATATATAATTATAGTACAATTATAAAGTAATATATAATTATAGTACAATTATAGAATAATATATAATTATAGTACAATTATAAAATAATATATAATTATAGTACCATTATAAAATAATATATAATTATAGTACAATTATAGAATAATATATAATTATAGTACAATTATAAAATAATATATAATTATAGTACAATTATAAAATAATATATAATTATAGTACAATTATAAAATAATATATAATTATAGTACAATTATAAAATAATATATAATTATAGTACAATTATAAAATAATATATAATTATAGTACAATTATAAAATAATATATAATTATAGTACAATTATAAAATAATATATAATTATAATATAATTATAAAATAATATATAATATGACTCAAATATATAATATAACAATTTATCAATATATATATGTGTGTGTGTGTGTGTCTGTGTGTGTTAATATTAACATTTTATTCGTCTGTGAAATAATGTTACATCTACATTGAAAACTTACTGAATTAAATGTGAACGATTTCTTATTTGCATAGCTATTTTTAAGGAAACGATCAATTTAATTTCTGACATTTGTAATATAATTATTTTCTACATCAATTAGCATTATATGTCACCGACTTATAAATTAGCATTTAGTATATCTCAACAACAATTATAAGTTAGAAACTAACCGTGCAAACGTTAGTTTCACTTTGTAAAAGATATAGAAATTATATAATTATTTATTGTTGTCTTAAATTAATGGAGGCTATAAAACAGTAAAAAATGGCCAACAATGAGATAGAAAAAGGCTATGAAACAAAAATTACTGATTACTGAATAGAAAAAGTCTTTTTGGAAGTATTGATATAGAATATCACTGAAGGTCGAGCAGGTAAATGGTCATTATAAGTTGAACCTTCAATTATATATAATTTTATAATTGTGTGCACATCGATTAAACATTCGAAGTGAATTTTTAAATAATATTTCTGAATATTCTAATTGTTTAAACATTATCTAATGTTTCTAATAATTTACTTGCAACAATTAAACAATAAATCCTCTTTTGCTTCTAAGTGTTATTTAAAAATTTTAACTAATAATTTATAAGAATCTTGAACAATGTACCTAAGAGAAATGACTTTAACTTGTTGAACGAAATGATTAATTTAACTGTTTAATCGTAATATAAAAGTTGTGAAAATTATTAAACAATGTCTAGAAATATTGTAGAAATAATTTAATTGTTCCAAATGAATTATTCAAACTGTAAAATAATGCATTACGATGATATTTTTGTATATTATTTAACAAATTAACTATTTATTTTTAGCAATTCAAGCAGTGATTGAACTTCCAACTTTCCATTATTTCATAGTTTGCATAGTTTGCAACAATTCATTTATAATAATTAAATTATATTATTTACAATAACGGAAAAGATAACATAATACATATATTCCTTGCAATTTGAAATAATAAACGAGTGAAAATTTTTATATGTTGCGCGATTACTCTGAAGCGACGATCACTGTTTAACTCGATTTTTGACTACATAACTTTTCTCTACATAAATTTCTATTTAATATACGTCAATGCAGTTATAACTTAGAAATTAATATCATGAAAGTGTAAATTTATTTTTAGCCAGTTATAGATCAAGAAATTAATAAATTATTACATTTGGCATTGTAACATATTTATGAAAGTGTAACCTTGCGATAGAAATCTAAGAACTATTGATTAGTATAATAGAAAAATTGTTTCGAGATACTAAAAAAAAATTATCAACAGTTCCGGGTCACTGACGATCGGAACATTAGGTTAACTTTCAGCGGTATGGAGACTTATTACCAATTAAACTTCCGTCGTGTGCACATCGACCAAAATTTAGGAGTGAGTTTTAAATAATATTTCTGAATATTCTAATTTGCTTAAACATTATCTAAATATATTTTGTCCCTAGATACACACATATATAATTCACATGTTATAATTCTCATTTTATAATTATATAAAAAATTCAAGATTCTAGATTCAAATATAAAATAAAGTAACAATAAATATGTACAAAAGGAATTATATTAAAAATATAATAAAATATAATAAAAATATAATAAATTTGTAAAAAAGGAAATTATACATATTAAAAATAAGAATTAAAAGCAGATTTGAAAGTATACAAAAATTTATGTACTTAATTATATTCAAATTTGTAATAATAATTCTAAAATTTACATCATTATAATAATTAATTTATAATTGATAAATTGTTATATTATATATTACACTGATAAATTGATAACGATATATAGTCATCGATATATCAATATAATATAATAATATTATATTTATAATATTAATATCAATATAATATATAATATAACAATATATCGACGTTAAATAGTATAGATACTGTTAAATTAAAACGTTGAATGATGTGGATTCCTTAACGTTCGAAAGCAAGCAGAGCAGCTCCGTCTTATTTCAATACGTTTGTTTTTTTCGCGGCAGGGTATTTGACGCTTTGAAATTGCTTACATTTTGGAGTGAACTTGAAAATTATGTCTTCAGTGCGTACATTGTCATTCAAATGTTTAAGACCACTTTGCATTAATCTGGAATTTGTGCAAGTACATTTGTCAAAGTACTTTTGCCTTTAAATTTATTAGAATCATTCATTAACAGGGTAATTTATTAGGAATTTTTTAAAGAATTTTTCTCAAGTTACAAGTTTAGTTTACTAACCAAAGTATATTAATAAACACAAATAACTACCCGAGTCGTCTGTTCCTATTCAAGCAAGCTCCAACCTCAGCAAATCATCTAACGATGATTTTACAACACTGTCGATACAGGGGACGATATGCCATTTTTATACCAAATTTATATAAACTATTACTATACTAAAATCACACCAATATTAATGAAATAATAATATGAATTCAAATCATAAAAATCAATTAATTCACACAATGTCAAAAGTAGAAATTGCATTTGAAGGTAAAGAGGGAGAGTAGCATATGTTACAAATTATTTCCCCCTTCTTTTACACTCTTGTAATTAATTAACACTCATAGACGTTGGTATGTGGACGTTACGTGAAACATTTCTCGAGTGAAATCATTTTTTAAAAGATGAAACGATGGGTGGGTGATTCTTGCTTGCGTCGGAAGTCGCGTCGTGAAAACGGATTTCACCGCGATGTTTTCTACTCGATTCGAATTCAAACAAACATTTCATCAACGCCGCGAAAGAGTCACGATCGAACGAACTTTCGATGATGGGAAAGGCCGATAGACATTCGAACATAAAAGTGATCGATTGCACTTTGTGTCCGTGCACCGAAAACACGTGTTCGCGAGAGCTTTCCAGCGTAACTTTCCGCGTGTTTTGCAACAATCGGCGATCACAATGCACGCAACATAATGATGTTGATCTGGACACGCGTTAACAAAACGCGCACCAACTGTGCATTATCACGCGAATGTCTTGCCTCGAGGTTCCCTTTGGAAAGTTACTTACTTTTATGTCGAATTAAAAAGGTCCCAACTGACGTGACCAATTACATTTGGAATCGTAGAGCTTTCGTTTCGAACGAAAATTATGAAATTTGGAAATTTTAGTATGTTTGGTGTAAGACCAAGTTCTCTTGCAATATTTTTGTGAAAAGAAACGACGCATTAACAGAATGCCATTTAATATATATATGTTGAGCAGAATTATTAATTTTAATTTTATACTATTTAATTTATTTATATTTAATTAAGGAATTAATTATATTAATTAATTTAAATTGAATTAATAGAAAATTTTATTTCTATATTATGAATTCAAATCATATACTTTATCAAGTTATTATTAATTATGATAAACTCAAATAAATTATTTTTATGATAAACTCAAATAAATTATTCAATATAAATGAAAAAATATAATAGTTAAAGCATAAAATAGCAAAAAAATTATTTAAATTTGTAAATGGATATTCAATTATTTGTATCCCTAATCATGTTAATATAATGGAAAATATTAATAAATATTTAATAAAAAGATTGATTAATTGGGTAAAATTTTAAATTTTTCATTTTATTATTATTTAATGGAGGTAATAATATTATCACGTACGAAAGGCAATCGCAATTTCCAATTATGAATTATACAATAATAATACAAATGTGAAAATTCGAAAATTCAAATAATGTTGACGTAAATTATGCAATAGTAATACGAATAATGTAAAAATTCGAGAATCCAAATAATGTTGATGTAAATTATGCAATAGTAATACGAATAATGTAAAAATTCGAGAATCCAAATAACAATGACATAAATTATGCAATAGTAATACGAATAACGTAAAAATTCGAGAATCTAAATAATGTTGACTTAAATTACGCAATAATAATACGAATAATGTAAAAATTCGAGAATCTAAATAATGTTGACTTAAATTCTGCAATAATAATACGAATAATATAAAAATTCGAGAATTCAAATAATATTGACTTAAATTATGCAATAATAATACGAATAATGTAAAAATTCGAGAATCTAAATAATGTTGACTTAAATTCTGCAATAATAATACGAATAATATAAAAATTCGAGAATTCAAATAATATTGACTTAAATTATGCAATAATAATACGAATAATGTAAAAATTCGAGAATCTAAATAATGTTGACTTAAATTCTGCAATAATAATACGAATAATATAAAAATTCGAGAATCTAAATAATATTGGAGGGTCTCTTTTGCAACTCGGTCGTTCATTCGAACAGAATATAAAATATTTTTAATTAAAGTTAAAAACAGGTGTGTCTTTTTCTAAAATCATTCGACAACATTTCAATATTTTACAACAGAACATTTTGTAATTTTTTTCGATAATATTCCGCCATTAAATGCTGATTAAGCACTGGTACTACAATACTGGTATATAATATTTTCGACTCTCGAATTTTCCATATCACTTGCGTTATTATCGTTATTTTGTGTTCGTAGTGAATTATTTGCAGAAACAGATTTGATTTATATCATTTCTCCTTGACAAAGATGTCATATCGAAAAACTGAGATGCGTCGATATTTTTTTCACATTCAGCATTTATTCTTGAGGAAGCTTTTTTTCACCTGATCTTGAATCCATCAGACGTCCAGCTTACTCAAGCATAAATTACTGGTTACGTAAAATTACTAGAATTTTGCAGAATGCAATACGATCGGTTTAACAACCGTGCTACATTGACAACGAGTGTTAAGTTTCGCACCTCTCTCTGATCGAGTAACAATAACTTTCTTTCAATTTCAAACGATACTAGACGTCTGTTAGGTTTTTACCGATGACAGACAATTGCGTTCAACGATCATATTTGACGATCGTGACTGAACACGACGTTGATTTTACGCGACCGAAACTTATCGATTATCGAATTTCAACAAAGTCACGGTCTTTGACAGCTTCTCGCACAATCCAAGCGCAACGGGTGCCAGATGTCATTAAACTTTGCGGTCGATCTTGAAACCGGTCTTACTGCACAATAATTCAAACACTTCTATTTCTCAAAATTTACAATCTCACATCACAATCGCGACGATTTTCGGATATCTCGCGATGAAGAATCATTATCGATATAAATCGAAGTTTTGTTTATACACTAGGCGAGTTACACTTAATGATTTATATTTCGGGGGAAATTTATATTTCGAAATTGTGCTGGCGCTGTAATTCAGTAATTCCACTGACGTGATGAATTTTATATACTAAATTTATATGAAATTTCTATTGAATCTTTTTTTATATTAAATTTAAATTTTATATTAAATTTATATTAAAATTTTTTCACATTAAATTTATATTAAAATTCTTTTTATATTATATTTATATTAAAATTTTTTTTGTATTAAATTTATATTAAATTTATATTTAAATTTTTTTATATTAAATCTACATTAAATTTTCTTTTATATTAAATTTATATGAAATTTACTAAATTATTTTCTATATTATATTTATATGAAATTTATTAAATTACTTTTTCATATTAAATTACGTTTTTACTCAATTTCATACATTAAATTTTTTATATATTATAAATCACCACCAGAGATCGAATAAAAATTGATAAAAGGACCAACCTCGATGTGTAAATCCTCGAGCTTAGACCAAGAAAGTCTAAAGAAACCGAAACACCAATCTCATTCAGTGAGGTCGTGCACTCAGTTCGAACTAACTGCAAGCCCGTCCGACAAGCGTGTACCAAGTCCCGCTGTCTGAACACCAACTGATCTAATTTCCTTGCATCGACTAGGATCCTAGTGGTCCGAGAGACAGGGCGCGAGCATATGGTAGAAAATCGGCATATTGCGCAACAGTGTACGCGATAGCGAATCGAACGATTCTTCGTGACATTCACGGCTACACCCTCGGGGAACGTGTTTTGCAGATCGTGGCGTGGTAACTTTTTGCCAAAGGTTACCATTGATCTCGCCGTTGATCGAGAGCGCGAAAGCCATTGTTATTTCTTGCTTCTTGTAAATTTGTCTGCAAACGCAAACTTGAACTCTGAACGAGGCGAGTTCTTGAAGTGAGACAGCGATTGATTGTGAATTTAATTCATGCGATTTGAATTCTTTGCGATTGATATTCTCTTGCCTGAATTTGTGACCAGTGATTATTTTTTGATCGTTAGTATTATATAGTATTTTTTGGTCATTTATTTTTATTTTATTTACGTATTACATTTTATTTTATATTTTATACTTAGACTCTATACTTTATATTAATATAATATCTGTTATATAATATTGTTTTATTATTATACATTTCATATTTTATATTAATATAATATTTATTACATAATAATATTTTATTATTATACATTTCATATTTTATATTAATATAATATTTATTATATACTAATATTTTATTATTATACATTTCATATTTTATATTGATATAATATTTATTATATAATAATATTTTCTTATTATACTTTTTATATTTTATATTAATATATTATATTATACTAATATTTTATTATTACACCTTTTATATTTTACACTTTGTGCTTTATATTTTATATTTTATATCTTATATCTTATATCTTATATTTTATATTTTATATTTTTTATTTTATACTTTATATTTTATTCACGTACGTTACATGCTTTTTATTTTCATTTCTTTATTGTTCAAATGAAACAATTTTGCAATATTTATGAATCCGAAACAAAGTCAATTCAACGAAAGTAAGAATTACAATAAAGGAAGAGGAACTCAAAAAAAAACTGACAAAACAGAATCTCGTTGTCTATGATTTGATCCATTTTTCTTACTACACTTACGTTACGTTTTAATTAAAATTCTAAGACCGCTACAATGTCGACAACTCAATCAGATACTTTTTAATGATGCAACGCATTTCAAGAGATCCCCTATTACGCGAACAGAAAAGACAGTGACTCGAGATTTCAAAATAGGAGCGTGCCGGATACGAATCACCGCGATGGAGAAAGTGATTTGCCAGACAATGCTCCACACAGGCACTGACATTCAGTATCCGCGGTAACCAGCTACGCCTACTTGGAATGTATGTTTCTGTTTACCTCGATAACGACACAAACCACAAAAACTGAAAAAAAGAATTCCATTCGAAATATATTGTTCCACTAAATCGGACCGATAATTCTGCAGTTACAACTATACGTTGTCACAGTTTTATGAAATTCGCGTTTACGCATTAATTAAATCATGCAGAGTGCAGGATTTCTGCATCTAACGACGGAAACAAGGGTGTTTATAAGTTTTTATAGATTCATTTTAAAAAATATATTTCATGGGTAAATACCATAATTTTATAGTAAATATATAAAAATATATTTAAAAAAAATATATATATATGTCATAAATATATAAAATTATAATTTACAATATATAATACAAAATTATAATAATATAAAATTATAATTTACAATATATAATATAAAATTATAATTTACAATATATAATTTACAATATATTGTTATTGAGTTAAATAATGTAATGTATAATATATTATCATAGTATGTATAACATCATAATTGTAATAATATGTGTGTTATTAAATTATATTAAATGTATGATCATAACATGCTTACATTATTACACGTATATTAGACATATTTATTTTATAAATCTACATTTACAAATGCGTTAACTTTGACTCCTGCTGCGAGCATAAGAAACTTATGGAACAAATTGTCTGAGATAAAATCTAAACGTAGTGCCACTTGCAGTAGAATGTAGAATGTGAATTGTGTGCAGTAAACAGGTAATAAATATTACGCAGAATTTTCCAATATAGAAAAAAGTGAAACAACAGGTTTTAACTAAATTATATCCTGTGTTTCAATTCAATGACAAGTGTTTTAATGTCGTCCGATGAAAAAGAAAAAAAAATTGGCAAATATGGCTTCGCCAACTAGAGAACAAAAACACATGAAAAAATATCTAATTACCAGTTACGAATTGGTGTTATGAACTCTAAACGATAATATCTCGAAAGTGAAAGCATATGACATACGGTGTTTTCGCGTACCGTATATTTTCGAAATGGCAAAATTAACCAAATTACGAAAGGAAAGTTTAATTCAAACGATTTCTACCATTGAGATTCTTTTAGGACCGGATTGGTACATGTTTCTTTCCTGATCGGGATAACCAAAAATGTACATAAGAAAGAGTGGGTGCGGTCAATAGTTCCGGGGACATTCGATTGGAGTATAAAGGTATCAAGGACTTCTACATAGCATTTGCTACTACAGTACGCTCAATTGCCATTTTCTTCGTGTACCGGTGTGTGTCACTATAGATCAGCGATGCACAACCTTCCGCGTATAAAAAAAATCACAAAAACAGCATATAAATAGTATATTATAGTATACTATAGTATATTATAGTATAATAATAAATAATATAAATAGTATTATAAGCAATAATAAATAATATAAATAGTGTTGCAAGTAACAATAAATGATATAAATAGTATAGTAAGTAATAATAAATAATATAAATATTGTTGTAAGTAATGATAAATAATATAAATAATATTACAAGTAATAATAAATAATATAAATAGCATTATAAGTAATAATAAATATTATAAGTAATAATAAATAATATAAATAGTATTATAAGTAATAATAAGTAATATAAAGGTGCTTATAAACAGCACGGATTATAAAAATTTCTTTCGAATCTTTTCCCGCCCTCCCCCTCTAAATAAAAAAAAAAGAAGAATAGCAGAAACAAAAATATAGATACTTGTTAGAATGGTGTTTTCTGTACTTTCAATTGAGTTAATATTGTGCAAATAAATACAATTGAAACGTAACCTCAAAAAGTTTTGCAAATAAAAAAAATTGTGATTCTCTCTCCCTTCGTTGTATAAATGACTGAGCTAAAAAAAGAGAAGAAAGAAGAAATGGCAAAACACTTGCTAGAATAGCGTATCTTCAGTATAGTATCTTCTATGTTGTTTCCACGTGTTACAATTGCGTTAATTTTGTTACATTATTGGAACACGATCTTAAAAAGTTTCGCAAACAAAGAGAATTCAAACAACCAGGAATCCGCAGGTGGCGAGAATTTTAAAATGTGCCCTGAATTGCGCATCACTGCCATGCGGATATTCGATTTTAATCGCCATATTCATCGTTCCGTTCGCGCTTTAGTCCTCGACCTATACTTCAGCTCGTGGCAAGATGATTTCGATAGATTGGAAAAGATCAATTCACGTTCTCCTGTTCTCGAGAATAATACATATTGTTTTAATCGCGTGGATAAAAAAAAAAAATACGGCACGATATGTGAAACAAAAAAGAAAGAAAAAGAAAATGTTTCGTTCAACAAGTATTGTTTTGCTGTAGAGCTACTTTAGAAAATTCAAATATGGATTGTTTACATATATTGTTTAATTTTATATTATATTGTTTAAAAAATATTGTTTTGTTACATAGACACTTTATAAAAGTGGATTGTTTATATATATTTTTAATTGTTGTTTATATATAGTTTAATTTTATATTATATTGTTTAAAAAATATTTTATTGCTAGCCACTTCAGAAAACTCAAACGTGGATTGTTCATAAATAGTTTAATTTTATATTATATTGTTCAAAAAATATTATTGTATTACATAGCCACTTTCGAAAACTCAAACGTGGATTGTTTATATATATTGTTTAATTATTTATATTATTTTATATTTATATTGTTTAAAAAATATCTTGTTCCATAGCCACTTTAGAAAACTCAAACGTGGATTGTTTATATATATTGTTTAATTATTTATATTATTTTATACTTATATTGTTTAATACTAAACTATTTATATTATTTATTATTACTTATAACATTATTTATATTATTTATTATTACTCATGATACTGTTTATATTATTTATTACTGCTTATAACACTGTTTATATTATTTATTACTGCTTATAATACTATTTATATTATTTATTATTTATATCGTTCAAGACTAAAACGACATGAACAGAACGTGAACAGCATTGTTTCCTGTTGCGTGTAAAACACAGATTTATCGGAAATCATCCGACAATTGAAATGACGCTGAAACATATTCAAGGACCAGTTTCTCAAGAACGAATTCCAACGAAACGGATGAAGCGATGAAATTTCTCGCGGGCCGATTTTAATCGAGACTGAGAAAGAAATCAACGGGGCACAAGCACAACGTAAACATCGCGCGAAAAAAATTCCAAGCATTGCCAATGCAGCTGCAAAGAAGAATAAAACAGTTACAGGGTTGCGCAAGATGTTCGACTTGAAATATCATGGGAATTGCTGTACGTATATAGCAAAGAACTCTCACGGAAAAACGGAAGCAGCAAAATCCTACTTGCGTTTCCCTTCCATCGTGCGACTGATCATGCGAAGCAGGGCGGATGTTTGGCACGCGATTATCAACGAGGATCGTTTGCCATTCTAAAATATTTTATAATATATTTTAAATATTAAGAGTATAGTGTAGTATAGAATAATATATAGTATAATATCGTATATAGTACAGTATAGTATAATATTGTATAGTAGAGTATAATATTGTATAGTATAATATATAGTATAATATTGTATATAGTATAGTATATAATATAATATTGTATATAGCATAGTATAGTATATAGTATAGAGTATAGTTATAGTATAATCGCTATAGTATTATATATAGTCTAATTATAGTATAGTATAGTATATAGTATAATCATAAATATTGTATATAAAATAGTACAGCATATAGTATATATATAATATTGTATATAGCATAGTATAGTATAATATATAGTATAATTATAGTATAGTACATAGAATAGTATAATCATAAATATTGTATATAAAATAGTACAGCATATAGTATATAGTATAATATTGTATATAGTATAGTATACTACATAGTATAGTATACAGTATAATCATAAATATTATATATAA